CCAAAACTCGTAACTCGTCTGAAGTTGGTATATCAGGTAATACTAAACTAGAATACCAGTTTGCCGACTTATAACATAACATAAAAAAAAACAAAAATAGGGAGTGGACCTGAAAGAAACAGATGTAATATTACGCTACGATTTAGTGAGTCAATAAGCACTAGTCACTAGTATTATTCATAACGATAAAATCTCCTGAATACGTGAGAGAGCCTTAAAAGTGAGACACTGATTGTATTCGAGAGATACAAAGATATCAATGCGCAGTATAAATACCACAATACCATCTTTGCCTTTGTCACAGCTGTTCCATTCATCATGTTTTACATGAGTTATAAGGAAAATAAATATCAATGTAGCCAGGGTATTTGTTAGCAATGTTGTTTCTCAAGTCACTTCCGTGGTAGCGTTTGTAAAGTTTTATATTTATGAGGCAAGTCTTGAAAAAACTCGATTCATTTAACTTTTAGGATAATGGTGTAATACGGATAATTTGATCGCTTATTTTATTTGGCAGTTGTACATAATTTAATTTTATTGATTACATTGGTCTTGTCTATTTGTTGGTCAAGCAACACTACAGTATTTTCTTTTACAACTTTGCTTTGCGAAAGAACAAAAGGGTTAATTTCATAATCTTTGAAGCAAAACCAGTGTACGCAGTTAAGTGTGGGAGAGCCATGCTTCGGCACGAATGGGTCGGCTCGACCGGAGTGATACCACGGCCTCACAGAAAACCGGCGTGAAACAACCACAGCGTTGTGTTTACCGGAGGCCCAATCCCTCCGTTGCAATCTGCGCCTCCCATGGACACCCCCATGGGTGGCGCAGATTGCTTACCATCAGGTAATGCGTCTGCTCGTTTGCCGACCTATTACATAAAAAAAAAACTATTAAAGCGCATTTGGAGAAATGCAAGATACTGTTTTCATATTTATTAGTTTCTATGTAAACACGTCGATGGATCGTAATTCGGTCATAACCACGAGCACTGTGTTTATATTTACTTTATAGTAAACGATATTATCCAGCTACGGTTAGTACTGGATGTTTATGAGCTGTTGGGACAAGTTACCGAGTGATTTGTTACACTACTCAGCATTCCCTTCACATCACAAGAACGATGGCTATTCCATGTTTTCTCGTCTTAATTTACGACCACAGTGGTACGTACAAGAATTTCTCCAGTAAATTCTTTTTGGTTCAATAATGTCTTAAAATAGTATGGCGATGGCGCGCTTCCGTACAGTTGTATTTGCTCAATTCATAAACAATGGCGCGATTAACCTAAATGTTCTGAATGTTGCGAAACACATTAGGATTCTCTTTTTCAACAGGCAATAATTAAGTGGAACAGTATATTATAGTAACAAGTGATATTTATAGTCACTGCCCGCCCAAGAGTCCATTTGCCGCCCACCGGGCGCAAGGGTGTCGACCCGCGTTTTGCACACTGGGCTTGTTACATTTTGCTGTGGAAAAAAGAGCCTCTCTTCATTTGTACTTCAAATTTACATTTTATCCCTCTTTTGTAGTATTTTTCGTTATGGAGAAAGCAAGAAAATTAGAAAGCATCGTTTTCAAATAATAAATGTACAATTTTGAAGCATTTGTGGGTATACTCGTATCCATTTCTTACAAAAATATTTTCGGTTTGCAAATGAAAAATATCTTGGATCGAAAAATAATACTAATAAAGATACACGAGCGAACGAAATACACGAACAGAAAATTCTTGTATTCTTTTACATGACTATATAGTATAAAACAAAATAGCAGAGTGGGGCGGGTCGCTAATAATAAATAAATTATATCAATAAAAATCTTAAATTTAACATTGAAGTAATAATATAACACTATCAAGGCAATTTATCGTTTAAATATTTTCACACAATATTTTTGCTGTGTAGAGAAAATACAGCTCAATAAATATTATTTTGTTCAGATAGCGCGTGTTTCGCTCCACTAATGACCCAAAGCGTTTTCATAGTGATGTGACGAATTTTTAGCAGCAGTTTGTTACATTCAGTCGTTTCGTTAATAGTTGCCAGCTTTTGATTTGATTGTGAGTTTTTTAATGTCTATCGTGTTATGTGATTGTGCGATACAGTGAAGTGTTTAGCAATACACGAAAAAAAACCTATGTATTGTTTTAAATATTGAAGATAGTGTTCCGTGTTTTTCTGAAAATAAGTAATAGTTTAATAGGTATGTGTCATAGTATAACAGACGGGGGCTAATCGATAGTATCTCAAAGAATAAAAGAAGGATAAAAGTTGTGTCGTCCACGGTCGGCGCTCCCCGGACGGTACCGCGGCAGGCAGTCACTCGCTGTCAACTTCAGGCTAAGTTGCCATTAAGTTTTTTTTTACATACACCGCAACTCAGACTTGCAGTGAACCGTTTATTAAGTTACTAAAGGCGAGCTTGTTTAAAGAGTAACGGTTTGTACTTACTGAATATTTTCAAAATACGACTAACGGGATAAAATCAATTAGAGAATGAAACTAAAGCATGACACAGACAATTAATATTGTAAAGTACCTCCTTTTCTTCCTTTAAAAATTCAAGACTCTTTCCTTAGTGATGTTATTTAGTTGTTATCGCATACTAGATTAGTTAATTTCTATTTTGTCAGTATTGTAGCTATAAACTAGTAGTGCAGCTATAAATACGATCCCATAACTTCTCTCGGGAGTGCTAAAGGCAACAAAGGGATTATATCAGATAAATGGGCCAGTGATGGGCGCCAACATTCAATTCCGTATAACAATCTACTGCTACTATTATCTACGGACTAACTAACCGCTCTATTAGGCAAGTTACAATAAGTATAATTATTTTAGTGACTTATTTTTCATGTGTCCTATTCAATTTGTGAATTCGTAATTACATATTCAAGAAATTTTCTAACTGCATCATTGTAGATATGTACATACGAAAGATGTAATAAAAGCTTCTGTCATTCATCATATACCAAATCACGTACCTTATATCCAATTGGTTAAGATATCACAAAATACATTTTGTTACCAGATTTCAAATAGACGCTCCCAAAGGCAAAACCGTCGAATATTATCAATGGGACAATATTATTTCAGACTCACTTGTGTCACGAATTTTAGAAACTCAATTTCTGGTTCTTAAAAGGATTCGATCTTTATGGCTGAGCTCTGTAAAATTTTGACGCTTTACCACGAGACGAAGTTCATCACGTTTTACTTCTTTTTTTATCTGTTAAAATTGTGGCGAATTTCGAATGCTCCCGTTGTACGTACTCTCGGGAATTATGCAATGTCAGTATTCTCAAATCGTTTGAGAGATGTTTGCTTCACTGAGCCCGTGTCACCATCAGGACGACATTCGGCGCGGAGCAGCGACTACCAATTTATTGAATCTCCGCTCTCTTGTCATTCCGTTTTGTGCTTTTCCTGTCATCCTTTATGAAATATTAATATTCTTCTTTGTTTTATGCTACAAACTGTAAGAGGATCGGATTTTTGTATAATTATAGGATTATGATAACCATGCAAAGATCGTGTTTCAGTTTTATTATTAGATATTTTATGATCGCTAGCGTACATGATATAGTATGAGATAATAATATGATACTCGTTTTCTAACTGATTTGTGACCAATTAGCGTTGCTCGCATGATTGCATTTCACTGGAACGCAATTTTTTATCCGTATGGATATCATTAACTAAGAAACTCAGAGAAAATAGCCATAAATGCAAATCATTATTACAATACCTCAAACTATCGTTTTAGAGTTAACGGATAATGATGTGTAATAGAAAAAGTCTAATTCTATAGATACCTACAAAATTATAAAGTACTTAGTATTATATTGTGCATTATTGATGAATCACTTTGAAGTTTGAGATGATGTTTATGTTAGTAGCAACAATTGCTTCATGCACGCAAAGTTTTCAACGGTGTGTCTATTTTTAGGGCTTTGGTACACGTGCTCGCCCTCTGTGGAACAGTAAAATGGATCTTTTGTCGGATATTCTCAACGGAACAGCTGTCGAGCTATTTCCGACATGAGGGGAGTTACTTATCTTATTTTCTAAATGAATTTAGTTGGATGTTGTTGATAACATTTAATAAATAGTGGATCGAAAATAATTATGATTTTTTTATATATCTTTTTTTTGTTTTGTGTTTAGGTCACGTAGTTAGGTGCTATGTTTCAACGATATAACAATCCCGAGTAGGCATTGAATGTTGTGTTTTTAACATTAAGGAAAACCATTTTTAACCTACTATTACTTCCCTACACATTTGTATAGTATCCTAATTATAATATTTTAACTTAAAATATTACATTTCCTATACGTGTACTTATTGTAACAAAAGAAAACAATGTAAAACATATCTAAAGTAGCTATTTACAATACAGAGCACAGAGAGGAGCCAATATGAATTGTTTGGGTTCGTGTAAGGGCCGCTATGAATTTAATCTGGCAGAGACAAGCGCCCCGCCCTACTACCCGCCACAATTACCTTATAACCCCGATTTTGTTGAAGAAAATTGTGAATACGATGCTTCGACTGCTTTTGATCCTAGCATCATGTGGAACCCTTACTATGGAGAGTATTATGCTGGGAATAATTTCGCAAACTATGACGAGTGGGGGCGAGCACGCCGCTCCTTGTACGAAGGCGTTAACTGTATGCCGGTGAGTGCATTAGCTTGTGTGCGTCGAGCCGCACGTTGCCTACGACTATTACCTACTTCTTGTTGTGGTGTGTTGTGTGTAAATAAACAATATGCTGACTATTTCATTTTTTGATGTTAATCTTAACAAATTGAGAGAGTGCGTTTGTTACTGACTTGTGAAACAAAATAGGTTTGTTTACATAATAAACCTTATTTTTTGTTAAACTATAAAAGTCGGATCAAAGCGAGAAGGGTGTTCAGAATGCATCAGGCGCATATACAGCGATCTATTTCCGGGCGCGGGCGTCGGCCCTATTCGTGTAAGCCTCGCTCATTTTGAACTAAAACATGCGCGAGCTCGGCCGCGGGGGCTCACTCGTGGCTGCCACCATCGCGGCATTACACAATCGTACCGTAGTCGAGGAAAAGCCTCGATCGGTCAAATCACGATCGACCTCCGCGGAGATAAGAAATGTTGCGCGCTCCATAAGAGAAGAAAATTTTGGTGAAATTGGATCTCGAAGAATATCCGGCGGCAGTGAGCGTCCTCTGTCTACAGCGTCTGAAGCCTCAGAACGTGACTCCGCTTCTGTGCAGTCCAGTGAGGAACCGCCCCCACAGGATAGTACGTAACTCGCGATCTGTGGACGAGTCACTGACGTAGCATATTACTGGAACTTAGCCAAACTTTAAAATAGAGTAACACGTAGGTGACTCGTGCCGAGAGCTTGTCGCGCAGTGTCGCATTTGCGGAGCCTCATGTCCGACTGCGAATATCTAACGGAGCCCTTCGATGAGGAGCAGGAGCGCGCGGCGGCCGGCTACGTGCACCCCGCCGTGCGCTCCTACATGTACTCCCCGATGGGTGAGTTTACGTCGCTCATGAGGCTCCTTCGCGTTTTATATACTTTTTATCGCTTATCTCGTGGCAGGCGGCGACTCAGACAGTCCTGATGAAGCAACAGTGAAATGTACTACCTGGACAGAAGGCGCCGTAGCCGCGGCGCGAACTGGATCATCTGACAGCGAGTCCAGCTCCTCCAGCGCGGATGACTCTGACGAACAAGAGTACGAAACTCGAGGCTGTGATGCGGAGTACCGGACCCTGACGCCTAGTAGGCGATTGGATAATTCTACTAGACGCGATGATGATTTCACTTGGATGCCAACTGGAAACATGGTGGACGAAGGAGACGAACGTGTCTCTGAATCTAGAGTTGACGATTATTCAGCAGCGAGTTTGGAAAGACGTCGTCGTACTCCGGGCGATCGACAAGACCGTGACCGCAAGTCAAGGTCGTCATTGACATCGAAGCCACCTCAACACCCAACAAGTGTCCGCGCATCTCCTCGACCGCGACGGTCTCGCAATGAGGAGACGCCACCAGAACTGCAAAGGCGATGGAATTCCTACGAGCACTTTCGGTGGCCAGAAGGTGGATGGTGGCCCCCGATGTGTTGGTGCCACGGCCCTCCAGTGCCACCGCCGTGTTATATGCACGAGCAGAGAGCTTGGCCGTCCAATCCTTCATTACCGCCAATGCCCACACGAAGTTATAAGGTACGGGAAGTGAGAGTAGACAAAACATTAATTCAGACAATTGAAGAATTGAACTAGGAAATTATTTACTGCACACGTCCTCTTCATTTTTCAACCTACTCGTAGACGACATTAAATTAAGAGTTTGTCATAAATAAAGTTAGGTGCGAAATGATGTTTTACATACTAATTTAGTGTTAGTAGTTTGCGCAATGTAAATAATAACTGAATGTGTATTTACGTTAATGAGTTAACAATTCATAACAGTAACTATATTTCTGTTGTTACCTAAGCTAAATGCAAACTCTGTAAAAATATGATCGGAATCATGGACAGAGCTGCAAGTTAAATAATTTGCACGGATAGCGGCGTTCTTGTGTGTTGTGCATATTATTTATAGGTTGCGTTGTAGTGAACTATATTAGTGTAACGAACATTACAGAACGATGCGGAGGATCGTGTTCGCCGGCTCGAGGCAGACAAAGAAAGTTTGCATCTTCAGGTGCAAGTGTTGTCGGAACAAATCGCTGCGCAGACTGAGAAGATGACGGACCTCGAACGCGCCCTGCAGGATGCGAGGCAGAGGCTGGACGACGCTGAACAAAGATTGCAAAAGGTAAAAAAAAAACTTTATTTTTCAGCTTAAACAAAAAACGCGGCTGTAGCTTCCAGCCGCATTCTAGGGCATGTTGAAAATACTAGGTTAACAACAAAATAACATAACGTTGAAATTGGGATCGTACTCGGCCTCGTGCAGAATTCCATTTAAAAACGCGTGAAAATTTAACTGGCACGAGATTTAACGCTAGCGTATTTACATTCGTTTTCTTTCTTGGATGTACGAATATATACTTGGACCATTTAATTTAAAAAGAGAATCTCTTAAAAAAAATGCCTTGTAAACAAAACAAAAAGTTGTCAATATTTAAGTTGGAAACTAGGCGCTAGAAACACTGAGGTCACGCTAGTTCTAAACAGACTTGCTTGTTTTACAACTCCGCTGTACGCTTGTCTTGCCACTTTACAAGTTTCTCGATTGTCGTCCTTTATTTACTGGGAAAGTTTGCAATCTCATTTACTTCCCTAACATTACATAGGCCTACAATTGATTAATTTAAGTGAAACAAGGAGTAAACATGTCCAATTAATTTGTTTGGGGAACAATGAGACACTTAGCTCATTTGGATTTGCAGTTGAATTAATAAATATGTTTAACATTCAGCACGGCCTAGATCCCCGTGGAACGGGGCTATTGAATAATCATGATCGGTGTGGGCCGCACAATTTCTAGCGCGCCTTAGGCGGTGCCCGATCTCTTTATCGCATCCAACTTCGCGTGCCCGTCACACCAGATTTCAGTAAATAAATATTTAATATTAGATAATAAATAAACAAATATCACACAGATTTAGATTTATGTTTTTTGTAATGTTTTTAAACTATTTGACTTACATATTATTAAAGTTTCTCCACAGACATGTAGATAATAGTCCTGACTTGCCTTCGCATACAATAGGAAATTTTAATCCTAGAATTACCATCGTGACATCAAAACGCGGCTTTGCCCGAATCCGCCTTCAATTAGTTTAATGAATGAAATCCGTTTTCATTGTTTCATCTCCAAGTCAAAAGTAGGTAATATTTGCATTTTAAGCCAGGAGAACGCTAAAAGTATGAATATTATGAGTACCGTGGACACAATTACATTTCCCGTTTTTTAAATTGCCCGTTGGCTTCCAGGCTCTGTTTAAATCCCTATATTAAAAAGTAAAATATCTACATATTACAATGGTTTTAGATTCCGTAAGTATTTTCAGAGATACCATTTAGTTACTTGGTACCTTAGGTAAACACGGCTAATAACATAGCGTACGAAAACCGATAAAGGTTAGGCTACGTACTATAGATTCCTTCTCTTAGCTTTTGAGGAATAAAAATTCTGAAATGATTATGGTTTTATTTTTAATACAATAATAAGAGCATAATAAGCAACTAGAGAACCGCCATCTGGTAAAACTCATGCTGGATTTTATCGACAATAGATTTATGTTACTAGCGATAATCGTTACGCTGGCACAATGGAAGTGTACTATCAAATAGGCACATTTACTAGAGTATATAGAAAACAGAGTATCGCGTAATACGTATAGATGACGTGTGTTTTACTATGCGAATTAGATGATCGAATCACTAACGTTGCGTGTCTTGTTAAATGCAAATTACGGGTTGCGACGTCAAGTTGCGTGAGCGTGCGGGAATGTTCATTGTCTCACAGAGTTTAGACAAGAGATTTATGTCTCCCGTCATCTTGTTCCATCATACGCTTACACCAAAATGAAAAAGTAACAAAGCCCCCACATTACCGAGCTAACTTTTGGCAGCATTTCCTTTACACGTAGGTTTTACAATGAAAAGTTTTCAATACTAACGACTTTTGTTTTTATTGATTTCGATTGACTCTGTAAATGTCTGTCTTAGATTAAATTTGCGCTACCAAAACATTCCATTGACTGTTTACTGATTGATTTAGGAAATAAAATTAATTTTAATAGAACATTTAGTTGATGTTTAAAAGTATCGATGCGTCACATCCAGGCCTGAAAATCGATAAAATAGTGTATAGAAAATAATGATGGCCTCACCTACACACATGGCCACGCGCGAGTGCCAACGGATCAATCAACGTGATAGATTAGGAACAGTTCAACACACAAGTTGTTTGTAAAATTGTTCAAAACAATGTTGGTATTGAAAATACCGTATCGATACATTTAAACTAAAATGTTTTTAATCTATTTTTTTTTTGTTCATTACCTAACATAAGACTGTTATGGTTTTAGGAATGTTGCAATATGGTTGCAATAGATTTAGGTTTTTCTTTTAGTGTTTATGAGCATTCGAAATCATAAACATCGTAGCAAGCCGCATTTCTATTTTACAGATAAAATTAGCTTATGTTGAATTTTAAATTATTACATACACATTACATTTACATTATTATTGTGTTTTATTACCTATACCTAAATCACCAAATCTCATATTAGAATGAATATAAAAATATTTACATTGGTAAGGAAGCAATCAGCATGTTAGCTATAAAATAAAATAAAGATAAACAGTTCGTTCAAATCGTTCTAATTCTGTAGTCCATTTACGTCCCGGGCAATGTGTGGCGCGTACCGTACGGACTACCTACGCCAGATGCGCCTTTTTATTAACAACCAACAAACGAGTAGAGACAGCGTTGTACTATAAAAATCCTATCGGATTGAACTTTAATTTCGAGGAGGTCAATGCTGTTTAGACATTTCGATTTAGAGATCCTATTAGGAGACAGTTGTTTCAGACAGCTGTTCTCTGTTTTCTTTATTTTAAATGGAAGTTTGAATTTATTGTATGTGTCTTTAGGTGTTGGTATAGACTGTTTGAGTTACTCATTCATTACAGCATTTTTAGATAAGGTTTTCTGAATTACGTTTCTATTGTCCTATTCGGGATACATAATTACTCCTTAATTGATCTGAATGTGAATCAATATGTCTAGGTAATTTAATGCAACATTCAATAATTATTGGAAAAGGCTATTTATTGTAAATAACGGCTTACTGAGAAAAGCTCTACTAGTTTCGAGTCACAACGGGACTCTTTATTTTTTAACAGCGTGCACGATGAATGTGCGGTTCACGCGAGTAAGTCTTTATTTTCAAAAAATAATAGAAAAGTCTTATTCGATACCTCAAAATGAATGCTATTCAATGTCGAGTTTCTATAGTGCGCCGTATGCTTGCCTATTCACGATCGTAAGTCTCCATAGCAGAGCAAATAAATCCACCCATTTGAAGCGTATTTACCATTATAGAAACAGTTAACCAAAGTGTGTCATAGAACAAAACTCCCTTAACAAATAGGCGTAAACTTTTACAGGAAATGCTGCAGCGCTCGTCTCTCGAGACGCAGAAGTTGGAGTTGTTGTCGAAACTAAGTGAAGTGAGGCTGCGTGCGGCTGAGCGAGGCATTCTAGAACGTTCGCCGCCACCGCCCGAGCCTGTGGCCGCGATGCCCATCGCTAGACCTGCGCCCCCTAGAGTATGTTACTTATACCTTTTATTTTTCTTTCTACTTAAAACTGTACCAGTTTAAAAAGTATTGGATAGACTACAACTGTTCATAGTATTTTTTATACGTCGTAGTACCTATCGTGTACTCCTTAGCTGACCTATGTCATAGGTATAGGATTACCTGATGGTAAGCAATCAACGGCGCACTCGCAATACCAAAGGAGCTACTACAAGTGCGTTGCCGGCCTCTTGTGGGTTATCAGGGGATTTTAGAGGACGGGCGTAAATGTTTCTTCACGCCGGTTTTCTGTGAGGCCGTGGTATGAATACGGTCGAGCCAACCCATTCGTGCCGAAGCATGGCTCTCTCACATTTCAAATGAAGATTTCCTTACAATTAAACAGCTTTGACAATTAAGCATTGAAATGAATCAAGTTTTATCCATATGCTACGATGCTTTAAATAAGTGTATCATTAGAACACTCTAATGAAAATATTAATTGAATATTGTCAATTTACTTAAGTGAAGTACCAACACAATATTATTAATTTTCCAGACACCCCCTGCAAACTACGGTCGCACGATCGAGCGCAACACGCATATGTACTCGTCGTTGCCGCGCTCGTCTGTGGTGACGTCAGAGGCGCGCGTGGCCTTCGGTAAACAGAACAACATGGTGGTGGCGCGCGGCCGAGGACATTCTGTGCCCAACCTAGGTCTCTACGACCCACGCGGTCACTTTGACCCGCATGGACCCAGCTTAAACGCTCTAATAAAACTCCCCTTTGTCTGCAGAATATCCAAAAACAGCCAATTTTTCATCGTTTTTACTAGAATTCCAGATTTCTTTGTTACTGAGTTGATAAAACTTATTATCGTACTAGCTTCCCCGCCTACGGCTTCGCCCGCGAGATATGTTGATAAAAAGTAGCCTATGTTCTTTTTCGGAATGTATCCTATACCTGTGCCAAATTTCATCCAGATCCGTTCAGCCGTTTTGGCGTGATTGAGTAACAAACATCCAAACATCGTAACTTTCGCATTTATAATATTAGTGAGATAATTCACATCAAAATACAGTCTCTGTGTAATTCCCCCTTTCCTAGAAATACTGGAATAAAATTGCAAATTACAATGATATTATGCTTTTCCAATTTGTCTCCGCTTATGTCTATGTCGTAATATTTGAGTTGTTGTAAATAGAATACGTTGTAGACGCATGTTCCAAACAGACCTAGGAATATGTCCGATGTCCTTGTGATCGTTGCAATGTGCATGTAGCTTTTGGTGTTTCTATTGATTATTGAGCTGTTTGATTACCTACTGCTAGCCAACGCAAAAATGTTAACTGCCTGTTCAAAAATTTAATTTGAAAACATTTTATAATAATAAGTTTTGTTCAGTACGCTACCGCAAGGCAATAAAAATTCGTTGAAGCTTTATAAGAATTGTATATAAGAGAGGAAAACTTGTATTTTAAAATATATACAACTGTCAACCAAACGAAGTCGTTCGATATATTATTATCACTTTTAATGATCTTAATATATTTTATTTATATAATGTAAATAATTGAGGGAGTCTCCGACTAGTTTCGATTCATATCGAGGCCCTTAGCAAAACACGAAGCTAACGCTAGACGGCCTTGCCGTATAAAATTTATAGTTAATGTTAAGTATTAATTAAATAGTTTTTATTCACATATATTTGATTAGCTATCGTCTTATCAAGTGTTGTTATACAAAGTTAATGTTAAATAATCACTCGATAAAACCGTCAAAGAGGTTGTCAAGCCTAGTTATGTATGTTGATCGCGTTCTATCACGAATAGACGTCACCGCCTAACGTTATATGCATGTTATTGAAAAAAATGGTAAAAAACTAGTTATATAATATTAATGAATGTAACAGCGGAAAAGGAAGAATCGACTGGTCGTAGTGGCAGCCCTGGTGCGGCGGCATTGCGAGCGCGCCTCGAAGGCGGGGACGCGCGTTCATTGCGACCTGCGAGGCCTTCTACACCACGAATGCGTACGCATCCTATGCCATGGTATGTACTTTTATATTTATTTTATTTATTCGGGATAGGGGAGAGTCGGTTATATTAACTACTACCATTGTTATCGCATCAGTTCTCGTTTGTCGGTATAGTAGACACAACATAAAACACATTGTGTCTCGCGTAGATCTGCGTTCCGGCATATCACGGGTTAATCATTTTTTTTTTCTAAACTGATACTTTACTGATATGGTGTGAATTGTAAGTACCTACATATTATAATTTCTATTTGCAGGGAAACGATAGATGTTCGCGAGTGGGACTGTGAGACTACTTGTGGTTGGCTTGAAAGCCTTGGGTTGGAGGTATATGTACCAGCTGCACGAACTTGGCTCGGAGCTACGCCGGACGCGCGCGGACAGCTGGCGGCCGCCTCGCATAACGCCATTGAAAAGGAACTGGCCATCAAACATCCTTTACATAAGAAGAAGATACTGCTTGGTCTTACTGACTTGCTGGTAAGTGCTTGTATGATCACTTAGCATACAGATTTTGATTGCACAGTTAGTGTACGGAATGTATACTATGCAATGTAATGTAGTTTCAGCTATATTATAATGATACGGAATAACCTTTGTTCGACAGGTGTTTATTATAGTTTTGTTTTTGTTATCCATAGGAATTTTCAATTTTGTAATTCATTTTATATGAGTTTGGGTACAAGAGATGATGGTTGTGAATCCACAGGGAGGTCACGGCGACCCTCTCCTGACGCTAGCGGGTCGGCTGGACACGGCGTGGACGCTGCGGTGGCTGGAGGACGTCGGCGCGTGCGGCGCCAGGGCCGCCGCCGGCGACGCAGCGCTCGACGCGCGCCTACTGCACCGCCTCACGCACGCAGACCTACACGCACACCTCCGCGTCACGCACGCACTGCACGCGCTCTCCATACGCAGGGGTACGTACTATACTTAGTCGGGTCATAAGTTCTGTCAAAACCTTATATTTTTAATTTTCGATTACTGGCCAGAAATTCTTCGACTTATTTTAAAAATAGAACTTTCGCGCTTGTAGAAAATAAAAAAGAAATTATTTTTTATTCATTTTTAAATATGGAGTGGTCGAATAAAGAAGACAGAATCGCGGTTATCGCGTTGCACCGCTGTGGTTACGCGCCAAAAGACATTTTCAATATTCTTCAAAATTTGAAAATAACGTTACGGTTTGTTTATCGTACTATCAAACGATACACCGAAGAGTCAAGCTTCGAAGATCGTAAGAGAAGCGGCCGACCTCGCACAGTTCGGACACATAAGGTCATCAAAGCAGTGAAGGCGCGAATCGAACGAAATCCCGTACGTAAACAAAAAATCCTAGCTCTGCAGATGGGGCTAAGCAGAACCACTGTTAAAAGAGTACTAAATGAAGACCTGGGACTACGAGCTTATCGTAAAAAGACAGGACATTTTTTGAACGAGCGTTTAAAAAAAATTAGGCTAGACAGATCCCGCGCTTTGCTACGACGGTACGCGGGAAAAAAATACCGCGAAATTCTTTTTTCGGATGAAAAAATTTTTACTATTGAAGAAAGTTTTAACAAACAAAATGATAAGGTGTATGCCCACAGCAGTGAAGAAGCAAGCGCGCGTATTGCGAGGGTCCAGCGTGGGCATTACCCTTCCTCATTCATGGTTTGGCTTGGAGTCTCATATTCAGGCGTAACTGAGGTGTTTTTCTGTGAAAAAGGTGTGAGAACTAGTGCCGAAGTTTATCAAAATACTGTCCTAACAAACATAGTGGAACCTCTTTCTCAGACAATGTTCAGGAACAGGCATTGGATATTCCAACAGGACTCTGCACCGGCTCATAAGGCACGAAGTACGCAAGACTGGTTGATCGCTCGTGGAATTGACTTCATCCGGCATGAAGACTGGCCCTCTTCTAGTCCAGATTTAAACCCACTGGACTACAAGATATGGCAATATTTGGAGGAAAAAGTCTGTGCTAAACCTCACCCGAATTTGGAGTCTCTCCGAGCATCTCTGGTTAAAGCAGCGGCAGACATAGATATGAATGTGGTGCGTGCAGCGATCGATGACTGGCCGCGTAGATTAAGGGCATGTGTTCAAAATGGGGGAGGGCATTTCGAATAATGTAAATAAAATTATATTGTACATTTAATGACCTTTCATTTCATATATAATTTTTAAATAATTGTCAAAAGGCGTATAAGTTATTACATCAAAAGTTTGTGACAGAACTTATGACCCGACTAAGTATACATGTAACCTACATACATCGTCAGCTTATAAGTGCCCAATACTAAACAAAGGCCTCTTCTCACACGGATAAGGTTCGAGCATTAATCACAACGCTTGCTCAAGGCGGATTGGCGATTTCAAACTTATAATTAGGATCTATAAGTCTAGTCCTCACGATTTATTTCATCACCGTTTGTCAGTGGCGTCTAAATAATTATAATCATAGAAAGTACATATAACTTCGAAAAAATATCTTTCCTTTTGATTATCAAAACTTGTTCCGTAAAAATGCAATCTTAATCTTTGCGTCATTCCTCAAGTGTCTCTCAGCGAAACAACATAATATTTTTAATCACTTAATCTTAGTCTCCTTTTTAATTTCATAACAAAATTCCACTTTCAGGTATCCAAGTCCTCCGCGACAACAAGTTCGATCCGGACACGATGATCCGTCGCGCGGCGGAGGGTGAGACAGTGGGCGCAGAGGGCTCGCCCGAGGCGTGCGTACCTCCCGAGTTACTCGCGCGCTGGTCCTCGCACCGCGTCATGCAGTGGCTCAAGGAGATCGACCTCGCCGAGTATGCACCCAATTTACGTGGTGCAGGTAAGCAAATACTATAACCGTAATCTTTATATTTGTATGCATTCAATCGGATCTGAAGTCTCGTTAGAGAAAACTAGGAAATGTTACTACTATTATCATTTTGTTTTACTTTTTCGTTTTTGAGACGGCAAACAGATTAGATTACCTGATCATAAGCAAACGGCGCCGCCAATGGACTCCTGCAACACCAGAGAGTTAAGATTGCATTGCTATTTGCTAGACCTTTGGGGATAAGGGGTGTCGGACATTTAGAAATAGAGGGGGATGGAGGCTTTCGGTAACTTTACCCATACGGCCACTCTATACTATACACGTCTTCTTCAGAGTAAACACGAATTTTGTTAATGAAATGAGGTTTTTTCTGTGTTAGGTGTTCACGGAGGCCTCATGCTACTGGAGCCGCGGTTCACAGCCGAACTACTGGCTGCTTTACTTAACATTCCAGCCAACAAGACGCTATTGCGGCGGCATCTCACGCAAAGGTAAGCAAAACAATAATAAAACTTGTTGCCCCACGCTATGATTTTCTCCAGTACGGTTGCGGTGCGTTTACAAACATAAAAATTCACATACACAAGCCATCCAGACCCGAAACAACAATTTGTAGATCACACAAAGTCTTGTTCCGTGCGGGAAACGAACCCGTGACACGTTGCACAGCAGCGAGTTGCCACTGTGCCACCCGTGCTGTCCTAATTATATTTATGTAATCTTTTTGTAATAAAATGGTATGTTTAGGTTGATTTTCTAATGGCAACAAAGGTAACAATAATTTTTCATATTAAAATGAAATTCTTTGAAGTCAAAGGAAAGTCGTTTAACTAACAACTGTTAGTTAAACTGTGGCTATTTTTCCACTAGTCTATAATGTCCCACTGCTCGGCGAAGGCCTCCCCATCTCGTTTCCAAACCTCCCGATCTTTCGACCGTCTATAATAAACCTCTATGCGACTTGTCTTTCTAGATTCAACGACCTGCTAGGCAGAGATGTTATCCAACAGAAGCGTAACGCGGAACAAACGCTTGGATATCAACCTCTAACCGCAACTACCAAATACAAGGTAAATAATTTACACTTCACCTTCACCTTTCAACATAATATTATTTCAACCTAGTATACTCTAATAATAATACCGTAGGTCAGGGATATGTAACAGTGCCAAGAGTAATGACACATTTTTAGAGGCAGTCCCTTGAACTTAAAAATGTTTACACTAATCTGTTGTCATATTTTGGTATTGGCAGTCTGTAAGGCCAACGCGTCTTAAATTTTGACCAACTTTGATTCATTTTGGCACAGAGATTTCAAACGTCAGCTTTAAAATTTGATTTCACTTTAAATTTTAAGACCAAATAATAGGGTTTAAATGGTATGTCACAAATAAATTTGATTAATAATCATGTCAAGAGACCATTCCCTTGCGGGGAAGGAAATGGATTTTTTACAATTAAAAATAAATACTTTTCCTTACAGACAAATTAAACTAAATTAAAATAAACAGACAAATTACACCAACATACAACATACTACATACACCAACAACCCAGACCCGAAACAACAATTTTAGAATCATAAAAAGTATTGTACTGTGCAGGAATCGGATCCTCGTCACGTTGCATAGAAGCCAGTTGCCCAGCTACTACGCGTGCCGTGTCAATAAAGATTGATAGACTAGTAGCTATTATTTTTACTCTTTGTATTTATAACGATTATAAGCTAAGCAATAATTCTGTTATAAGGTACCAAAGAAAAGCCAGTTCTCGTTGAAACGCAAGAAGAGCAAGGACGATTTGGACCTCGGCGACCTCGTGTGTCCTCTACACGATGACTGCTCAGGTGACATAACAAACTCGCCAGTAAGTCGCCTTACTAACAGCACTAATCTATAATACTTCTGCACCGTTCACGAAATCATCAATATTTAATAGAATATTAATTTATTAAGTTTAATAGAATATTAGTTTTGGACAGCCATTTTTTGACACGAATGGGCTGACTTGACTTGAGAGATACCACGGCCACATAGAATACTAGCGCTAAACAACATTTACGATGTGTTTCGCCGTGTGAGTGAGGTTATCTTAAGCCTCATCCTTTCTGCAAACCCTAACGACCTACAAAAGCCTGGCAATGTACTTGTTAAGTCGAGGGTGTATGGCGGCACCGATTACTTACCATCCGGTGATCCGTCTTGTCGTTGGTCGACCTATCCCATAAAAAGTAAAATTAAAGTGCATGTAAATTAAAAAAAAATAACTTTATTGTTACGGTAAATAATATGGTTTTTAATGAACTATGAACAATGTCTTTTGTATTCATTGGTCATCTCAGGATCCAGTTACTAAACTGATTCAATCTTTATGTTCTTACCCGCAAACTAAATTTTTGTTCTGTATACATCTTTAAAAGGAACTCATTTGTAGTAATGATTGTTTGTTTTATTTATTGATGATTTCGTGAACAATTTTTGAGAACGGTTTTAAAGAAAAACATTAATTTCATTCAGTATATTTATTCTGGAAACAATGTATGTACAATAATTCAAATTAATTTGACACATTTTAGGATATTACAGGATTCTCAGTGGCGTTAAAATAAAAGTTCATACTAGTAGGTACATACAAAACTTGTTTTCTATTAAAATTCAACTGTCTCATATTTCATAGAAATCCAAGCATATTCATTTACATATTCAGGGTATGCGTTCAGGTTAGCAGATGCTACGTTTTAAATAATCCTTCATATTATATCAGTTTATTTATATAAATATTATAATTCGTTTGAAATTATTTGAAACTGCAAAGGTATGTGTTTTCTAGCACTATTTATAACATGTGTGCACTGTAGTTTGGTGATTGTGAACTCTTAACAAAATTTAACACGGCAATAATTGGGTTTCCTAGCTTTTGGTGGTTTGGGTAGCTTAACAAGAGTAAACAATTTAATTAATGAATTGATCTGGACAAATAAAATACCAATATTTAATGTTTTATTAATAAGAAAGCCTCATAATGTTTAAATGACGATACAATTACTGTTTTATGAAACTTTCTAAGCTTGTTTTTATATGTAAGTTAATTAAAATCCTTTCAGACGATGAAAGTAAGATCAGCAACAGTGGACGTCGCGTCGGCTGTCTGTCCCCCGCGTGACGAGGCGAGGGCGCAATAAAATCTACCATCCCTATACTAACCTATATCACGCTAGGTATGTTATTCAATCATAAAATAAAAGTGATACAAATGAAAATACCATCATCAAAACGAATGTTACATCCTTTTTAACAAATTTATTGTAAAATATTATCAATAATTAAGAGAACAAAATCAAATCACGTGAGCGAAACATTTACTAATTGCTATTTAATGAACAAATTAAAACAATACAGGTTTCATAATATCATGTTACAGTTTCGCTAAGATTTTTAATTATTCTCTGTACAAATATAACATTACGTTGGAAGTTGGGCTTGCAGATAACATTTGCCAAGTCCTTTGTGAAAAGGAAATTAAAACAAATGTGTATATACGTAAGCCTATTTCAATCTTCGAAGTGAGTTGTTACACCCATAACTTAAAAAAATAACATTTATTAGTAATAATATGTCAAGATATCGTTAATTGAAGATTCCCACTATTTTGTTGGAGATCGCACGAGTTCTATTGCATTTTCTTCAATGGACCACAGATAAATAAGTCTTAAAAGTGCTTGAATTTAGTTTTATAACGTGAAAATAAAATTATCTACTAATAAATTGCTACAAATTTCGTGAAAAACTATTTAAACCTAGGTCTTTCTCTAATTTCGATAATGTGTTGGTGCTAAATTACGTATTTTGGCGTACAGCCCTAAAAATGTTAAAAAGAATATTAAAGACTAATTCCTCGAAGGTGAAATGTGTGTCCAAGGTATTAACACAAATAATAAAGTTATATAGTGTTTAGAACAGATGTGTAATATGGAATGCAACTGCCAAAAATCATGAGAGAAACAACAATTTGATTGTAGATTTAATAAAGGTCGTCATTCAACTTCATTCATATCGGAAAACGTGAATCCGCGCACAGAAAAATAATTTGTGTCATTTACAAATGGTTGCATAAGATTTTAATGATGACTGTAAAATTGTTTTTAAATACACTCACAACACAAAAAAGTCACAATAAAATTAACGATGAAATCTATTGTGCGAAAGTCCTTCTAACAAGTGTGAATGAGAAAAAGTTTTGTTAAAAAAAATATTCTATATATTTACCCTTGTCGAGACCACAAATTTGAGTGACGACCAAGAATACATATAGATATTGATGTAATCATTTATTTAAGAAAAATATTTATTTTAACTTTTAATTTAATGATTAAGTGAATATTTCTGGAGTCATGTGTGCTGGTTTATATAATGTTAGTATGAAAAAGAATCACATTATCAAGCGAACAATAGACATTCCATGATGTTTTTATCAAAATGAAATTGTTTATATTATATTGAAAGTGAACACAATCAACTGACACCATATTCTAAGTATTATATACAGTTGTTACAATTTTTGCCGTACTTAGCGCTTTTTACAAGTAATTAAGTAGCTTATTAGGAATCGACTGAAAGGCGACAATATTATTCTGGTCTCTTTTCCACTTCCTGGAAATACTTTTTCATATAGAGTTATAAGAGATTATATACCAGTTTATAATATATTTACTTATTATACAATTGAGGCGGCTACAACAGTTGTCTGAAATTGTTCTTGTTTATTTAAGAAATGTAAAATAAATAATTATATAGATGTCTTTATTAGCACTTCCCTGACTAAACATCCTGATAGTCTGTTACAAATATGACGTTTGTTTGATATGTTCAATGTATGTGAAACAAGCTTTTATTTATGAAATATTTATATTTCTGTCGCACAATGTTATGAAGTTTGTTTTGCTATGTTAAAACATTTACAAATAATTTGAGTTATAGTATAGTCCACGATCCTGTTCCTAACACGTTGTGCCAAATGTTATACATGTTGTAAGCCCTTTACGATAGACCCTCGTCTTCCATAGGCTTTATAAATAAAAGTTAAAAAAGTAGCGAGTGAATAATTTCACAAATGTATATCATTAAAACAACAAAGTCTTTGTACAATTACGTATTAAAACAATTTTTACAATATCTTAAAAATAATAAAAAATTTTGAAAGTTTAATAAATACTGAATGAACACAATTATTGATTTTCATTTTGTAACTATTCTTTATTATCAAATAACTGTTGTGATTTGGCGGAAAATGCTGCTTCATTGTTTTTCAATATTTTCAAGCCCTCTGTAATGAAAATAAATCTATATGAGTAAGTATATAAAAATTATTCACAAAATGTGTTGGTAAGCGCAAGCTGAAAAATGTTTGCTGTGTTTTAAAATCAGGATAAGTGTAATGTGATAAAATAAATTTTTTAAGAAAAGTAGAGTTTTCCCTTTCGTCGTTGGCAACACCCCTGCGAAGCGAGGGCGGGCCGCTAGTTAGGTATAAATCTGTTTTATTACACAGGTTTTTGAATAAATATCTATACATATATTATGATGAAACGTTAACCGTCGCTTACTGTGGTTAATCTTTCGCTTGTGCTATATCTTTAAGTATAGTAAACATGACCGTTACCTTTACCACGTCCTTTCCGACGCAGCTCAGCTATTCTCTCCACCTCTGTCTCATCTTCTGTCTCCTTCTCTCTTTTGTTAGCCTCCTCATGGGCTTGTTTTAGTAATGAATCTTCTAAAAATGTCAATTCTGTAATTTACAATTCTGGTTTAGTTGGTTTCTACACAAAAGAAGACGGTATAAGGACAGGAAGGGTCCTCCATTTTATCATTCCTTGGCTACTTCTTTCTAGTCGAACATAAGTATCTTTCGCTGTCATGACCCCCCTGGCAGACCTTTTAAGTTCACCCAAGATTTCGACTGCCTAATTTTTGGCAGGTTTGGCCTATACTCCGGGGATAGTCACAGTTTTAGGAGTATCCCTGTGTTTGCTGGTCTCCTTATTTATCGAATGGAAGAATCTCTTATCAGTTACGATGTTTTATAAAATCCATTTACTTCGTAAGCGTGCTTGTTTAACCAAATGCACGAATGTGACGGAAATTAAAATTGTATGTAAGGACAGGGATGCTCTGCATGTACCATTGCCTCCATGTCTCCATGGGACTAGGTCTAGAGCACGGAGTAAGAACAAAGAGGAGACGGCCTAAACAACTCGGCCCTGTGACACAAGTCGGCCCTCACGTCATCAAGGTGGGCGTGGCTTACGTCAGTGTAATGTGGTCGTTCGTCCTGTGCACAACTTCGATATAATATTCATTTTACTCGTCACAGAAGAAAACAAAATGAAGCCTTGTGTTTAATCTTGTAAAAAATACTATGATAAACGTTACGGTGCTATGGATGGCATCACTTTTCATGTATAACTTATTTTATTCGTCATTTATTAAAATAGTTCTAGCAAAGTCTCTTATTGTCAGCGTTTCCAATTATCAATCTACGCGACACTAGATGTCGACACTTTGTATCATAGAAACAAAATTTTTATAGGTACGCATAGTTCAGTATTAGTATATTTTAATGATCGTTTGTATAGTAATTTGATCGACATGCATTCCTAAAGATCCTTTAATCGCCAAAATATTATTTATGTAACTTTTATATCATTTTATAAACAGACAGCCATCTATTGTCAAGTAGTAAAACATAAATAAAGACAGGGGAGTATTTAGGAGTCAATTACTTTTTAAGGTTTATATCGTTGATTTATTTAATTCGCCAATGGAATCACTCAAATTTCACCCACCCCCTTACCGCACGCTGTGAGAGCTAAATCATAGTGCGTGAGTGTTTGAAACTGAAGGACCTTATTTATACTTCTGAAGTTCTTCTTTGGTTTTTATTTCAACCCCAAATTAAGGGCATCAGGACTTGGGTCATACAACTCAGATGTATCGTAGGTAAGCCTATGAAATGCCCATAACACACTCTGTCCTTCGTACATATCTTTCGTTCCATTCTTCGTTTATTTCGAAATATGTCGTCACATTAGGGCTAGTTTTGATCGTTTGGAAGTCGTGAAGATAATTAGCATGTGTTATATATGGCATTTCGCATTAGGATTTGTTATTTATGAAGAATCTGGCAGTATTATTAACTTTGGAATAGCATTTAACATACCACTAGTTAAATTAGATGTAATGTTCGTTATTGTTCCAAAATGTTGTTGAGTTATTGTTTTGTGTTTTTATGTTCCAAAATATTGTTGAGGTAAAACCGGCGAACACGTAATGCAAATCAAGTGGCATTATTAAGACGATTGCTGCTACATTATTACATTAGGACCGCACACTCTTCATTAGCATTGCTATTGAATATACAGGTGATTCAAAGTGCAACTTGTAATATTTCGAGAAATTCTGCTATGGCAAAAGTTTTGCAACTAACGTCAATTATTTTATGGGATGCACTCATACAATGGCGAATAAAAATCACTAGAAGCATTTAATCGAACCATGCAAAATTTAGGCACTCAACAGGTTTTTGGTTGCCTGTCATTCCTCGATCAACTCCTGCTGATGAAAAACCTGTTTGAAGTCATCAGTTATTTGGAGATATATATGAGTTGAGTTTTTGTTGTGTTACCCATGAGTTTTCAAAACAATTATTAGAAACTAGCTTTTGCTCGCGACTTTGTTCGCGTGGAATAGTAGATTTTGGGTTTAAAAACTAACCTATGTCCTTTCTCGAGTTCCAAACTATGTCTGTACCAAATTTCACTCAAATAGGTTCAGTAGTTTAGGCGTGAAGAAAAGACAGATAGAGTTACTTTCGCATTTATAATATTAGTTTGGATTGGTGATGGCAAAATACCAATCGACAGTACCGACGGATCGATCATTTTACCGAATATTTTTTATACAATTGCGCAATCTATAGATGAGTTGATTGAATGTGTTTTTCCGAATATTCTTCAGAATTGCAGGAATGATTAGTTCAGAGAATGCACTATTAGACAATAGCACCAAAGAACATTTATATCAATGCCATTAATTTTCAATAATATATCATTTGACTCATTTGGAATTTTACATAGAAAACAATATCAAAAAATTTTTTGTTTGATTAAATGGACATAATAGTATATTTTTGATAATATTTTATTATACACTTAAACGTAGTGAAGTACGTACCGGGCCGCTGGTAGTTATATCGTAGATAGAGGACTTTTCCCTTCAATACCTATGAAGATACACATGAAGTCTTTTATTTCGTCGCCGAATCCCTGAATCATATGTTTGAAGATGGCACCAGTCTAAACGCAGTTTCGAGTTACACATTAGTACAGTAATGACAAATCTAATAATAACACTCGTCATCACAAAGAATCAGCTATCAGCAGGGCATCAGCCTCTTGGTAGCATAGTATACGAGTTTCTGCCTCAGGCTACGCCCTTAACAGAATAACCCCTTATAAATGAAAAGGATGTTACAATAAAATGGTTTTGATAATTAATGTAGAATGATCCTCATTCACCAATAATAGTATTACTATATCGATAAAAAAAATATGTATCAAGATGATTCGCAAAGGTATTTAAAAAATAACTCTCCGGTAATTCTAAGTACGACCCTGTTGCATTCTGCATTTAGTGACATCTATTGTGAAATAGTTACATAACTACAAAACGAAGTAGGTAAATTGCATGAGAGGGTAGTTTTGCTATTGACCGGCAGATGGCAAATAAAAAGTGGGCGGAGTCTAATACCCCCCTCACCCCGCAAAATATCACGCGGTGTTTCTTAGGGAAATCTAATTATGGCATCTCCTCTTTGTTCTTACTCCGTGGTCTAGAGTCTATGTGCGTGTAGTAGTATACTGGGTATGTAAGAATTTACTTGTGATTCTGGTATCCATCCCTATCCAAGGCCCTTTGAAGATGCTCAGAGCAGACGGCCTGGCTGTAGGATCCGGTTCCATCAATTGTGTCACTTGTTGTTTACATTCCGGTGACAGTTGATTGACCACGTTTGTACGAAAACGCCACTTTCGCATCACCTGCTTAAACAAATTGAATTAACTTTCAATATTAAGATAACTCCATAACATTTATTCATCAATTTGTTCATGTACACCACCATTTTTATAGTTACACCACCTAATGCGACAATGTTGCCATACATAGAAGCAGTTAAAAATAAGTAAGTAGTTTTTAATAAGTAAGAGTGCTTGATAATATTTGCCCTAATACGAAAATTTATAGCAAGTACCTGTTTCTCATAGAGTTTCCTAACAGATGTCTCATTGAAAGGTAATGCTTTGTTGAGCATCGTGTAGAGGATTACGCCGATTGACCACATATCCGCATACTTGGGTAAGTAAGGCACACCTTTCAGTACTTCTGGAGCAGCGTAAGATAAAGACCCGCAGTAGGTCTCGCTCAGAATGTCGTGGCCGCGCGAACGCACATAGCGTGCGAAACCAAAATCAGTAATCTTTACATTATAATTTGATGTTATCAAAATATTTTCACACTTGAGATCTCTATGCGCTATATTCATAGTGTGTATGTAATTAATGCCCGATATAATTTGCCTCATCCATAGTCTGCTTTGATTCTCTGGCACTGCGCCGTTTTGAGTCAAAAAATCTAGTAAATCGCCGTTTTCTGCGAAACGTAGAAAAATGAAGTATTTAGCTCGTCGTTGAAAAATGTGAGAGACGTTCACAATATGGGGGTGGTTGATTCTTATTAGAATGTCTAGCTCGCGTGGTAAGAACTTAGTGAGATAGTCGCGCGGGGCTTGCGCTGTATCTATCACTTTACAGGCCATCACGGCGTGCCGTGTCTCGTCGACCATATGTGTAGATTTGTAAACCTGCAAACAATTTTTAGTCAATAGTCAAAATACCTCTTTTGCAATATTTATTTGCATCATATTTTCAGCTGCATGTTTATTTACCTTAGCATAGGAACCTTCTCCGACCAGTTTTTCTAGTATAAATCCCTTTTCTTGTAATATTATGAGATCGGATTGTATAGTACTAAGATCTACCTTTTCAGTAGCAGGACCCATTTATATTAGGTACATTCTCAAACAGTATTACTTCATTTTCACTTTTAATGGTAGCATAGTGGTATACAGTTGTTATAAAATATTATGGTGTATAGATATTCATTTTTATTGGTGTTGATTTACTGTAAATGTTGAAATGTATTCATATGACATTTATGTTTTGTTATTATGTCAAAATAATAGCATTGATACCAGTAGGTATCTAATGTCAATTTAACATACCTACGGTAAAAATATGATCCTTTTTCGTAGAAAACTTTAACCCTAATATAAAAAAAAATAATGATGTCTGAACGAGAGACTTCTCCGGCAGAATTCGCCGTAAGGTGCGAAAGCGTTTAATGATCGCACATCCTATTCTTACAGCTTTAGTGATTGGTCATGAAGTACAAGATGCATGTCATGATGTGTAAAAAGCTTTATCATTAGTCTATGAAGAACCTTAACCTCAAAACATCAGCTTCCGCGGTTGCCGGTAACCACTAAACAATTTGCTGAAACCTTTGGCAATAAACTAAGACAGCCTGGATCCTGCCTACACAATCCTCACTACCTCAAATCAGGAAGCAAGTTAGTAATGTCAGTCCCATTGTTTTGTATTCGAACATCTATCATCAGTTCAAACAATCGGTCGAACTGATAATGATCTTCCGGCGGCGGTATTCTCGAACCGATACGACCTTTAAACCTTCAAGAAACGAGCGTTCTCCTTCCTAAAAGGCCGGCAACGCGCCTTCAACAACGCTCCTCTGGTGTTGCAGATGTTCATGGGCAGCGCCGATCACTTACCATCATGTGATCCGTCTGCTCGTTTGCATCCTATTCCATGAAAAAAAACTTATAAAACTCCATCAGATATGATTGATATGTAAACTGTTTTTACCAGGACGTCGAAGAACCGTTTACATCCACAGTTGCCTTCAATACCGAGGCATCAGGCAAAGTAGCATGATGTACTTCTTTCACTTCTTGAGCCTCTAGATTTTTCTGCAACTGCAGTTTCTCTTCTCGTGCCTTCTTGAATGCTAACGTTTCCTGGGGTGTCCATTCTATAATTTACATAGAAATCGTTAAAAGACAAATAAATGCACATACCAGATCTGGTTTCATTATAACTATCTTAATTTTACCTAATAATCTTGAATCCATCGCTATCCACTCACTGTTGATAATGTGTTCAATTTTGATTCGATGCTGACAATTTGGTTCTAACATTAGGGTCACCAAACGTTTACAGTTTTCTGAAAGGGAATCTATATATCGCGAGCGGAATTTCCAATTTCTATTTATTTGAGCTTGAAATAACTGTTTAATATGCTTATCTTCAAACGGCATAGCCCTGTTTAGCATTACATAGACGACGATTCCCAGCGACCACACGTCTGTTGGCTTGGGATAGTACGGCGAGCCTTGCAATATCTCCGGAGCAGTGTAGGACAGCGAGCCACAAAACGTTTCACTACGAATATCTTTAAGTGACTTATCAACACATGAACGAGCAAAACCAAAGTCAGATAATTTGGCGTTTTGATTAGCAGTCAGTAGAACATTTTCACATTTTATATCTCGGTGAGCTATTTCAAGTTCGTGCATGTACTGTACGGCCAAAGCAAGCTGTCGCGCCCAAATTCGGGCTTGGTCTTCCTGCACCGCACCTTTCTGGAGAATATACTCCAAAAGATCTCCGTGCTCCATAAATCTCATAAAAATGAAATATTTATATCTTCTCTGAAATATGCTGTGAGTGTGTACGAGGTGAGGGTGATTTAGTTTTATCAACATGTCTATTTCTCTAGGTAGAAACTTTTTTACGAAATCTTTAGGTGCCGTGTTTGTATCAATAACTTTACAAGCCAGTATTGATAACTTATCATTCTTCGATGGGTTTCTATATTCCGCAAGATACACCTGTATTGTGTGGTAGTTACGGTTCAATTAATAGTTCCGCATACATGTTATATTTGCGTACGAACGTAAGTATATTACCTTGGCATAGGATCCTTCGTTCAATTTTTTTATCATTTTATAGCCACGGGTTGCGAGTGTCAATTGTTCTGATCCAGTAAGTTTAAGTTCTTCATCCGTTTGATGAAGCTGTTCAAATAATGTTAGTTTTATGGTGTAAGTAGTGCAAAGTACGTAAATGACATATGAAGTAATTATCTTTTTTAAATGTTGCATATAAACATACCTTTGACTTGCCCTCCATTTATCTTTATCGTAGGTGCTTTGATGTGACACTGGCAAGAGATTTTATCATTTCACTAGGCTGCAAAGCAAACATTTGATTATGCAAAATAATACTAAATATGATTCCCTAAGTGTGTTAGCGATCCCTCTGTATAGGTAACAGTTTACCTTATAAACAGTACTTCTGCCGACGCTGTCTAGAATGTCTCCGTGTTTGGCAACTGGGTGCTTCCGAGATAGCGAGTTTCGTCGTTGTTCCTCTTTGGCTCGTTTGAGTGCCGATGCTTCTACTGCATTCAAAGCTATTAAGATTCCAGTTTAAAATATCACATTACTTGTAATTTTTAAATCACTTAGATAGTTTTTTTTATATTATGTGCGCTTTAAATGTAAACTTTTACTCTCCTAGGAAATTGCTTTAATGCACGATTTTCTTTAAGTAAGTTAAGAATAAATCAAAGAAAACTACAAATAAAATTTGCAAAAGAAACAGTTAAAACACACATTTTTAGTTCGGAAAATAACTTATCTTACTGGGGGCCTAATTTTAATGGCCACCATTAACCCCAGCAAACTGTGATGGCCTGATAAGTTCATACATATTAAGACTTCGTTTAGAACTCACTGGTAAGCCTACTATCCATAGCAATCCATTCGGAATTGAGCACCTGTTGGGCGGAATGGCGTAGTCCTGGATCGGGTTCCAACAGATGTTTGACTACAGACTTACACTCGGCTGAGACAACACTGCCTACTCTAGATCTAAATCTGTACTTTTTTCCCATCTGCTGCTCGTACAATTTTCGCATTCGCGTGTCGTCAAATGGCATAGACTTATTCAGCATCACAAATAAGACCACTCCCAATGACCATAGATCCGTCGGTTTAGGCAGGTAAGGTTTTCCACGCAGAATTTCTGGGGCTGCATATGACATCGAACCGCAGTAAGTCTCACTTTGAGCAAGGCCGTCCGTATCATCAAGACAAAACCGTGCGAAACCAAAATCAGAAATTTTCACGTTGTAGTTGGCTGTTAAGAGCACGTTCTCACATTTAATGTCACGGTGCGCTATTTCCAGCTCGTGTAGATATTGTATACCTAGCGCAAGCTGTCGAAACCACACTCTGGATTGATTTTCAGACACACAGCCGTTCTTTAAGATATATCCCAGCAAATCACCGTTTTCAGAAAACCTCATAAAAATGTAATACTTGGTTTTTCTTTGAAATATGCTATGTACGTGTATAAGATGTGGGTGATTCAAGCGAATAAGCACGTCGATCTCACGTGGCAAAAACTTTACAACAAAATCTCTTGGCGCTTTCGAAGTTTCTATAATCTTGCAAGCGAGTGAACACTTATGTTTATCATCCTTTGAACAGTATTCAGATAAATATACCTGTTAAATGACACTAAAATATTAGGTAAGAAACTAAAAATTCTGTTAGTACCTAACAGGGCAAGAAAATACTTTTATGGACTTGGTGTTCAAAAATACTAGCATTGACAAACCTTGGCGTAGGCGCCTTCGCCTAAAAATTTTTGTAATTTATATCCTTTCGAAGACAAAGTAATTTCTTCTGAGGTAGTCGATTTCAATTCTGACATGTTAATACAAACATGTGGTAAAGCATAGAGCACTGTGTTTTCCACACACCACCTTTCAACGCACCCTTTGGATTCGCTGGTCGGCTACTCATATTCAAAGGGAACGTATTCATTTTTATGAATTAAAAATGTTGTTTCAATAATCACTAAAATTTGTATTTACAGTTCTTCATATTGTTTCGTGTCAAAATGTGTCACCTTACGTCTCCATGACATAGGCAGCAGTTCCTTTTTCTTCTTAGCTATCTGCTCCTTTCGTGTTTCGTCATGTTACACTACAGAGGTAATAAACCAAATAATCGATTCTACAATAACTATCTACACCGAATCGCTCACAACTTGTAGGGTGTTTGAGGGAATACCTTCTTGCTCACTGTGTGAGGCAAAAGGGAGTGTCAGAATCTTACTGACTAAAACCACCCCGATCGTTAGTTAGAGCTCAGACCCAGACCAGGAGTTATCCTAGTCTGGGTCTACGCTATACATACATATCTGGGCTATGGTATATAGAAATGATGTCAATAATATTCAATGATGTAAATGAACTTTATATTATTATGATTATAATTATAGACAAATGTCCCGATATATTATAAATTTTATTTAATGCGTTTTGTAATTCCACTTCGTGATTTTTCTTTTGATGGCTCCTCAGGGACATTCACTTAAAACAGTCTCATGTAATCATGTGAAAAATAGTTCTTATACTTAAGTAAATAAACATACTTCACTGTTTTTTTAAATAATACAGGTACTTATATGCACCATTATTGAAACCTCGAGTAATATGTAAAATTTGAAATCAAACTTCTAAATTGCAAAGATTTTAGTTGTTAACGTAGGTAGAATGTTGTGATTTATTTTTTTAAATAACCTCCCTTTCTTACCTCAGTAAAATTAGTAGAATGGGGATGTCTCCTGGGTCATCCAGCTCCAGGTTATCCAGCAACAACAAGATTCTAATTAGTCCGTCATTTAGATTATAGAAAAATACTCGATACGTATTTTTTTTGTCCATACGATTATCATTGACAAAGATACAGCACATTCAAATTCAGGAGTAGGGGCTCGTGACGTCACTCTTTAAAATTTTACGAAATAAAGACGTAGCGCGAACTTTCGCCGCTCTGTAACTTTGTTATTTTAAGTGTTAGAAGCAAAAGAAAACATACGTATCTACTGTTTTCTGGCGTTCTAAAAGATGGACTAATTTATTATTTTTTAGTCATCATCCCTATTATGTAAGTACCCCAGTGGTGTAGAAAAGTACAATTAAAAGAACCACTTTTCTTTAACAAATTATAATTGGTACATAAAATATATTAAACTCTAATAAATAACATATATTCTTAAGTAACAAGTAGTTGCAGCAAGTGTGGGAGAACCATGCTTCGGTACGAATGGGCTAGCTAACAGAAAAGGCGATACACATGCGATATCGCCGTATGAGTTACCGGAAGGCCAGTTCCTCCTCCGGACTCCTTCTCCCCCCCGCGCTGATTGTTTACCATTAGGTAATCTGTCTGATCATTTGCCGACCCATGCCATAAAAAACAATTTAATAAAATTGTACAAAACGAACTTGTAACTTAAAACAACTTTGTTCTACAAACAATTGCTTATTACATTTCTAACTGCTTTTTGTTTAAAAATTCCCCAGCTAACGATATCCTTTGTAAGAAAGATGGCGCTGGTGTCAACAGCAATTCATATTTGTCGACATCTGGATGATTTGGGTACCTTTTTTCTTTACGTATTCGCTCTAACATGTGTTGAGGTTCACATTTTGACTTAGATTTCCAATCGCTGCTTAAAAAGTCTTGCAAAACTTTTGGTAATATTTTGAAAGTTTCTTTCGCCTTTGCTTCGCTAGGAGTCTGTAATGGTTCCGGTGGATTTTGTGGGACTATTATGTCATCGACGTCGAACTGCGTCGTCGGGGTGTTATTGTCTGAAGAGAACGGAAGTTCTTCCTCACTTTCTGGTTTACTGCTAGTGTTATTATAGTAACTATTGATACGATCTTTGACTATATCTCTTAGACTAGATTCATTCTTTGTTTTCTCTCTCTCAGTACCATCGATATTGACGTAACCAGTTCTCGTTTCAGTCTTAATCAATACTTGATTTTGATCTAACTTTTCAACTGTACCACTTTTAATATCTTCAGAAGTATTGAGTGTTGTTTCATTTTGTGCATCCTCGACGGTTTCATTTGGGGCTACTTTAGCAGAACCTTCGATGGTAGTCATAAATTTTATGTTGTCCTCTTCTTCTAACATTTGATATATTCTGTGAACTTCGCTTATATTGATGCTGTAAAATAAATAATAATCTATAAGAAAGACTCGAAATGCAAAAGAAACCCATGGACAATGTACTATTACTCAAAATGTGTAGGCATATAGTTGTGAAATAACTTAATGTTAATATGAAATTTCAGAACAACACTTACCCTTGTCTAGCTTCGTGGCAGCAATAGAGCATAGTAGGGTCAATTGGATGTGCTTCCGTATTGAATACATAGCCTCCAAGGTCAACAACACACTCTCCGTTAGGCGTGTTGATAATAGTGCCGTGTACGCCCGGGTTGTGGATGAAATTGTCCGGATCGAACAGTAAATAAAGATACTTCGTTGTCTCAGCGAGGAAAAATGACTCCATACGATCCTCTTTGCGATGATCGCGCACGTCTTTGATCTGCGAATTGTTTACAAAAGTAGTTTAGTATTTCGAACAGATAGGACTGTAATCTGTTCGAAATACTAATTATATCTGCTAACATTATAAAGCCGAGGAATGTTTGTTTAAACACGCTAATCTCTGGAACTAGAGCTCCACAAACACGATTTATGTGTTAGTCTATTTATCAAGGTAGACAATACCTACGGTAAAACATGCTACAATGAAAAGTAGCCAAACAACGGGTGAAACTACCAGAGGGTTGCTAGCAATATATGTATATTATACGAAACTAATCTGATTCAAATACACATCGATACTAGGTATTATAAAGAGGTACAATTTGTAAGTTTGTATGTAGTACCTAATCTTTAGTACCGCTGGTCGGATTGCCAAAATCCTTTCACTGATAGATAGCTACAATGTTCCTGAGTCCTATAGGCTACGATCAAATAAAGCCGAGCAATGGGTGAAACCACGCGAGAGTATATAGTATTTCAATATTCTTATGAGAAAAGTTGAGGAACTCACCGTGGCATAACCACAAGGTGTTCGCGCAGAATGCTGAATACTCCTCAAGATATCCTCCCCCATCTGCAGCAGTATAGGATCCCTAGTATCCCTGTATAAGTACATGATGGACTCGATTAGTTCTGGACGGAGAGGGTAACTTTCCCGAGACGAGGAAGCTTCGCCTGTGCCAAGATTGTATACTTCAGGAGTGAATCCATACTGCCTCCATACACTATGGTAATTGTGTATTATACGCATGGCTGTGTCGCTTTCACCTGTAAAGAAATATATTAATAGGTATGATGGCTTGTTACGCTTTCGAAGTTTTTGGAGAAAAGTAGTATATTATGATCTTGAATTTCGTTGGTGAAACTTAAAATAAGTGTTTTTGTTTTTGTATATTTACCACAAGTCTGGCAAGAACTTTAATCTAGTATGTTAGTAAATAAAATAAAAATCTATATCAATAAGTACCACTTCACTATCCACTGTGTATGTATCAACAATTAAGTATACTAACCAAGCTAAAATAAACGGAATAAAAGGAAGAGAAAACTTTTTTTATACCATAAGTCGGAAAACGGAGCGGACGGATTACCTAATGGAAAGCAATCGGCGCCGCCCATGGACGCAACACCAAAGGAGTTAACGAGTGCGTTGCCGGCCTTTTGGGAATAAGGCACATATTTTGATTTATTATTGCAGATATTTAAGGATTAGGAAGGGGGATGGGTTTGGCCTCCGGTAACCTTACTCACACACAAGGCTATGGTTGTTTCACGCCTGTTTTGAAAAAAAAAGTAATTTTACATATTCTTACCGACAAGACTAAGTACCCCAGGCCAGTAAGATTCAAGGGACTGAAAGACAGGCAGCGTGACATGTCCTCGTAACATGGTTGCCCATACGAACCAGTCGTCCACTTTCAAGTACTTCTCTATCGCTTTCCGCGCTTCTTTGAACATCGACATCAGTTCTGGTCTCTCTAATAGTATTGCACCTAGAAAACAGATTTACTTGTTAGTATACTTTTCATCATTTTTTTTTACGTGTAGACGCCATGGCACGCCACGCATATTATTTTTAGAGAATTAAGTTGTAAATTAGAATATTATTATAAGTATGTAGTTGTTTTTTTATTCTTAAGTTTAATGCATGTGGAGGTCTGTGTTTAATTTTTTATTAGTACAGTACCCTTACATTTAATAGAGTTTTATTTCAGTTCAAAATTTATCGTTAGATATTGTACTAGTGGTTAATTTTACAAATACTTCATAATTTGATCATTATTAAGAACTTGTTCCAAATAACTCCAAAGTTGTGTTGATTTTCAAAAGGTTTTTTTACAAATTCACAATACCTACATACCTTTGACTAAGTATTCATAATAAGAATCGACACCGCCGCCAATACCAGCGTCCTGCGCTGTCCAACGGCCCGTCATCACATCTATATGGTTACCCACAAGGCCTATTGGTGATTTATGATGATATAACGCTAGAAGTGCGTTATAAGCCACCTGTAAAACATAATTACTAGGTTTTACTTCAAAGTTATAAAATTCTAATAAGGATGATAATACCTGAACATATTTAATACTTTGTTTTGAAATGTCAAAAACAATACTTGGCTGCATGGTTGGCGCTGTGACTGGACAACTGACTGCATGCAATATATTAAGTTTTAAAAAGTAGAAAAAAAAACTGTAAATTGCCTCTCTCTCTTCTTATTTCTATGCTTTGCTTTTCTAAGCTTCGCTTTTCTCAACATTTCCATTTATTAAACAAATGCATTTATTTCATAACAAATTATGAAATCATTATTTTTCATACCTCTTCATATAATGGATCTCCGGTGAGACGACTTAATGTTCCAAATTCTATAATAAATGTACCCACACCAGCTGTGCAGGTGACACTTGTTTCTCCAGGTGGTACACCAGACCTCAGGTTAATGGTTCCATATGGCATACCAGTTGTGGTATCAAATGCAGCAATGAGCCTTTGTGCAACATCTTCAGCTAATCTCAAAAGTGGACCATTACATGGCCAGCCTGGTTCTAATTTCATACCTGTTCTGGATTATTATAATTAAAAAACATTAACAACTGAATAAAACTATTGTGGTTTATTACTTGATATTATTAAAGTTTAAAAATATGTACTTGTATACGTTGTATAGGGAATGATTTCATTTGAAAGGAGTAATCAATAAATAAGTTCTTATCACAACAGAGTTAATAATCCATTATTTTTTGAGTTTTATAAAGCATACTTCATTTGAATTGGAAATAAGTTATTCATCATAGTATTTTATCAATACTTACCTATGTGATAATAGATGAGCACTTAATAGTCCTCCTATAATCCTAATATTTGTTTCAAAAACAGAAACATTAATATCGGCATCAAAGTCTTTCTTTTGTAATACTAGTTCAACAACCCGGTTGAACTCAGTATAGTTTCCCATGATAGCTAGTGTGTCCAGAGCATCAATTAGAGTAAGTGAATAGCTTCCCCATGTGTCTACACCGTCACAGCTCAGCGGTCGTAACTCATCGTATGGATATGCGTAGCGTAAATAGCTATCATAAGCATGCTGAAACATTTCACGCACCTCCTCCCTTAAATAAAAGTTATGTTCATAATAAAGTGACTGTGATATTTCATTATCCTAATAAGGGCCGATTTAAATGAATAGTCTGAAAGGAGCCGTACAGAGGCGACAGAAAACGTTAGCTAAACTTGTAGTCACAGATAAATATAAATTAGTCAGATTTCTAATTAGACTTTGAAATAAGAATTGATCAATCAGGAAATACTCTATGAACATAAATAAATGTGACTATGTACAGGTTGGAATACTATCAGGAAAATATAACTTTACCTGAGCTTTAAAATATCAGCTTTTTTGTACACTCTAACTGCAAGACTTGTATCACATCCATAGCCTATAAATAGAAGGAATATAACCGACTTAAACATATTTTTCTACAAACTATTTCCTAATAGTAACCAAGATATAATCATTTATATTATTTTTATTTGTATCTTATAATATTTACGGATTCTAAGCGACTTCGCTGCAATTTACAGCTGTGTCTGTTTACGTCGAATTGTCAATGTCAATGTCAGGATGCCAACTAGTTTTCCATAAGCAAAATGTTTTATTTTTCACTGCTGAGGAAGTCAATAAGCCGTAAAGCCGAAAAATATAATTGAATAGCCCGAAATATATTTCTGTAGCATGTTAAGTCGGGTTGATCCAAAAGCCACTCGACATAAATAAATAATAGTAATCAAGACTGACTCATTTGAAATAAGGTTTACAGACAAAATTGCTTGGTGTGTTGAGTCGAATGCTGTCATGTATGTGAAATTGGGGCATTCTCGCGACAAAACACGTCACATACAATAAGTCTGTCTCTAACCTTAGTTTAAACTTATCAACCTTATTCTCTAAATATAATAAAAGGGTTAGTTTACCCAACAATACTTTAAACTTTATTCTAAAAAATATACTTATTTGAACTCATATGAGTTGTGCACCAATTAGTCTTAAGCTATCTTTAGAATATGTTTAAAGTTAAAGAAATTGCTTGAAAGATATTAACAAAGTTACAAGCAATATTATTGCCTTATTTTGAGAAACGAATTATCATCAGTTGACTTCTCTCCTCCTCGGTAAGATAAGAGTGTCAGACTAATCACCTCGTTCCTTATCCAGTTCTGAACAGGGGCCACGGTAAATTACTGTATAATTTGTACTTGTGTTCATTTGTAATTTTACTTGCACCCGCAACCCTACATAAGAAAAATGTGAACCAATGTGAACATGCCATACATTTATATTACCTGTGCACGCTACTATCAACGGTTGAAACCATAGAGTAATAGTGTCCATTGACAATAGACTACAATTTTGTAACTTGCGATTTCATTGGTCCAAATTCAAATTACCATAGACAAGAGAATAACGTAAACTACAACAGCTGAAACTTCTAAAATGTCTCTTGTCCGTTGACGCTTCGCTTGCGTTTTGAGGGTGGATTTATTCAAAACCGCCACATATTTCTTAATTTACTCTCAATTTTTAACAAAATGTGCCTTTAGTTCAAGATAGTAGTACATTTCCGCTTCGGTTGCCATTCTTGCATTCGCGAGGTCCGTGTTTTTCCGGTCTGGTATTTCATTTAGTGTTTACGGAAGCGGGGGCAATGGCTTTTAGAATACACGAAGATCAAGAAAATGCCTCTTTAGGCCTAAGAAAAGATAGTGCTGATGTGTTTGCAAATCAACGTCGAGCCCTGGGTGACCTGAGCCAGTTTGCCTGCAACCAAAGTCGGAACTTGAAACTCGTAAGTACACTTCGGTGGAGTAAGTGTTATTCTTTACTTATTCTGTTTTCTTCATAAGAGTTTTTTTTAGCCGGGGCTGACAAACGGGCCCTGTAAAGTTCAAGATGAAAACAGAACAATGCGTCAGATTAAAAACGAAAAGAACATCGTACCACCCGTGGCGCAATTTCGCGCCTTTAGCGTTTATGAAGACAAACCAACGGAGGCCGAGGTCAAGAAAAGAGAGCACACATTTAAGCCTTTTGTTGCAAAAGATACCAAGAAGGATAGCATATTTGTCAGTAACGAGAGTACGAAAACGCTGTGCCTCCAAGCTGAGAAGAAACCAGATCGGCTGATCGAACCACCTTCAGTTCGGTATGTTAACAAATTACCTAAATGTAACCTAATTCTCGAAGTCAGTTTAGTCATATTGCACTCACTTCCATTTTATCTAAAGTAACCTACCTACATATAACAAATGTTAATGTGCCATTTAACTTTTTTTGAATTGGTCTTGAAAATGTTCATTTTTGGTCAACTGGACAAGTTCTCAGCTTACTTATATCCATGAAAAACTTTTGGCTTGAGATTTGGGGTTCTATAACCTAACTAATTTCATCTTTATTCAGGTAGGATAATAACTAGCGGTAGGTAGTGGTCCAATCTTAAGTTTATTTGCTGCTACACATGTGTATTTCACATTTACCTATTATAACATTATAACATAAATTATGATTTAATGTTTTTGACTTTAAACATTTCTTGACGTAATTTGGCCCAAAGACAGATTATTATCTGGTTTGGTGCGGAATAACAATTTGGGTCTAGATCAGGGATGAAGCAGTTGAAAAAACTTAGTGTCAATTTTTGGTAGATACCTCTGTCAATAAGAATTTCAATGAAAGCAGATGAATGCTAAACCCAAGGATCTAATCCCTTTTTCAACCTTAGTGATTAATCATTGATTCATATTATGACACTCTCGGTAACTGAAAATGATTGGGTAGTAATATAAAGTTTAATGTCTGGTTGCTTATTTCTTTAATTAAATTCTTCATACCTATCTTGCTGTTGTAATACCAATAGCCTCCAATTGATTTTATTTTTACTAGGCCTGTACAAGAGAAGAAAAATGTGGTGGAATCTCCAATGTCAGTTGTGGACACCAGTGTGCTTTCTATGTCAATCTCTAAGAATGAGAGTCAGATCATTGATGATGAAGATGATGATACCACTACTGCTCAAACTGATCGGGAAATGTTCTTCCATGTGGTGGAATACCGACAGGATATTTATGAGTACATGAAGGAGATTGAGGTAATTATTGTTCCATTCTTTTCTTATAAGAGCTTTTTAGACATTAATATGATGAACCTTCATTACTATCATTTTGATATGAATTTAAGGTCACAGTAATTAGGCCAAATAACATTAGCAATTATTTTTTTATCTAATAGCATTTCTTGTCTAACAGCAATATTAATTGCTTTGTGGTCAAATGGTACTTGTCTTCACAAGAATACCCATTAATATCAACATGCAAAAATATTTAGAAATTTTGTTAAAAATGCAAGAAATGTATTTGACCTACATTCATTTGTTTGCCAATCATAATCTAAACAGACAATTAATTGCAGAAGCATTAGTAGTTCTGCAATTTGTTGCTGATTAAAGCAAATTCAATCTAAAACTAACAACTGGACAATACACCCAGTATTTTCCAGTTGTTAGTATATTGGTAGCGGCAAAATCAAACACTTTCATTTAATGAAATATCTTTATAAAGCTGAATTTTCTCTTGTAATCCAGCAATGATATATGTATCCATAATATTTCACTTAAACAATGTCACTGGTAGGTGGGTAGGAATGATAATAATGAAAAATGAGGGAGTGTTTATTTAAGAAATCCTGGAATGCGAATAAAACTGCTGTATTTTTTCTCTTGAGAAGGTGTACATGGGTAATCTAATCATTTAGTTAAAATGATCAATTAATTTGAAAGGAAAGAAATCATAAACATGTTAATTTTAGAAATTACTGAGCTGAACTTTTTGCTTACATTTATTAGTATGAGATTTAATATTAAGGCCTGTTGCATTGAAAGTTCTTTAATGGACTAAGGTGAGAATTTAGAATATTGCAAATAAGTATTACTTATTAAAAAACTATATTTCTTAAATGTACAGTTCTCTTATTACATTGAATAAAAATCAAAAGATAGTGTAAATGTAAGCATCTTTAACCAATATGATACAACTTTTTACCTCAGTCTCATTATTAAAAGAAGCAAAAAATGTATTTGTCAATATTTTTAGGCAAAGAACAGAGCCAACCCCCGCTACATGCGCAAGCAGCCAGATATTACTCACATGATGCGCTCTATCCTCATTGACTGGTTGGTGGAAGTGTGTGATGAGTACAACCAGCAGAGTGAGACCTTGCATCTGGCTGTATCCTATGTAGACAGGTTCCTGTCTTACATGAGTGTTGTGCGTACTAAACTACAGCTTGTAGGCACGGCTGCTACTTACATTGCTGCGTGAGTATTAATTTAAGTCCCCCATTGTATGTATTTTAAATTTAGTGAATTCTATAATAATTATCTTGCTTTCTTTTTTCCTTGAATAAAGAGTAACGAACACCCTGTCGTCCATATAAAATTAATTCTCATTATTTTTTGTCCACAAAATAACTTTTTACTAGAAGTTCCCACCTTTATCTGTAGCAAATCGATGATTGTCAGTGAAAATATAAATTTAAGTAGTTTGTATTTATAATAGCTTTAATTGGCAGTTACATTATTAATTTTTGAATTTTCCGACAGTAAATATGAAGAAGTGTATCCACCAGAAGTGTCAGAGTTTGTGTACATCACAGATGATACATACACGAAGCGCGAGGTTCTTCGCATGGAGCATCTCATTCTGAAAGTCCTGTCGTTCGATCTGTCTACACCGACTTCCCTTGCTTTCTTGTCCCACTACTGCATTTCGAATGGGCTCTCCAAGAAGACATTCCATCTTGCTGCTGTAAGTAACACATTTTTTATTTTTTTTTCAACTGTATGAATTAATCTTAGCTAATTGTACTTGTCTCATCTAAACTAATATTCTACAGTTTATAAGTATTAATTGTACTCCATGAATGGAATGATTAATACCTGGCTAATATTACTTATATTTACTTTCAACAGTACCTTGCCGAACTTTGCTTGCTGGAGGCAGACCCCTACCTGCAGTTTAAGCCATCAATCATTGCGGCAAGTGCACTTGCGACCGCCCGTCACTGTCTTCTGTGTGAGCGTTGCACAGGCGACGACTGTGAGAAGCGTGACCCTCGCGACGGGAAGGAAGCGAGGCCTCACGCCAATTGTAGTGCCCTAGCCTGGCCCGCCGCGCTAGTCTCTTGCTCTGGCTACTCTCTGGGAGACCTCGATGCCTGTCTTCGAGAACTTGCACGCACACATTCTCACGCCTCGCTACAACCTTACCAAGCTGTACCCGACAAGTACAAGAGCAACAAGTAAGTTGAATAAAATTTTCTTTCATGTCTAACAAACAGATTTACAGATCTTGTAACCAAAGATGACAGCTTGCTTGGTGCACTGACTAGGCGATGGCTGCTGTGCAACGTGCGGCAGGTTCGATTCCTACACGGAATAATTCTTTGTGTGAGCCACACATTGTAGTTCATGTCCGTGCGGTGTAATTTTGAATGAATGTTTGTAAATGCACCAACTATTTGGCACCAATCAATGTAGCAACTTTTTTAAACTTAAGAAGAAAAAGAGAATTATCTATTATTTTTAGTTGGGTTCCTGCCTATCACAATGTTTGATAAAGTTTTGGAAGTCTAATTTATGAAATAGCTGGAATATGTCACATTACATTTTGAGGAAATGACTAGTAATTTTGAAACAGATCTTTAAAAGATTATCAAGTGGTTAAATTTTAGAAAATCTTTATTTTTATTGCTTAGATTTGATGGCGTGTCAACGATCGAGCCGAGACCAATGTTCCCAGTGCCAAAATACCAGCCTCCAGCGCCCGCCAACTCTGCCAGGCCGGCTGACAACACTCGAAGCAGCTAGTGAATTTCCTCGATAAATAATATAGGTCAACGTGTTACTTAGAATTAGTCCAATTGACTTGATTTGTATGAGCTGGATGAGAAAACCGAAATAAGTGTTGATATAAACTTTGTGCATTTATTATTATTTGCTCAGTCTGTTGGTTATTTCAGTTTTGCAAACAGTATCATACACCTTGCTTATTCATCACTGAAAGTACAAAAGAACCAAATCATGGCCAGTAAGAATCATAATTAGCTTTGGTTGGCCAAAGATGTATGTACATATTGAAATAATTGCATAAGAAATTGCACTTTTCCAATAACTGAAAACAAGTTCTAAAATAGTGGATAACAGTATCAATAGAAGTAATGTTAATTTCCAAATTATGAATAAGCATGTTGCCAAGCAAGGGAAACGCGTAACTATTACGGACCTCATTTTTCATTTGAGGTTCAATTTTAACAGCTTGAGGTTGAATTTGCTGCGTAGTAGAGCACACAAGGTGAGTACTAAATGTTTCTCAGTATGTCTAATTTAAAACCAAGACTTTATTGCATTTATCCTATCTCGATATGAAGAGACTCAATCTTTTGGATAATTACGTATATTGATTGGGATATTTTGTGAGTTGTTATGCTAGTTTTAGTCTTAACATTTTCCTATGGAAATAAAAATAAAAACTTCGACTTCTGTTAGCATGTGAGATCTTTTTGCTTATTGTGTATTGTGATTTTATGGTTGCACGACGAGTGGTCCTCAGGCATCATAATTTGTGAAAAATTTATACTTCTATCTGTCACAACATATTAATATTAAAGGATTCGTTTAAAAATAATCTATTTCAACACTCGAACACTCGCCTAGACCATAATCTATGTACAAATAATAAACTTAGGTTTGTATCTATTTTATTTCATAACCCTTCTGTGTTCAATGGAGGTCTTCCGCGCTTTCCACTTACTTTTTTACAATATGAACTTTTTGCGCCTAAACATACTTACAATTTTGTTTTGATTTGAATAAAGGTATATTCGGGACCAAGACAAGGTTTCATAGATAATCAAGATGTAATTTGATGGAAATTCTACAGGGTTTTACAATTTAGCTCTTAGAAATCTACATTTACAAAGCTTTTGAATTGAGTACTATGTTTTTCTAATTGGAAAATCAGTTCTGTTTATGATTCACAATAATTTCATTTTGGTCATATTCTAATTGATAATAATTAAACAGCATTTCAGTGCTATGTTTGTTAGTAAATTATTATTTTTGAGATGTAAGGTATGTTTTTAATATTGGTTAGTTTTTAATGTAATTTAATATAATATAATCGATATTTTTCTCCAGTTTTGTAAATGGAGGTAAGTACGAGTACCTTTATTGGTAATATAGTATTTTAAATAAATAAATATGTTGTTTTATTTACGTAATCAAGCGCTATTTTAGTAACTTAAAAGTTACTTTGGGTTTAAACATATGTATTTACTCGTATACTGTCAGTCACCGAAGTCCTAGAATTATTGCATCGAATCACGTTCCTACAATAAATGAAAATATATATGTTAGGTCGCTTACATTAGCTATATTAGTGGTGGCTAAGATGTGTGCTAGACGAGCTACGGTCAAATCTATTTGGAGATCGTCTGCGTCAGCGCAGCGAGGCAAAGTCGCGGCGCGCCCCAGAATGTAAAGTCGCACTACAAAATGCAGCACAACTGGCAGGAGCAATTAAAACGAGATTTGAATTTCTTTGACTTCATATATTTTATCTTAGGAAAATAAAACTTCATTATTTTTAAATCTTGATGTGCGAGGTCATTTAGATTAATAGATTAATTAAGAAATATTTGTACTGTTGACTTGCTGTAAAACGATTCGGTGGTTTTATGAGTTGTGCTTCTCCTGTGTGTACACATTGCCCAATCCTTTTTTCGTTGAATTTGATCCTGAAACAAATACAATGTCTAAATTAAATAAAGTAACAAAAAATTTGCAATTACTCTTGCGTAATCGTCCATTTATGATATCAAAAGTTCCTTTGCATGGAGGTAATACTAATTGCGGTTTGTATCGGCCATATTTGAATTTACGGCTTGTGCGCGTGTGCATGGCATTTTAAACGGTCTCCAGCTGCAACATTCGCAAGCAACCTGTCGTAAAATCTTGAAGATATAAAACATCTATATATTTTTCATATCCGTACAAACTTCAAATATCCGTAGAAATGTATTGGCGCGTTTTCTTTTTCTAGTAACGTGTTTTTCATTAATAAATGCACTAAGAATAATATACATTACTAGCTGTGCGGTATTTATTAATCACGAAGTTTATAGTAGCCTATGGTCATCGGAGGTAGCTTCCCAACAAAATGAAAAAAAATCATCAAGTCATTCAAATCGTTCATCAAGTCGTTTTAGCGTCTATTCAATTAAAAAACAAACTACATTTCAAATACATTTATACTTTTTATAGGATGGATGTAACTACGGACCAGCTTTACCAGTAATAGAGAAAGATATTATACGGGTTTATTTTTAAGGTTTCTGCATTCTGTTTATATAAACGGTAATGTTGGCAAGTAACACGAAACGTGCGAGAAACATCTACATGTTCTGTATTTCCAGGAAGCTTCTAACTAAACAACGCGCTACGCCCATTTCAATTTGTTTTAACCTTCAAATGCTCGCCAATTCTGTGTTCTGTCTGATACACGAGACAAACAATTTAAATCTTGGAATCGGCAGCAGTTGTGAGACGAGAGACGTGCACAAATATGATAAATCATGTGCCATTCAGTCTGTGTCGCGCGTCGAGATATTTGTAGCGCGATAACAGTTCAACGTAGGACAAGTCACACGCGACATTTGTTTTTGTTGTTATCACTTTTTTGTTCATACGCAAACCCATGATTAATGGGGCCCTTTCTCAAAAATACCGTTTCTTCGATCGTAGCAACACAACAACGCGGAACTATCGTAATGTTTTATTGGCCATGACTTCCTCCCGCTAGTACTCCTTGCTTTACCTATTGATCTTGTCGCTATTATATAAGGACGTGTTCGGAAAATTAATAAATTGATCATGCGTACTATTTACTAATTCAGTAGATGAATATTAAACCGTAGTACCTTATGCTAAAGTTCAGTTTGCTTATTTGAGAAACAACGGAATAAAAATGCGACTCGTAAGAATTTAGTGACTGCCCTTTTAGGAACCTTTTGAGTATCCTCTTTTATACTGTTATAATTTTATTATAAAATAAACATGCCAGATGTTAAAACTACAGTGTAAGTGTTGAAACTTTAGAAACACGTAGTTACGCATGCATTCATTGGGTGGGGTGGAAATGGCTCACTTGTTAGAAATTGCTCTAAGTACCTACTTAAATCTTAAGATTGCCTTTTCCTATGCTTGAAAAATAGACAACCTTTATTAAAAAAACAAATACCGATGCATTTAGGGACTATGCTATATATTTGTATCAACTCTAAATCAGAATACAAGTAAAGAAATAATAATAAAATACTCCTGACTTTCCAAAGGAAGTGCGACGCGATCAACACTAAAAATAAAATAGGAGCTTGATGTTTTTAAAACATTTTATGATTGGAATTTTTCTTCAGTACCTATATTATTGTATTATGACAACGTGCTCATGCATGGTAAAGAATAAAGCACCATAACGAGCCTACGAGCTACTTCCGGAGCCCCGAAAGGAAAGGAAATTCACTCGCGAATTTGCCATTCTGTGCACGAGCGTGACATTGTCCCGAGTGCTCCACTGTTCCCATGCTATCTGGTTATTAATATCCATCAACACAACACACGTTTGTTTTGTATTGAAATAATAATTAGTTTCCTAAATTTAGAAGGAAGAGCAGCGTACTCTTTAAAAAAAATATTTAAGCCACACTTTAATTGTAGCCGCTGAAAGAGAGGTACACGCCAAAAAAAATTGTTAATTATTTTTCTTGGAAAATTGAAGAATTGTAAACAATGTTTGATGTTCGAACTCAAGATCTGCTGATTTAAAATAAATATAGGTACGCACGAATAGTAAGTAGAACTGGATGTCCGGAAAGATTCATACGAAGCAAGTGCGAGCTCAGCTCTGGCAAATTCGACTCGCTTCGTCTAGTTGATGTTATATTTATGATAGATGTATAAAACAGATAGCATGGAATCTGATGAAATCTATTTATTGACTGCGCAAACATCGTGTGAAAGGAAGCTTTTGGGCCATTTCCTGGCGCTGAGTGAAATGGGGCCGAGCGTGCCGTGACGCATGTTTTTACCTCTGCATCCGCTTATAATTATATCTTTTTTCTAATCGTATTTTTCTATGAATTCTATTCACTCCCACCCTATTCAGATACACATGAAAACCTAATAATGAATTTTGAATTTTTGCAATGATAATACTTGTTCGTACACCCAGTCTGCTGATCTCTACTAAAGTTCAGAAACTTACAGAAATGTTAGTACCTAGGTACGCATAACGATATCTATTAGGTGCTATCTACCTACATTTATAGTAACCAATCAGTTTATCTTCAATAAGAATCTGAGTACCTAGATATTGAAATAAGTAATAGTCCTTAATTAACACTTTCAAAACAAGGAAACGATAAAATTTCACTACGTAGTGGCTAGGTTAGTGCACTATGGTACCTATACCATAGGTTAAATTGTACACCCAACTGAAGTTAGCACGAATGTTGCTTTATTTACTTACGTATTTCCGTAGTTTGACTACGTTATCAAGAAGCCATTAAAACTCAATCTTCTTTTGTCCAAATGTTTAGATCGTTATTGTTATTGAAGTATTGTTTATCGTCCATTTTGTAAAATGTTGACGTATCTAAAAAAGAACGACATTTTAGTAGGAATTTTTAAACGTCGTGTATGGACGCGCGCGTGATATTATAATCAAGAATTTCAGTCGTGAAAAATCGTCTTAAGTTAGGTACTAATAATAGCAATTATGTAATATCTTTTTGCTCCTACAGTAAGACTGACTATTCAGTACCTATCTAGGTATAAAGTTAAAATGTAACTACACAGCTAGCCATGACGTTATAATGTAATGTATGTTGGTAAGTAGCATTACACAAGCCTGCCTAAGCCTGCCAAACTGTTGCTACTGTTTTATAAAGGTAACCTAACGTACTAATGCAAGATTACTTTAATTTTACTCCATTCCATGAAACACAAACCTTTGTTTACTAGTATGAATGAACAAGATCATAATTATGTTTAGACGAGGCACCTAATCGGTAATTAGAAACAAAGTTAAGAATGCATACGAAATAATTGTACTTATTGTGTTTGTTGTAGTCTGTACTGTTAGAATAAAATGTTCTGTTAACAAATAGTGTATCTACAGACACGATTTGTAAAGTTAGAAATCTCAAACAACAATAATGATTTTACCGTGACCACGATCACTAACGTGACTCGCGTTTAAATCGTTGACGTTTCCATTGTACTGAATCCACAGACGATAAAATCAATTAAGTATTGAAAGTTTAATCAATTATCTGAAAAGTTTTTTGTTGATTCTAAATTTAAACTCAACGATACCTATTAGTTATGTAACAAAGTTCCTATCTACGTAAGCTGCTTAGCTTATTTTCTCGACAAAATTAATTGAAATTTGTGGTAGCTTCCTACCTAATACTTTTTTTGTAAGTATGTCTGTTTTATCTTTTGCCAACATAAATAATATGTCTTGGCTCATGACTATGTAGGTATTTATAAACTGTAATCGTGATTTTTATTGACTTTGAAATCGAAGTTTGATTCTTACTAGCAAGACCACATGGCGCTGATCCTTTATCCCACGACGCGCACGCACCTCACAGAATACCTAATAAGCTATCGAGTTCAATGCACAAGGTTGCGCTTGCTCTAGCCCGTATTTCTAGTAGGTACCCACTTCTACTTCTTATGCTCGGGTCAAAATCCTAAGATGTCAGTGCAAAATAGCCAAGACTTCGTTTTTTTGCGATTACTTCTACCTACAACATATCTTTTCTTTTGGGTAAGTAGGTACTTACGCAGCACAGCTAAAAATAACCTTTGATTACATACCGACTTACAGAAAAAAGCAATCTCGCAGCTCAGAATCAAGAGTTAATTACGTTTTAATAGATCTTTCAACGCGAACAATGAAAAACTGAAGGTTGAAAAAATTTTATAAGAAACTGAACTGAAATTTTATATGGTACTGAGTACAAAATATTTTCCTCAAGTCTTGTATCATGTTATTTTAGAAAGCGCGCCAAACTGCCGGTTCAACAACACCAATTACCTATGTACGTATCGAAAGGACTGTTTAGTATTTATTGTTAATTAAAATTTATTGTTGTCAAAAATCGGTATAAGCAGGAAGTGTGGGCCTTCCCGGCGGCGCGAGTGAAGCCCTGGGGCGGAAGCAGCGGCGGTCGGCTCGGCGACAAGCTTGCATTACAAATAACCCCCTAATGAACACACGTGCGTTACTTACTGCCAGATTGGGTCGATTACCTGCAGTCTGAAGCGACCAAGATAATCCTAGTTCAATTACTAGGTACGTAATTTTAGTCATCTGTTCACGCTGTTCACAGGGCTATCGGTCCACCATGACTTAGCGATTTGATGCTTTTTGTTGAATTACACAACTGAGTATTTAAAAATAATAGAAGTCCCTCTAAAGCTCTCGTTGCTTTACCTACCAATTATATTATAATATGCATTTGATGCACAAGACACAAATAGTAGATCGTCAGTTCAGTTTAAACAATATACGCATCACCTTTAGATATTCTGAAGGTTTAAACTCACTAATAATATTTGCTGACCCGTTTTAAAGAAGAAATGTGTAAACTAATAACAACTGTTTGTTTACGTGAGGGGCCCAGGTGCTTGCCCATGAACGCTCTTCTGCCCGTGTTTTTTATCGTGTCTACTTTTTTAATGTTTGTTACACGTACCTTCACCACAAACTGACGTTTGGCAGATGTTAGTGTTAGTACCGCTTCTACTTGAAAAATAGGCATTTGTTGTGGTAAATTAATATTTTACGCACTTTTTATCAGGTAGATTAATATTATCCTTGCCATGACTTGTGTGTTTTGAAAGTAACTCCATCGCAATTTGGAAAGCGTCCATTGCAACACCATTACCGTTGTCGAAGGTATCGAGTGTAGAATGAATAAATGTATCGACAGCGCCATTAAAATTTGATCGACATCGAGCACACGCGCGTGACGGCATCCCGCGGCCTCCATGTAGCGCATCGTGGAGCCATATAACAACAATTAGGAACAAGCCGCTTGTAATGCTGACAGCCAAAGGAGGATGATGACGACGTACGTCGCTGCTCTAGGACGTCGTCGCTTCGAGTAGCTGTAAGTGTTGACACGTGTCTAATTGCTTATCAATCGTACATTACTATGGAGCGGGATATTGCAAATTTAACTTAACCTATCTGAGGTCTCACATGAAATTTATCTAGGTACCTAGGTACTTTTTGAGTTACTTGCATTCACACAACTTTGACTTCGAGGACGCTCCGATCAAAAATAAGCAATATTATGCTGGCGCCAGCCCCAGACGTTACAAGAACAGCCCACGCCTACGTAAGATCGTATTTTAAACTTGACTGGAATGGCGCCAGACACTGCACCGAGGATCTTACTCTCTCGACCTGCCCGTAAATGAGAGTTATGACCGCGTAAACATTCCTTTTTTGGGAACGCTTTTGTTCTTTGTAGCTAATTTGTAGCCGAAATAATACTAAGCTTAGCTTACAAAGTATACTATTATATTTTCATATTTTAAAGAAAAAGTAGTTAACTCACCAAGCAATGCCTCCTTGCTCAAGTTGTGAATGTTGCAGTAGATGTGGTGGTCGGTCGCCACGACCGGCGTTGCTGCCGTTTCACCTCCAGCCTCCATTAATTTAAGCTTCGCTGTTAAGTCTTGTACATCTGCAATAATTTGTATCAACATTAACATTCAATTGTAGCTTAGTACATACCTTCCTACTAACATTAATGTGTACTTTGCTGTAGCCATAATCAAATTAAATTTTAGTCAACGCCATAAGGAGGTGGGTGGTTAATTAAACTAAATCAATACTGTAGTTCTAATTTTGGAATATTCCAATGCAACGATAACCGTTAGCTATTGTTACGCGTGCGGTCCGCTAGGCAGGTCAAAATTAGTAGCGCACATGTTCAAACAAACTGGTATTGTTTACATGGGATCGGTGAGCGCGCGCTGCCACAGAATTGGGTCCACGCCTACGCCTGCTAGCTTAAATTTACGACTTTTACTTATAATTTTGATTGAACACTTCGAGAACAGTCCTAGTCTCTATACGAGTATAAGAGTGGTCGAAATGATATAAGTACCACTGTTAGTTATAAAATATATTTTTTTATAGAATATCAAGAGATGCGAATACTTATTGCAAATCTACTTACTTATACATTTTTTGAAGAGTACCAAAGCTACCTAAGTACCTACTTTTAAGGACCTTAATTTATTTATTGGCTTAGTTTTTGTATTATGTCCCTAGTTGAAATCAAGATACCCACACATAAAGGTGGAGCATAGTCATGTACTTATATTTCTCACTTTTAATGCAGTTTCTGCCGAAGAGATGAACCAAACCAAAGCTTAAATAAATAATTCGCATGGTGTAAACACGTTGGACGCTGTATAATTTGTGGTTTATTTATTCAGGATGGCCGATCAGCTCGCGCGACCTCCGTGTAATGTCGTTTTTATTATCCAGACGCCGATTACGTCCGACGAATATCAACAGAAGTGGATAACGAACTTGTGGGTCGTCTAGTTTGTTTCAAATGCCGTGGTTGGTCTAGCAATAAAGTCATGTTCTACAACAATAAACGCTTTGTTGTGGTATCTCGACACAGAATTAGCCACATATGTTTTTTCTATCACTAGTCCAAAATACTTTAATGATGTTTTAAAATCAAAACATAAATACCCAATTTGAAAATTAATACGGTATTACAAAAAACATTTGTGAGAACAAAAAGATACTTAAATTAAAAGACGTTAATGAAGGATAGAAATCCTAAATGTGTGTTACGTCTATCTAAGACTTTAGCAATTGTTTTCAATTTTGCTTGCTAAAATTGTTAACCTGCAATTTTACTAAAATGTAGTCTCTACAAAAAATCAGAGACCGTTACACTTGTGGCTATATCTATACAATTTTGATGATGATTGATCGATTCAATCATGAATTCAAATTGGTATGTTGCCAAAAGGTCTATAAATAATCATACAAACATACCTAATTCTACAAAAAGTGGTTCGCACTGATTGGCAACGAAGAGACGAATATTGAACTCAGTGGCCCACTATTGGTGCGGGTGCACACAGGGTGAAGAGTTACCTAGGTACTGCTGGCTCATTTTTATATAGCTGCAGAGAACTGCAGGTAGATAATATTAAGTATATTTATTTCATCTAGAGACTGAAAATAAAAAATGTATACCTGATTTAAGCGCTCGCTTAATGACCCTCCATTGCCTTGCATGGTAGAGAGACATCACCAGGACCACGACAAAGAACACGAGGCAGCCGCTCGCAGCCACGGTCAGGCTGATCGTTTGCAGGTCCGACGACACTCCATTACTAGATGTCACTTCACTATCGTAGTCCACATACTCGTACTCCTCATCACTGGGAACCAGTTCACTCGTTTCATTGTTTTTTTTAAGCACCTGTTTAGGTGTATTGAAGGGAGAGATCTGGGCCTCGTACAACGACTGGCAGATAGTGTCTCTGTGGATCTCGCAGGGATATCTGACTACCAGCCGTTTGGCAGGGTCGCATCGGGTGCAAGGCACGCAGGTGCCGCGCTGCCGGTCCCACCAGCTCACGCCACGCTCGCAGGCGCCGCCACTTCCCGCCACACTCCCAAGTGCCAGTGTAGCAACCAGCAAACACAGTTTGGGTATATCTCCTTGCATTACCTGCAATATTTTGTAAATATCATATATAATGAGCTAAGTACAGATGTCCTATGTTGTATATTACATACTATTATGTGCAAAGTTTGGCGTAGGAGATGACCATAACAATTAATATCTTCCAGGTTCTTAATGGCAGCAGAGCAGTCATGTATTCTTGAACTTGGGTATTTTTCAGAGATGACAACCCTTCTAATATTATAAAATTGAAAGTTTGATGGGGATGGGTTTGTTACTCTTTCACGTAAGAACTACTGAACGGACCGACACGAAATTTGGCATAGAGATAGATAATAGTCTGGAATTACACAGAGGCACAAGCCAGTTCAAAATAAAAATAAAATGGTATCTATGTATGTATAAATATATCTATTTTTAACTAGCGTGAAGAAGGATAGTGCACTTAGTACGTGAGTAAATAACAACACCTAATTACCTAGTTGATGGCCTGTTAGGTGTTCTAATATAATTATCTACTAATTAACTAAACTCATTGATAAAATTGCGCGTATTTTTAAATTTGTTATAGAAATAAATTATATGTACACATTATTACCTCCTTGCTGTCTCTCATGTATGCTGTCTAAGTATTCATGAAGGACCACATCTCAGTAGTACTCAGTACGGAATAATTACGGTCGTTTAGAAAGCTCACTTTCACCGGTGTCACTATCGAATGTTTTGTATCGACTATGTATGTACAACTCCTGTGTTAAATCCATTAACACTTTGATTTATCACTAGCACACCCACAGTTGTTGTTTTTGATAAGTAGGATTATTATAATGAGCGCACTCGATGCGCTGTGGCTTGGCCGCGGTCGCCGTGCGTTCTGCGCTGCGCGGGAGACGCGGCAACACATTCAACTGTTCTGAGCGGTCCCCTATCCCTCCTACCACGCAGGATGCGCGTACACGTTACTAACGTTACCGGGCAATCCGGGCATTAGAAACTTACGATACACAAGCTCTTCGATATTGCGGGTTTTTCAAAGTCGATAAGTTTTTTTTTATTACGTTGCCTTAAATTGTATGTAGGTACAGACAGTATATGTACCTACCTACAAAATGTACCTACCTATTTTGTTAGAAACGGATTTATAAATATTATTATCAATCATATTGTCTCGCAACTTCTTCAACCTTTTTAACTTTAACAGGCAATGTACCTATATACTTATTATTGTCTTTGTAAACCAACATTTATTCTCAGCCGGGGTTTCAGGGCAAATGAGGCACCGCGGCCTCGGCCAAGAGTCAGCTTTTCAGTCAGTAAGACTCTGACACTATGGGCGGGAGAATTCATTTGATGATTTTCCACTTACGAAAAGTAGCCCAACATTTATTTCAATCGTTGTGGTTACTTTATTGTTATTTGTGAAGGTTGTAAAAAAAATACTGAAAAAGTTATTAAAAAGGGTATCACTTGTAATTGTTCTAAGCGTGCGTGATTGTAACAATTGCTTTTTTATTATTAAATTAAAAAAATAAAAATAATTAATTATCAACGTATAAAGTACCTATGTTGCAATATTCCGTATAACGAAATGTTTGAACATGACTTCGGACGATAACAGACAAGTGTTGTTAGGTAGTTTGAGAAATGATCCTAGAAATTGGGTGTTCTTCGAAATACATTTTATTATTACTAACTTACCCTTTAATATTTTTATTTAAACACATCTTGGTTGTGGTCAAAGATTAAAGATTTTTGAATTGGGATCGATTAGGTACTGATTTTGATTGTAAAGAAAATATTTTGTTAACGTAGTTAGCGGATAACTGACAGCTATGCAACGTGTTCCCCCGAAAGGCGAGTACCACTTGTGTGATCAATCCTTGGTTTTATCTGTTATACTTCTATACTAATATTATAAAGACGTAAAATTTGTAAGTTTGTATGTAGGGGGCAATCTTTGGAACCGCTGAATGGTCGGGTTTCCAAAATTCTTTCACCGAAAGATAGCTACTATATTCCTGAGTGCTATAGTCTATAAAACATCACGCTACAATCAAATAAAGCTGAGCAGCGGGTGAAACCGAGCGAGAGTAGCTAGTTATCTAGTATTATATAAAATTGCGTATTTCGAAAACTCACCAATAGCCCATGTCACGAGAATAAGTATACTATTACTGTGAGACAACGTTTTTCAAAAACAAAACAAAATAGAATGCTCGACAATTATTATATCTTATTTATCACATAAGTTTGAATTTGGTGAGGTAAAAAATTTCCTTTATATACTGTGTAAAAATCAAGGATACTTAGAAAGTTTTAGGACAACACCGATAAATGTCAACCTCATGTCACTGTCATGTCACTTGTTCATTCATTGCTCCGAGTCTGACTTTTGCGTTCAATAAAATTGATAACTACTAATGGGCTAGGTTTAATAGCATAAATTGTATTCACAACTCTGTCTAAAAGTCACGATTAGAAAGAAATAAAACTTCACCTAATGAAATTCCCCTAGCATGCAGGCATTTCAACATCTCTTCATGTCATTAGATTCAAATTCCGAATCATCTTTGACTTGTCACAGGGTGAACTTGTAAAATTTTAGATTTAAATACACAAGTTTTGTTTAAAGTGTGATTATTGTATTAAATATATATAGGGTTAGTCAGTGGAGGTAGTATCTACGAATACTTCTATTATATCAATAATACTGAATGTATAAACCTTATTTTATTTAAAGTAAGCAAACATGAACGCAAATAATGCTCGAAGACGAAATTCACGCGCAAGAAACTCTCAAGGTGATATTCAAGATCCATATATTTCCTCCACGGTCCGTATCCCTCACCAAACCATCACTAAACCAAGAATAAGAAATATAAGAACTGATTGTATTGGATTGTTTCATCCTCTCACAAGTACCTATCCCTCATGTTCCTTATTTCCTTTGTTGTTTAATACATAGTGTACTTACGTAGCTAGATTTAATGTTTGAATTTGAACTAACTAATTAATTGAAACAGCCTACTATTCTCTTAATGTTTACAATATTATCAGTTATTGTGAATTTATTTTTTTAGATTCAACAACTAGTTTGAAAACCAGTGCTGATGACTTGTCCACATCCAAGGCTTTGATATTAGTTGGAATAATATTTGTATCATCCCTGTTAGCTTTGGGGCTGCTATACAAACAGTTTCCAGATCTAGAAGAGTAAGTACCTACCCATTTAAAGTCTAAAACATCCTTGAAAGTAAATTGGAACAAAGTTCAATACTGTCATTTTACATAAATGTAACATAATTAATTAACTAAAGTGATGATCTATTTTTTATTTCATTTTGTTAAGTGCCTTAGACTGTTATTGTATGTTTAATGAATGACATTATTGATTACTTTATTTTCATTTCCAGGCACGAAAAACAACACTTGCATTTACCATGGGACCTTGAAGATGCTAAACACTTAGGTTTAGTACTAGACCGATATAAGGAAAAGTATTTTTACGAAGTATTATTTGGAGTGTTCTTAGTTTACATATTGTATCCTTTTCATATATCTACATCACTATCATATTGATGGGTTAATTCAATGAAATATCCAAAATGCATATTATATCAAATTATATCCTTGACTTGTATCTCAGTTTGCAAACATTTGCAATACCTGGATCAATTTTTTTAAGTATTCTTTCAGGTTTTTTGTTCCCTTTCTATCTAGCATTACTTTTAGTATGCTGCTGTTCTGCAATAGGTGCAAGTTTATGTTTCTTCTTGTCTAATCTTCTTGGTAAGAAGTTAGTGAAGAAATTTTTCCCAGAAAAAGCTGAACAATGGGCCATAGCAGTGACCAAGCACAAAAATAATCTGCTCAACTACATGATATTTTTGAGGGTGACACCCTTTTTACCTAATTGGTTTATTAATATGTCTGCACCTGTGATAGGTGTGCCTTTGATACCATTTGCTTTGGGAACATTCATAGGTAAGTTGACTTTACAGTTTACATAGTTATCTGTAGTATAGATGTTATTAAACTGATAGTTAAAGTTAAAATTGCTGTTGTTTAGATTTTATGAACATCACTGTGGTAGCATATACAGACTATTCTGTCTTAAAGCTTGGAATATTGTCTTTTAAATTGCAACTTAAAAAACATTTCTGTTTACAGGAGTAGCTCCTCCATCATTTGTGGCTATCAAAGCTGGTCAAACTCTACACACATTGACATCAACAAGTGATGCATGGTCATGGACCTCAGTGACAGTACTAAGTGTATTTGCACTCATCTCTCTAGTACCAGTATTCCTCAAAGACAAGTTGAAAGAAAAGTTTGAATGAAAGCATTTAGTTGATTTTTAGTTAATTTTATTTATTTTATAATTTAATAAATTGGTGTTTTGCACATTCCAGTTTTGTATTTTGATTTTTTTGGTATGATCCCATAGCCCCATAGGCAATAAATAGATAATAAATATAGATGTAACACAACTTCTACTTTAGGGAATTTCTTGTACAGAAGTTTCTAAGCTCTAGTCAGCAATATGAGCCAACATGAGCAATAAATGTATTATTCCCCATTGAGCTCTGAACTGCAGGCCTCCAGTACCACCAGTTATACCACACTGCAAGGGATAAAGAGTCATGATAACATATTTTGTGAGAACAAGGATTCTAGTTGCAGATATTTGTTTGATAAATGTCAAAAGACACTATTTAACTTAACCCGTGGTATGCCAGAGTATGGATCCAAACAAGACACAACATATTTTCTATTGTTTGTCCTATACTGGCAGACAAGAGGTTAAATCTTAGCATGGAAAAGAACAGACTTGTTATTTGAGCATCTATGATTTTAATGTGTGTATTATACTCACATAAATAAGTTTCCTTTAATTTTACTTTTAGTGTCTTGCACTGATGTTTACATTCTTCAGCTGGTAACAAATGGATTTCTCTAGAACCACTTAAAGCTAGTAGAAATGAGAAACTGCATTCTGTGTCAGGTATACTGAAAGATCTCTGACTTGTGTCAACAATAATAAATCTTTCAGTGCTTTGTCCAAACTTTGGAACTACTTCTGGTCTTGGTATAACTTGCCTTAACACTTTTGCTATATTCATGTTATTGAATTTCCTGAAGAAAAAAGTTGTTTAATAAGTCACTTGAGAAGAATACAAAATTAATTAAAACTTATTAATTAATTATTAATTAAATTTAAAATCTAATGTTAAATCTAATTATTAATTAATTTTAAAATCTAATGTATAAATACATAATAATTAATTATTAATTAGATAAAATCTAATGTATTTATACATTAGATCTTAAAATTTAAAATAAGTATCCAAAGTTATTTTAAAATGTCTAATGATCTGATTTATTATTTTAGTTATAATTATACATATGTTCAAATTTATATGTCATACTCATTTTCCCATATTGCAAAACTCACCAGATATAGAAGCTCTGGTCTTCTAGTGGTCTGTCAATAAATAAATAGCTTGGACTTGAATAATATTTATTATTTGTTAAAATCTTAGGCGACTCTTTATCAAAAGTTTCTCTGTTTTTTAAATACATTTGTTTTAATGCTTCCAAATTTATAATCTGCTGTGTAGTCTGAAATATAATTATAATTTTCATTATTGAGGATTGGTTGGAAAAACGAACCATGTTCAGTTTTGGATAGGAAAATTAACCTCATAAATAAATGGAGCAGTTTGTTGCTGAGTGACAGGTTTTGGATCATTGACCTCTCTGATGTTAGTCACTGTGCTGCATGGCCAGCAGTCCATGTCAACCACAGAAAAGTAAGGATTTTGAATCAGGCATGTTTCGTGATAGTATTCTGCAAAAGAAAATCAAATGGTGAATTATTGTTGTATGGTTTTCATGTTTTCCTCTTGTATGAAATGAAATAAAAGAATTACCTGTTAGGGAAGGGAACAGTGATATAAATGGAATTGTAATTTTTCTTAGTAGTTTTAAACCGGGATAAATAAACTCTTGTAAGTTACATACAATACTACTGTAGATACTTTTGTAATCATAAACTATGTAGAGTATAATAAGAAGCATAACTAGAAAAACTCTAAATTTGGTAATAAATCTGCGTGGAACATTATTGGGGCGTTCCTCATCATCTAATGTTTCAAGAGAACTTAAATACATTCTTCTAAATTCTTCTTCAGTCATGCCTGCGTCGATGCATTCTTTTTTGAGATGTTTTATGGAATTGGAATATTCTTGTATAACTTCGTGATTTGACATATTAGATAAAAAGTCATTAAGAAAGCAACTGTGAACGTTCTGATCACAAGTGATAAAAATTACAGTAGATAATTCAGAAACATCTCAGTATCAATATAATATCAACAAAAATAAATAACACATAAACAGCGCAGTCGCAGAATGCGCAGATCAGCTGTTTAAGTTGTCAATGTCAATTGTCAATTTTATGTAATTGTCAATCATTCATAAAGTAGTTTTTTGTTCTTTGTATATAAGGCTTTTTGCAGTACAGAACTGAACAGACAGAGTTCTCTCTGTTTCAGTTCGGAAATATATTTTATTTTAAATCTCCTGCAACAAATCGCATCTCATCACAAATTCTCGTTGTTTCATCAGTACCATGTAATTTATCTATGTATTTTTATTTATTTATTTTATATTTGATGTACACAGTAAGTTAGACAAGAACAATAATACAACAATTAGGTAGGTACTAAAAATAAGTTGTGCCTTTTTTTATATCAAATTTAATTTCTATCAAACAAAAATCACTAAGTTTATTCATTAAATAATCAAAGGATTATGTCAATCATAAGACAATCAGTATACCTATCGAAGTAGAAACATTCCAGTTTATTTTTTAAAATTTTTAGTTATTTGCAAAGAAAACAGCTTGGTCAGGATGAGTATGCAGGCCAATCGTAATTAAATGCTAACATGAGCATTTCACGAATAATGGTTTCATAACCGGTAGGCGCGGGCTATCCATTCGGATCTGATAACGATCGACCTTCGGCTTTCGAGACATACCCACGTTCGTACTTAAGTTTTCAATGTAAAATAACTTGTATGCAAGACTTAATGTTTTTATGCTCCTTTGATATCAACGCAAGTCAACTTAGAGGTAGATTATAGTTAGGTATATGAATTAATCAAACAAAGAGCCATTATTACCTAATATTTTTTAAAGAAGCTGATCTACGTGCCTCCATCGCGACTATGAAAACAGATGTAGACCCATCGAAAGTTTGTGATGTATTAAATAATAAAGACGATTAGACACTAATATTGGTTTCTTTCACTGAGACGATAAGATAAGACAAAGTAACTACGTGTTGGGGCCTTTTGATAACACGACTGATGTATAGAATGCTGTCAATACGACGATATGCTCTCTTACGGCTACAAGTTTTAAAATAAACAACATATTTTTTTTTATTTCAAAACAGTGTAATAATATTAGTGGTGTTCAGAAAGCAATATTTTTGCTGAATCATGTAATTATGACTGATACGTTTAGTGCGATTTTATATGGATAATGTCATTATACAACTTGAGAAAATGCAGGAAAAAGAAGAATAGATGGAGTTTAATACAAGAGCGCATGGAGCAACGTGGCGATGGCCTCTACTGCTATCTGTCGTGGTTCTGAACGTGAGTTGGTCTGCTAGAATTTACAAAATAATAGTACAGATGTTTCTCCACAAAATCAACACAATTCAATGTAGGTATCTACTTAACTCTGTTGCCAGTGACCTATACAAGAGTGGATTGCACCTACCAAATTAACAGTGTATAAGTAATAAAATGTTATTGAGTAGTTAATAAGTCCACAAGTGTTGGTTGGTTTGAGCAGATTGTTCAGTTGTTGTGAGTCCATGAATGTGTATCAATGCCACAGTGACGTCACGCACTATCGTTTGTGAGAAAACACTCAAGCCACAGATGCACAGGTGAATGATAAGGATTTGCGTGATTTCATCGTCACGCGACAATACAATCAAGTGGAACTGTGGAGCGACTATCTAACATCGAATTGCTTATCTACGTTTATTTTTATAACGTTTGCACAATTATTATTTAATTGGGTACCAAGCCTACATAGGTACAAGTAAAACAATGCAATTAAATTTGTTCATAACCACCACAGTATAAAAACAGTACTTATTTTGCATAGTATTTAAGTTCAAAGTCAAATGCAATGATGTAAGAACAGTTTCTTCTCAAATATTTACCTACTGGATAATAGGTAGGTAGTTATTCAATTCGATATTATTGTGTCTTGCCAAAGTATTTTTTTTACTACTTAGTAGCTAGAATAACTATTATAGATATTATGGTATGGTTAAGGTGCTTAAAATAAGTATAATGAAAAATTCTTTTATAAGCCTACGCCATAAATTAGCCAATGAAATAAATCATTGCAAAGTGATTAGTTTTGTTATCTAAGATAAATCCTTAGATATTTTCAAAGAGTTAAGGTTAATGACGATTGTGGATAATAATAAGATTCGTATTTATCGAGCGCATTGCATATAAATATGGCCTATCGATTCAGGTGATTTATTGAAAAGTAAACGATATTCTAGTATGTCCTTTTATCTAAATAATTAAATATAAATTAAAAATTAAAAAAAATCCCGACACAAAAACCCTAAGCTACCTTTAAAAAGTAAGTAGGTATATAATACAAAAAAACTTAATTGAAATCGTTACATCCGTTCAGGAGCTATGACGCCACAGACACACAGACAGATACGTCAAACTTATATTTTTTTTTGTGACGTTTGAGTCATAATCTTTCATTTGATACCCCACTTGAGCATATTCGCAGACATTCGGGGTTTCTTCCCCAGCTTAAACCCCCATAACATTTAAAAGCCTCAATCGATTTTCATCAAATATGTCTAAGAACACTCGCTTGTAAAACACCTGTAATACAAAAAAATTTAAATCGGTTCATTCACTCAGGAGCTATGATGCCACAGACAGACAGACAGACAGACACGTCAAACTTATAACACCCCTCTTTTTGCGTCGGGGGTTAAATACGTAAGGGATTTATTTCAATTTAGTTTATTAGCTAACATCGATTTAAATAAATACCTGAAAGTAAACTGTTTTACTTACAAGTTTAAGGCGACTTATAGAAAAAAGACAAGCCAATATTGTTTAGATTTAGTTAATTACCCAAACCGATGGACCATAGGCGCATCTTTTTTTTGAGGAGTGAAAATAATCAAATGAATTCTTTGGCCTAGAGTATGGCGAAAGGGATCAGTGACAGACGGTTATCTACTGACTAAAAAGGCCCACATTCCTTCTTATGTTCCATGCTACCTCCGTGGTACCTTATTGAGCTTGACCCGCAACCCCGGCTAAACATCGGCCCTGCTGAGCCCCATCAATCAATTGGCTCTTCTCGGGTCTGGGTATGGTCGGGCGGCTACTACCATAGCTCGACAGCCTCAGACCTGCGCTTACGCTGGCCAGACATCGTACTTTGATTACCGACGCCCGGTGTCTGAATAATTGCCTCATGCGCTCCGCCTCCTCCTTTGCGATCATCACTGCCTCGCAGAAATAGGAGACGGTTTCCCAGCTCCCAGCAAAACAAACGTAGAAACGTTATTGATAACTCATGAAGAAGGTGTCATTGTTCTCAGATCTAGACAGCATTGTAGGAGACTTCAATAAGAAATAAAATAAATCACCTGATTAGGGGCCGCAAGTATAGACTTGTAATACTCTGTAGACGTAAGCATGATTTTGATTTGAAATCTCGACAGTGACGAGTGCTACTTCCGATACCCCCACAATGGGTTATCACTCTAAACTATATAATCCTTATCTTTCCAGATCTGTTTGCCGAGTCTCGTGTATGCTTACGGAGTAATATTAGTACATTTGGATGAATTTCACGTGCCGATATGGGTCGGACTGTCAACTCCTACAATTTATATACTCATATACAACTTTACACGTAAGGGTCTTGTTATTTATTTGTCATTTGTATTTATCAATCGTTTGCAACGCCCACTTAAGAAGTACCTACCTGCAATGATAAATGTCACTATGTTTTGATCGATGTTTCAATAAAATGATAAAATACTTATACCTAAGTATCCCTATTTCCTTTCAATCAATTAAATTATTTCAGAATGTTGGTTCCGAGAAGCAGCAGACTCCTGGGGAGGAGCAGTTGGATACCGAGTGATGGCGACCTTAGGTCTTGCTATGGTGGTGGCTAGTCTTCTCATCTGTGCTTTTATTCCTTTTCATCTACAACCACTAGTTTATGGAATACTTGGAGGTAATTATTTTAGTTTCATTGAATTTACAATGAGTTTATTTGGTCTACCCTATTTTAATTTACCTATTTCTACTCTTACAGGTTTCGGATCATCACTTATTTCTGCACAAGTGGATGCAGTAGTATTCGACACTTATGATTCACGACTGGGAATTATTCGTGGCGTATGCTTTGCTGGACAAGCAGTCGGTCAGGCCATGTTCCCACATATCATAGTAGCACTAATAGAAGCATATGGGTACTCCTACTCGTACATAGTTCTCGCCGGTATAATACTTCAAACATTACCGGCGATCCTCCTATTGAGAGTCGACGAAAGTATACAAAGACCAATTTCCTACTCCAGATATAGTGATTTGGCGAAAACATATGCTGTCTTTAGTAACGAAGGCATGGATAAGAACTTCTATACGACTGAATTGCCTTTACATGACTTGAGCCAAAAATATTGGAAAAGTCCAGACGACAATATGCATAAAGAGCCAGATTTTTCAGAGGACTTTGAATACGACGGTGATGTAGTCGCTACAATTACTCCACCACCTAGTCCAGAGGAGAAAAGGAAAAATATATTTGGTGTTGAAATACTTCCAGAAATTCCGGAAGAAAGTGAAGAGAGCGAGTGTGAGGAAGAAGAGAAAGACGCAAGCGTGAACAAAAAGCGACTCAGTGTCGCTATCAAGAGACTGAGTACATTAGGCGATAGTTTTGACGATTGTATCACTAAGCAAATAAGACGAGACTCACTACCTGATGGTATCGAACAAAAAGATTATACTGAAGTAGAAGTGACTTACGATAATGTATCACCAGTGACAGATATTCAAAGAGAGAAAATATTTAATTCATTTAGTTTTCGTTGTCAGTCCGCCTACGCTAGTATGAGAAGAAGGATGTGGATGCCATCTTATAGAATTTATACGATACGAAGGAGACTGACATTTTTTATGTATAATATTAACGACACGTTTATAAAACCACTGACAAGATCATTGTCTTGTTGGAAGTTCTATCCTTCTTTATTATTGTATTTCGCTCGACTGAGCTTAACCTCTGTAGCAATGGTGTCACTATCGAAGATAGCTTCTGAAATGCATCCCAGGATATCAATATCTGATGCGAATTTCCTGATGACATTATATGGTTTCACTTGGATATGTTTCCTGTTGAGTATACCATGGCTTGCACAAACGCCTAAACGAAATTTTAAGTACGTGGCATTAGCTGGCGTGGTTATATCTACATTAGGATGCTTTGGTAAGTAAAACATATACATGTATTGCGTCTTATAAAAAATACTACTCTGTCAAGAAAGTACCGGGAAAAAGTCAATAATACACAAAATGTTTGTTATTCATCTAAATTTATTTTATCACCTTCAAAGTATGCTCCTTCAGAAACGATACACTTACGCCAACGAATAATCCAATCATCGAAACTTTTTTTAAACGCTGTTTCCGGAATTGAGTTCAGTGCTCGCCGCGAATTCTCCTTTATGTCTTCTAACGATTGAAAACGGGTGCCACGAAGGGGTAATTTAAGTGTGGGAAAAAGAAAGAAGTCGGCTGGAGCCATATCTGGTGAATATGGTGGCTGCTCGATGGTGTTTGTTGAGTGTTTGGACAAAAAATCGTTTACAACGATGGCCTTGTGCGAAGGCGCATTATCGTGATGCAACATCCAAGAATTTTCTTTCCACATTTCTGGCCTTTTTCGTCGAATTTGTTTTCTTAAACGCCGCATAACGCTCAAATAATATTCTTTATTTACCGTTTGACCTTCGGGCAAGAATTCTGAGTGCACAACACCGCGATAGTCAAAGAAAACAGTCAACATGACTTTGACTTTTGATCGACTTTGACGTGGTTTTTTCGGTTTTGGTTCAGTTGGAAGGCGCCATTCCGAAGCTTGTTGACTAGTTTGCATGTCAAACTCGTAAACCCACGTCTCGTCACCAGTAACAATGCGTTTCATGAATGTTGGGTCGGTATTGACTCGTTCTAGCATGTCCTCAGCGACTTTCATGCGGTTTAGTTTTTGAAGAAAATTCATGTCTTTTGGGACTAGCCGAGCGGCAACACGTTTCATACCCAAATTATTTGTTAAAATGGTACGGATCGACTCGTGAGATACAGAAAGTTCGGCGGCCATCTCTCTCAAACTTGAATGAGGATTTTCAGTCACTATTTCCTTCACTTTTGCGATGTTAACTTCAGTTGCAGACGTTGATGGCCTACCAGAACGAGGCAAATCTTCCATCACATCTCTACCGCTTTTGAACGCTTTGTACCACTCATAAGCACGTGTTTTTGATAAAGTCGATTCACCGTAAGCCTTCTGTAACACTTTGAGTGCCTCCGAACACGAAATTTCATTGGCGATGCAAAATTTAAGACAAACTCTTTGTTCGATGTTTTTGTCCATTATGAAATTCGCAATACACACTAGATATTATAAAACTAAAAGCAGCACTGTTTTTAATATAAATAACAGATGCAACTCAAATTCCGCGCCAGAATGGAAAACAGTTATGCCAATCTAACAACAACAAAAAAAAAAATTAAAATTCGAATTTGGAACCATAAAAAAAACATTCATTCCCGATACTTTGTTGACTGAATGTATATAACACTGCATCATCTTATAACACACTAGATACGATAATGATCTGTATTTTGTTGCAGTTTTAGCAGAAGCAGACAACCATGACTCATTCTCTATCGGTTGTGTAATAGCTGGCTTTGGCTATGGTGCCGTGTCGTGCTGCTGGGAGACAGCAGTGCAAGACTTTGTCGGTGCAAGAAAATGGCCGAAACTCCATAGCCCTCTGGAAACGATCTCGGGTACTCTACTAGCCGTGTTTGTTGTAGGAATATCTTTTATAGTCGACAAAGAGAGAGGTCTACAAACCGCTATGTTCATTTTAGCAATAACGTTATCAGTAATTAGCTTTATATGGTTGATCATATCGATCTGTTATATTTATATGACTAAATTAAAATCTGTCAGGATAGGCAAACGTTGGCTATTTTGATATGTGACTAAATAACAAACAAATTGAGGCTAAAATTGTAAAGTAAACAATGAAACTGGGACAATGTTGCGGATAATGAAATGAATGTGTTGTTTACGAAGTTGTGATATCGACATTAAGTGGATAAGTATATTGTAATGCAAAATACATACTTAATCAGTAAATTATATTTTATAAAATAACTAGTTTCATTCGATTTAAAAGCTAAAGGAATATAGCTACATTTATACATTTACCTACTACCTACTTAAATAACGTAGATTTTTAGGAATTTTGTACTTACCGTACTATCAGTAATAAATAACCGTCCCGTGTCAGATAACGCCATTATTAAATAAATGTAATACTATAGTATGTAACGAAGGTTTACTATTTCTTGGTAAAATGAATCACTATAAATCCTCGTGTTTCTATTTTTAATGATAAACTTTTTTCATAAAAGTATGGTATCTACGTCCATTGAACTTATTTATTTCCAAGTATAATCTCTATAGTAAATAAGGGTTATATTTGAACAAGATAATTATTTGTAGTTAGATGCCATTGTGTACTTAGCCCGCATTCTTGCAGTGATTCATTTTCCGCATTGCTATCAAAAGTTTAGTTTATAATGACTCAAATATTTTGTTTGTTTATCTTAGCTTTAAGCCTTAAATGTGGGACAAAAAAATAGTTGCAGGATAATATTAAATATGAAAACAAATATTATTTAGGTTTTAATTAAAATTCATATTTTTATTAGGATCATTACACAGATTCTCTTTTACTTAACGAGTTCCTAATTTTTTATTCGTAGTTTTTATTCCATAATAGAATAATAGAATATTAATCTAATGGGTCTGGCCTGGGAAGCATATCACGTGTACCAATCTAGTATTTATGCTTATGTGGTAAATAAAACAATAAACTAACGAAATTCATGCATAACGGAGAAACATACGTTAGGAATACATATAAGTAGTTACACATTATTCATGCACACATGCGAGTGGCGAATGAGAAAAATAAAAAAATATTTATAACCGTTTCATCATTACGCAATAATAAGACATCAACAAACACCCCCCAACAGTCAATTATATGCATATTTCGTTCAGTAACTATTCTGTGGAAAGAAGCACTTTATCTCAATAACAATACGCACTGAAAAGCCGCAGGAAATAAGGTGTCAACATTATTTACCTTCTGACGGCCTAATCTACTTTGTGATGTGAGTAAACGAATCTTATGTTAATATACATGTAACAACGTTCTTATTTGTTGGGAGAAACGCAAGACCGACATTCGCGAGAAAACCCTCATGTGATACACGACAAGCGTAAACGAAAATTTATCGAATGAATTCTGCCGTTTTCGGATCAAATAACTGAAAATGGCCAACGAAATAAACGACCTGAAAAGGATTTTATTACTTGTAAGTTTCCTATGAAAAAACTAGTTTTGTTTACTCTTCAACAATATTTTAATAGAGATTACATATAATTTGATAAAACTGTGTTTTAGGTACTGATCGCTATTCCAGCGATAGCGACCGTGAATATTAACTGCAATGGCAAGGCCTTCCACTGTGTCAATTCCACACATTTCATGATATGTGTTGATTTGGGTGGCGGGCTATCGACCACGATTGATGACTTCGTTATTCCGTGTCCAGAGACAACAGTATGTCAGGCCCATAACATTTTCGAATGTGAGTTTCCCAAAATAGAAGAAACTCTACCACCCCTCCATGTTCTTGGTGTTGAAAAACAAAGTGATATTAGTGAAACGACATTGGTGACTAACAGTGACGACGTAACTAAACCCGCGGCAACAAGTGATATTGTAAGTGTATTTAACGATACGGTACCAAATACTACAGCAAGGCCAGAAGAAAAACTTGTGTTAAATGCAAATGTTCTAAGAAGCAATAACAAAAACACAGGAGTCAATAAAGATAACACTACAATACTTAATTCTCACGTAACTTCAAATATAATTGATAGTGCAAAAGAAATGAACGATAAAAAATCAAACAATAGCAATGTAATGACAATTTCCGCAACTGATAAAAATAAGAATCATGAAATTGATGTGAAAAATGCAACAAATACTTCCGCGAGCGATAACTCGAAATCCACTGATATCAATACTTCTGCCGTAGAATGTATTAATTCAAAGCCTATCATTGATCTTCATAGTGTAAAGATAGAAGCGCCTACAGACGTATCTACTTCTTCAAATACTTTTAATTATACTAACAGCAAGGCCAATAAAGTAAATGAGCCATTGCAAATTGTACCTACTCACACTTCCATTTTTACAAGTGAAGTGAATTCATTATCAGCAAATCCATCGCGTGACATTGTCGCTAATATGGAGGATAATATCGGCGTTGTTGTTACCGAAGTTAGGCCCGCTTTTGTAGATGACATACTTAATAAAAAATCTGTAACTGCATACCGTACCACAAATAATGTAACCAACACGGTCCATGTGACGCCAATTGAATCTGACTATTCGTCTTCGGAATTTAAAAATGTGGATTCCAAAATCCAAGCAACAACTGAAAATACTTTTGCTTATATAAAGAAAGTTTATTCAAACATTACTGAATCCGGATATGTAGCGAGTACTTTTCAAAATAAACTAAACAAAAATATCACATTGATCGACATGCCTAATACTGTTCCAAATAAACCCTTAATACAGGAAGTTAAAATCGTGAACTTGACTCTTAATAAATATGATTTTGTTCAGGACTCTGTAATATTACCACCGCGAAATATCAACAATAGTACAAATTCAATTGATAATCATTCTATTTTTTTAAGAGTTAGAGATCTACCGAAGAATATAACAACTTCGCCTACCGTTAAATCTAATTCTTTTAGTAGTTTCATAGATAATAGTGACCCATTATTTTCTACTAAGCCAGAAACCAAACAAGTCGAATCATCTAGCAATAAAAATAAATTAATTGTTGAAGAAACTTACAAAGATGAAAGATATAATACTAGTAATCAAATTCCAGAAACTATAACAGAGCATTTGATCCCTGTTAGCCTAGATTTAATTACGGAACCTGTAGCAGTAGGTGCAAACACTCAGACTAATAATACGGCAATACCCTTAATAGATCAACTGAATACTACTCTTATTCCCAATACTACGGTTACTACTCTGCCTATTGATTTTACAGCTAAAATTGATCAAAATCTAAATCAAAATAACGATAAGTTTGGTGTAATAGAACAACCCGTCACACCAAAAGCGGTATTCAGTGATGTTATAACGATTTCGGCAGTTGATACATCTAGTAACACAAGTAATAAAATTATTAGTGAAAATTATATGGATGATGTTGATCAAACAAATAACATTTTGGAATCTGCAACGGCAGATCAGAGTGCCAAGAGTACGACCGAAAATACCTTTGTTCTTTTGGCAGAAGAATTGGATCATACTATTATTCAAAATGTTGCAAACGTTACACCTCGCATTGATGTATTGACTGACGAAGATACAATTAATTTACATATACAAGGATACTCAAATATAGAAACAGAGGCTGTCACTAGTGAAAGACATATTCTCACAAATAAGTCAGTTAGTATTGTTCCTGTTGCAATAAACAGTACACAAGTTAAACAAAATTTTACGGTTCCTAATAATTCAACAAAGAAGGAAAATTCTTTTGATAATAATCTTACTTTAAAATCTGCATCGGTAAATTTAAATAATTTACCAAATATAGGCAGTGGCATTCTTACGGATAAAATTGAAGTTAATCCTAATATTGTTCAAGACGCACTTATCACAAAACCATCTTTGATTGAAACCAATGCGCCTAAAAATAATTTTCAAGTTCCTACTAAGACATTTGTTACACAGGAAGCAATACAAGAAACGGTTAACAACGATACAGAGATACCAATTGTGCCAGTAGAAATTTCGACTAATGGAGAAGTCGACACGTTTAAAGAAGTAAACAATAACACCGAAAAGAAATCTACAGGTAAAAGTGATACCGTAAATATTTTTGGATTAGGAACTATTGTAGAGTATTCAGATCCTGTGAAAATAGATATGATTTCCAAGTCTATCACTGTTCAGCCGGACTTATTAACAACAACAGAAGAGAACTCACCTTCGGGAATAATCACAGCTACTTCGCTTCAAGATCCTTTAATTTTAATTTCTCCTACTAATGTTTCAACTGACGAGGTAGGCAATATATTCACTCCAATGGCTAAACCTGCGACCACTTATAATAAGAACGTAGATAGTGTGTCAAATATAATGACTATTGAAGGCGTTTCTTATACAGATTCTAGCCAGGGTCATATCGCTAACCCGGGACCATCGTTAAATGAGAAAGTGAATAGTCTTCCGGAAAAATCAACATTAACCAATAATATTGCAACTATAGCAAGTACACAGCCTTTTGCTGATGTGACTACTTCTATGAATAATGATAACGCTGTCTCAACGACGCCTCAAGTTCCTGTGCCGTTGACAATGCATAATAACGTAGTCGACAACGATAAGGGCAAATCATCAGTAAAACCCAGTAATTCAATAGTGGCAACCAAGAAAATTGCAATTACAGCAAGTAAAGTGCCTTCCGCTGATGTTGCTATTGATAAGACTTATGATAACGTTGTACCAATGGCGGACGAGATCCCAAAACCATCGACACTGGGTAGTAATGTAGTCGACATCCACAAGAACAAATCATCGGTACAAATAGTTTTAGTACCAGAAAATACTAATGAGCATTTGACTTCAATTGAAAAATCGCCTACAAATGTATTGATTATTGTAGGTGTATCTAGTTCAGAACCTAGTACAAAAGATCTAAACACTAAACTAGGAACATTGTATATTGAGAAAGAGAATAGTTTTCCGGAAAAATCAACAGTTCCAACAGTGGCAACCGAGAAAATTGCAATTACAGCAAGTACAGTGCCTTCCTCTGATGTTGTTGTTGATAAGACTTTTGAAAACGTACCAAAGACGGACCAGATCCCTAAACTATCGACACTGGATAATAATGTAGTCGACATCCACAAGAACAAATCATCAGTAGAAATATTTGTAGTACCAGAAAATACTAATGAGCATTTGACTTCTACTGAAATATCGCCTACCAATGTATTGACTACTATAGCTGTGTCTAATACAGATTCTAGTACTAAACTGGGAACATCGTACGATGAGAGAGTTAACAGTATTACAGAAAAATCAATATTTGTAATCGACAATATCGGAATTACAGAGCCTACTGCTGATGTTGCAATCACTACGGCTAATAATAACGTTGTCCCAAAGATCAATCAGGTGCCTATTCTATGGGAAGATCATGGTAGCAAAGTAGATAACAATATAGACAAACCATCAGTACCGATATATTTAGTACCAGAAAATAGAACTGAGCGTTTGACTTCAACTCAAGTATCGCCTACGGATATATTGACTACTGTAGATTTTTCTAATACTGATTCTACTGCAACAGATCAAATGACTAAACTGGGAACATCGTATAAAGAGGAAACGACCAACATTCCGCAAAAATCAATATTGGTAACCGAGAATATCGGAATTACAGTGAGTACAGAGCCTTCCGTTGATGCTGCAATTGCTATGCCTAAAGATAATGTTGTCCAAATGATGGATCAGGCCCCTAAATTATCGACAGTGGATAATAAGATGGACAAGTCATTGGTACAAATCGAATTAGTACCGAAAAGCATTACGGACCCTTTAGATTCTAGTCAAATATCGCATACAAGTATTTTAACTACTGCAGGCGTAGCTCATACAGATTCTCTTCAAGATGAATTTAGAAACCTGGAAACATCGTACAATGAGAAAGTGATAAGTATTCCGGGAAAAATTACATTAGTAACCGAGAATATCGGAGTTACAACAAGTACAGAGTCATTTCCTAATATTGCAATCGCTGTAACTAATGATAAAGATGTCCCAACAATGGAGCAGGCTCCTTTACTATTGACAAATTATAGTAACATAGTCAATCACGACACATTGGTATTAATAGGAAACACATCGATAAAGACACTTGCTTCGATTGATGGAGTAAACACTTCTACAGTGATTAATAGACATATAAAAACAAACAAAACTGATAATGCCTTTCAAAATGGTTTCACAGATATCAATGTAGCAGTAAACAATATACAAAATAACTCAGTAGCACAAAATAATAATCCTTCTTTAATTTCTACTATAAAATTAACTGAGCTGTCCCAAAGTACATCTCATTCAAATAGAGTAAAAGGAAGTCCTGACAAAGTTGCCACCACGATAGCCCTAGAGGCTAAACCATCTAATATTAAGACAATTGATAATACTACAAAAAATATAGTGACCGCCATGAATAATCTGAAATCTAAAATTTCTGAAAATACGCACACTACAACGAATGATCAAATTAACTCTTCTGGGTGTAATCTAAGCACATACCCAAAAAATAATAACAATATACAACATCAATTCACAGGACAAACTTTGGCGGAAAAAAATATTATTAAAGAGTCTAGCGATCAAATAAAAGAATCTGAAAATAATAAAGATCGTATTAGTCCTTCTGTTACTGATGTTATTCAAGAATTTGAAACCGTAAAAATTAATTTAAATTCATCGTTTGGCACTTCTGTTCCTCTAAGCATAGTGGATGAAAATTCATCGAATTCTCAAACCCAAAAAATAAGTGAATCACTATCTGATGTTAACAATCTACATTTTCTTCTTAATAACAAACCGGTTTCAGTAATTAAACAGATTTCCGATAAAAAAGCAACAATAGTTTACAATCCGCAAAGCGTGTCAATAACCGCGATTCCTGCAAATATTCCTGATAATACGGACAAAGTTAGTCTACCAAATATGAAAGATTTGACAAATTATACAAACCTTGCCACACCAGTAGAGGCGCATAATAGTGTAATTAATAGTAAAGACATAAGTAGTTCAGATGGTCAGAATATTAATGTTGAAACCCATAAAACAGATTTAATGCAAGATACCAAAAATAGTTTGAAGCTAAAACAGTTAAAGATATATTCCAATATACCAGGAACAGTTGTAAATGCCAATTATAATAATTATTTCATTGGTAACTCTTCTTCTGTTAACAATCATACTACGGTTACACAAAATATTTCAAATGACGTGCTGCATAAAGTTGCTGGTAATACTGTTGGACCTATCTCAACGGAAATGATTAAAATTCAGGCTCCTGAGATCATAATAGTTGAAAAAATATCACAATCTAATAGCAGTTCTTCCGTTTTTAATAATTTGGAAGCAACTACTACTGATAAAACGTTCAATGAGTCGATGATAACGAAAATCCCGGCTTCAACAACTACTGCCAAACATAATATTCACAGTGCTATTGATTTACAAGAAAATAACGCAGTTGTTCGTAAACCTCTACAAATTACAGATACGAGTTTAGTTATTGGATTGGTGCCATCTACAAGTTATAATACAATTTCTAGTCAGTCGGATCACAATATTGAAAATGCAGGTTTGGTTAGTCATAAACTTAGAGTGACACAAGACACAAACATTGCAGTAAAAAATCCAATAGGTGATATAAAGGCGACTGAAGTAAAATACAAAAATATTTCGAGTGGTTCCAATAGCAGTGTTAGTATTTTAGACAATACTAGAACACCGCTTCCTCGTGAAATATCTACAACAATTGTTCAAGATTTAACATCAATTAACAGCGGAATAAAAAACGGAAATGTAACGGCAGTGCCGAGTGGTAGTGTGCTAGAAACTAATTCAATACATACTACAAAACATGATTATATAGATAGTGAAAAGAAAGTTGCTAGTAACAATAAAAGTACTCTATCTTTGAAACAGTTACATAATTTAGATAGTGATAACCTCAAGAGCATTTCCAATGCTGATACGTGGACTTCAAATGGTCAAGAAGTAAATAGTCAAATACCAGTGCAATCTAATAGTGCCAATGTTGCAAATATTGCAATATTTACTTCTACTGATAATAAAAGTAATTTAAAAAGCCACCAGATTGAAAATATTTTTTCTAACATTTCTGTTCATCCACAAACAACAATTACAAAAAGCATATCGTCTAATTACAATTTAGGAATAACTAATAGTCCAAATGTCATAAATAAAAAAAATAGCACGAACGTAGTGAAAGTAACAAATTCTTCGTCGACCACTATCCCACAAATAGTCAATATACAAAAAGAATCTACACCAGATTACACGATAAATACTAAATTCCAAAATCTGGATACATCGAAACTATTAAATGAGCTTAACAAAGTAACTGTAACAGAAGAAAGCCCCATCGAGGAAAAACTTACTGAACACTTACTACAAAATAAGATGGCTACGATCAATTCAGATCAAAAACTTTATTCAGTTGAACAAAACAGTGACCAAAGAATTCAGACTGTAAATCCTACTGTATCAAAAGTTAATCCCAATAAAGATGAAATAATCGAGATAGTGTCAACTAAAAATACAGTTAATTCACTAAACACAATACCAAATGCGACATTGCAACTGTCACGTTCATATCCTACATTATCAAATAGTTATAAAGATACAATGCAGTCACAAAATAGGAGTGGTTCTATTACAACAAATGATTATGATGTCAAGAAAACATTAATTACGGACTACATTAAAAGCATTTCTAAAACGTTAGGTGTTGTACCCACGGAGAAAACGAAACTACCACAGATGTTATCCACATCAGGATTGAATAATGAAAGAATTCAGATTGTATATCCTACTGTATCAACAGTTAATCCCAATAAAGATGAAATAATCGAGATAGTGTCAACTAAAAATACCCTTAATTCACTAAACACAATACCAAATGCGACATTGCAACTGTCAAGTTCCTATCCTACATTATCAAATAGTTATAAAGATTCAACGCAGACACAAAACAGGAGTGTTTCTGTTACAACAACAGATTATGATGTCAAGAAAACATTAATTACGGACTACATTAAAACTATTTCTAAAACGTTAGGTGTTGTACCGACGGAGAGAACGAAACTCAGTACACCAAAGATATTATCCACATCAGGATTGGATAATGAAAATAATAGAGACGTTTCATTTACTACAACTCTACTCAGCAATAGTTTTGATCGTGTGTATCCAAATGTCAATTATGAAATTAGACCACAAGGGATAGTTAAAATTAGTTCAGTACATAATATGCCAACAATTGTACGCGATAGCATAAAGTCGTCGTTTCCAACCCAGGCTGCTTTTTCATCTACTGGCATTACCCCTATACAAAAAATTGTTATTACGTCAAATACCGGTTTGTCCCAATCTCCACTTTTAGTTAAGTTAATAAAAAGTATATATTCACCACAAGACGAAGTATCAAATGTTTATAAAAATCCGTTGGTCGTATCCGACACAAATATTGAATCCATTATAAAAACACCTAAATCAGACTCTTTGGTAGAAACTATAATATTTTCTAAAGAAAAAGTAAAAGAACCGTATGTTGTATCTAAAATTATCAAAGATTTTCAAAGATCTTATGATAACAGTAATGTAACTTTGATGCAAAAGGTTGCTGATAATGAAAAACATGCAATAGGATCTAATCCTAATGCTACGGAACAGGTAACAAATTCAAGTTCTATAAAAATATTTAATATTCACAGGGGAGATACAGTAAAATATTCAGAGAATGATGGTAAAGGCTCTATAGATAAAGCTGAGATCGTTAACATAGAAAAGAATGAAACTACCGAAAACAAGGGAATATTAATGGCAAAAGACACTACTGTGAGGTCGGATGTAGATTTTAAAAACAAATACTTCCCTTACGCTGCAGTAATGTCGCAAGCTAATATAGACAATAATCCCATAGATTATAAATATAAATTAAGGCTAGGAATTGTTACAAACTATTCTACAGGCGCTAATGAGTCTGTAGCTTCTAAAGGAAATTCGGAAACAGAAGCAAATGTGTATGTAAATGAAAATACGCATAATAGTAGTTACGTAAATATAACACCAGATTTCGAAAAGGCCCGTGTACGACCTAATTTGGAAAATAAAACTGATGACATCGGCGTTAGCATTGTAAAACGTAATAGCACAATCAATGACAACTTGGTGGATCTTACATCAACGAATCATACGGTTACGGCATATGTACAAAGTTGTTTGAACAAAGTTGGAAAACAAGGCAATAAAACAAGTGACGAACCAAGATTAGACGAAAGTAGTATGCACAAAGCAAATACTGCACATGTACAAATAAATGCATCTAGCAAAGTCATAAGTACAAGTACAGAGTCTCCTCCAGTTTTTAACTGTATAGCACGCGGTAGGTACGCTGATAAGAAAGACTGTAGGAAATTCTATACTTGTATTGGTAATCTCCAACCTATAATGGGAACATGTCCAAATAATACGGTATTCAGTGAAATTAACAAACAATGTACGAGAAACTTATCGCATTGCGTTAGAAACAATCAATTTAGATGTTTGTTAGAAGGGCGGTTTAGTGACTTCTTTAAAGATAACGTATATTATATTTGTGTTAAAAATGATACAAATCATTTTACGAGGTACAAATTACGATGTCAGGATGGTTATCATTTAGATAAAGAATCGGTTAGATGTGAAAGAGACGAAATGACATCAACACAATCTGCGTCATCCGTTAGTGAAATTAGTAATGATGAAACTACTACACCTAAAACTAAGTCAGAGAAAATAAAAAATAGCAGTGGTAGCGATGATTTTGAATGTGAAAAGGTAGGAAACTTTCCATACGCTAAGGATTGTCGAAAATATTACGTATGCACTAAAGTTAAGGATGTTTATAGGCGCAAAATAAAAAAATGTTCCAAAGATGAAGTGTATGATAAAAAGAAGAAAAAGTGCGTTGATTCTGACAGTAGGGAATGTTAGTTGTTTTATACTTTATAAGGATAAGCATTTAATATTTCTACCATGAATGAAATTAGGGATCCAAATACTAGATATATGAATGTAACCTGCTGGCATTTATTTGCCTACTGATATGTGTTTAAGGCTAATTTAATGACTTTCATTGTAAAAATAAAATAAGTAAAATTCTTCTTAAAATTAGTTTAATTTGTTTTATGAGATAGATATTATAAATTACTATTAAAAGTACCTGTGTACAATTCACATATGCAGATCTTTTATTTTTGACTCCATGAAAGTATTCAGTCTTTATAGTAGTTTCTATAACATAAAAAATTACATTCTTGGTCTTCGGGATGGTGCACCACTATCCATAAATTGATCGTCGTCATCTCTTTCTAATGTGACACAGAAATTGTTAGAAAATATCGTGCATCGTATCGAAGATTCTCCCCTCACAGGTCGTGGAGGACAGAAGTACGTCACACCGTTGGGAGTGTCGTCTTGGGTCACCCTAAATTTGTAATCTTTGCACTCTACTGATGCAGGTCGTTGACCCGAAAACCGATTGTTCAAACCCGTATTTGGCTTATCGTCATTGTGCGAGGGATGCCTCCTAGTTAGGTCGGATCCATACAGTTCAGGGTCCGATTTGGTTGAATTGATCACAGGACACTTGTATTTTTGAGGTGAAGTACATGACCGAGTAAAACCATTGAAAATGGTGTTGCCGGAGCACTTCAAGTTAATGCCTTGGAATCTATTGCCGTTGGACACGCAGAGGATGTATCCTTTGCATCCAGGTACGTTAGGATTAGCGATCCTTTCATTTCTGTGGCATCGAAGTCTTCTTGTTAAAGCTGGGTCTATGTAGTTAATGGCATTTTCACAGACCGCTGTGGACTCCTCGTTACAGAATGTTCCAGGCGGACATATGAATGTCGGGCCGAATAACTTATTTCCGTCACATATCCTCACTCTGTTGTTGCGTTCACAAGTAAAGCCAAACTCACCACAATCATAATTTGGGTTGATGTAGTACGCAGTTGTGGAACTTGCGTAAATTGATATCTGCAAGAAAAACATGATATTTATTTACACAGAATATAGACCGATTAACTGTGTGTCTACCATAAATAACTACTAGGTATTTTTACCAAGTGCAAATAGTAATATCGCGCGAAATATTTGGCAAATCGTAATCTTTAGCACAAACATAATAATCGTTCCTTAAACTTTGAATGGAAAAGTTTAGTATTCAACAATCACTTGTTGAATTAGCACAGATAAATATTATTTTATTGTATACCATATTTTTTTGGGAATTGATAAGTTTACATAAAAGTAGATGAATGTCGGCTAATACTGAATTTTTTTTTGTTTGGTAATTAATAGGTAGATAAGCTTGTGCAAGAAATTACAACATAGAAATCAGTAAAATAAAGGGTTTCTTGACGACAGTAAGATAATTAATCGGAATAATATATTCTAATTTTATTGTATTAGGGTGGAATAACTAAAATTGTGATAAATTGGTACTTACCGCTAGTAAAAGTCTAAGAAGATTCGCACTGAACATTTTGGACCACTATACTTTATGTTGCCTAGGTGAAGTTCGAAATACGACTACCGTATAGTAACTGTTTTCTTTATACTCTCGAGTTAGAAGTCACTTAGCGTATTTAACACCTCTGAGCAATGTGGAGAAATGGGTGACACATTGTCATAGTTACATTGAAATAAAAATGTGTTTTTAACGGTATATCATTGCATGGGGGCTTAGAACTAGGTGACAGACGTATGTGCTACATTTTTTGGTAAATAAATAAATAGATAAACGTGCTTTTATATCAGGTTTTTTATAGTCATGTTGGAATTCCATGGTTGTAATGTGAATTTATCAATTTTTTTTTCAGATCTTTCTTATAGAAACAGATGCCCAGAAGATCAGATTCTATGAAATGAATGATATGGATCATTCATTTCAGAAATATGCTCTAAAATTTCTTATGATACTTAGGTATGAATAAACATATAGATTGTACTTGTGATGTGTATGTGAATTTGTATGTTTTTAAACGCGCCTATAGACCCGAGCGTATGGCTCATAGCGTTCCACGCGCGCCTCAAGGAGCCAACAAACCGCCATAGACGGTTGATATTTAGCCGAGGTTGCGGGGTAGGCGCAATGAGGCACCGCGGCCTCGGCCTAGAGCAGGAGAAGGAACGGGGGCGTTTTTAGTCAGTAAGAGTGTGACACTTCTTCACGCCTCACCCTGGGCGCGTGAAGTCATTTGATGATTTTCCCCTGACAATAAAATGCTGGTGTGGGACGTTTTTAAAAGAAAAATAGACATGTCTATGTAATTTGTAGGTAAGTTGTTGTAGGATACCTGTAAGGCAAGTGTTTTAATTTTGTGAATAGATAAAAAAACAAGTAAATAATAATACCTAAATGCATTTATTGAACTAAATTATAGTAGTATCTACAAATAATATAAGGTTACTCATCGTCGGAGGACGATTCGCTATCGCTGTCTGAACTTGACGATGGTCTCTCCGTGTCTTGTAAAACTGGACCTCCAGTTTTGGCTCTGTAAAAATAATTGTAATGGTTAGAAATTTTTATACCTATGAATACAATTAAAATAGTTTGTTAAAAAATATTTTAAACTAAGAATAAATTTTATTGCCGATTAGCTGCGCAGTACACAATTTTGTTCCTAAAAGATCCATTGCGCAGACAAACGGCTAACTTCAGACTTGCCAAGATACGTCGGCCGCACTGTAATAGGCAAAACGAGCAGTAATAATTCGGTTTTCCAAATAGTCAAATTTATTAATTTTATTGTATTGTCAAAAATGATACTTTTCTATGAATTTTGTATGAGATCCCAAAATATGACGTCATAACGATTTTACGTCAAACAGCATACTAATTTTTAAATATTTAACTAGAAAAAATGTATATATCGTCAAATCAATGAATGAAAGTATGATTTTATTTTAATACATATCTAATTGTATTTAAAAGTCAAAACTTTTTTTTTGACGTAGGAAAACACCCAATTGTTATAAACTTGAATAAAGAGCATTGAATTAAGTTTTTTTTAGACCTTTACTAATATGTTCAAATGTAAAGAAGACTAATTAAACTATTTCTGGGAACTGGTACAAAAAATAATAGTAGGTAACTACAGTCACTTCTAATCTTTACATGATTGAAGCAAGTTCATATAATAATATGTTAAAGTATATATAGGACATAATTATAAGTACTTATATGTAAGTGAAAATAATACTGAGGATATCTCAGGAACTATATGATGCTATTACGATGAGGGGTGTAGGTTAGCTATAGTATCGTGTTTTTGAACATATTTTAACAACAACATAATTTTTATTCTTACCATTGTTTTTTATTTTTTGTAAGGAAGGAAGGAAGGATCAAAATCAAAATGGCGATGTAGCACCCTGAACAAGAAACGTGACATTACTGAACAAACAAGCAAAAAAAATGTTAATTTAAATGACCAAAAATATTAAAAAAATATTTTGGTTTTATGATCAAGCTCAGCGATCAGACCTTTCTTCTGATGGTAAACAATTGGCGCTGCCCATGGACGCCCGCAACAACATAGCCGTTATGAGTCTTTCACGGTCCTTTTAGGGGATTTGAGGATTTAAGTTTTCGTGATTGGTAACAGGGAGGAGAACATAAAACTATGGACGATTCACACATTCTCTTTATTCATGGCTCTTCCACACTAAGTTTTTTAGCTTGAAATGTTGAACTCAAAAACTACTATAAGGGTTTTGATACAGTTTTCTCTGGGACTATTACGGGTTTGCTCAGTTAAAACATGAGTGTCACAGTTTTATTTGGAGCAGGTAAGTTAGTTTAAAAATATATTTTATTATATAAAATTAAGTCTGTCTGCTTGCTTCTTGCTCCAATCATTGGCTCATCACTGCATCACCCAAGGCTCGACTGATAGAAAATGTCTAAGTCCACCATTGAGGCAGTTTAAATAAATAAATAAATATTATTACTACTTACAAATTGTAGGCTTCAGCGACAGCTTGTGCGGCTGGGTGTAGTGAACCGGCGAGGCTGGAGTGTTGCTCAGACAGTAAGGTTTCCACCTCTTTCTCTGGTCGGTTCAGCATTGTACCCAGAACTTGCACACTGGCTGACATCGCCTCTTCAAAGCCGCATTCAGCTAAATATGTTACTGCAGCCTGTAGGTATGAGGCAAATGTGTGAAAGGCGATCAATAGATTATTAGTATGTTGACGTAGCAAATTCTTAAAAACAGTACGCGTTTTATCTTTATTTTGCAATAAGGTTTTAATTAGTTTTTCTGTAATAATATTACTAAAGTTCTAACTTCATTCATCAACATCATATTCATCAACCGAAAATGAATATTAGAAAGATATCTTAGGTAAGCTCAATGTAAATTTATATCTATACTTAAATAGCATCCAAAAATATTGCGCAAATGTCAAACTGTTGCGCAAAACGTTTGCGCAACATTGTTTTTATGTTGAATGCAAGAAAACTATGATAAATAAAATATTCAGCTACTTACTGCAGCAATACCAGGTAGACCGACTGTAGCAGCTTTTTGCGCAACCTCAGCCAATGCCTGCGGTCGTGCCGGCACTCCCGCGGCCTCCTCGCGGCGCAGACGGCTTAAGGCCTCGTCCACACTCTTCCAGTTAGGGTCGGCCTTGTCTTTTGTATCGGAACATAATTCGATAATATTGCACACCGCTGATGCTGATAACCTGGATAAAAAACATTTAGCATTTTACTAAATTTGTGGCAGTGTTTTTGAAGTCATGTTTGTCTCACTAATTATCATTAGTACAGTTTTATGCAAGACTATTTAATTTTATTGATGAGCAATGATGTTAAAATTTCAACTATGAATAATACTTCGTACCACGTACAAAAATAAGGCTGGTATAAAACAAGTAATCACTGCATAAAACAAAATCGCATACATTCATTACATTAAAGGTTTATGTGTACTTTTAATAAAATCCATAGAATAGTGGAGAAATTTAGTATCAGCATTGCACTCGTGCGAGGCCGGAGCGGGTCGCTAGTATTTAATAATAGTACATTATGGGTACAAGTGGACAAAGAAAATATGGATGGATTGTGTGAGAAGTGATAGTGATAGGTCTTCTAAGACAGAGAAGTTAGTGATAGCGTGACGGGTGACAGAACAGAATGGAAGAAAAAAACCATATTGCCGACCCCAAATAAAACGGGACAAGGGCAGAAAGATGATGATATGGGTACAAGTGTGTAATGTTGTTCTTAAAGAGCCGAGGAGGGTAATTATCAATACGATGTTTTTCAACACACTTCTGAATAAAATAGTACTTAAATCAAATATAGTAGATAACAAAATAACAAATTTCGTAATGGCGGGAAAATATAAACAGTTTTCCTGCGCACGCGCATAGACTAAAAAATGATGTTTCTTTCTTTTTTGGATTTTTCGCGAATCGCATTTAGCGCAAGTGTAAGCGTAACTCAAACAATAATTAAAAAAAAACTCTGTTACTCACTAGTGAATAATAGTATTTATAAAGTCACAGTTTGATTATAGGTGTCATTGCGTGCCCAATTGTCGTGGGATAAAAGCCACTTTATGAGGACGTGTGTTGAAAAACACTTACTTATATTATATATTATACTTACTTCTGTACTGGCGACCTGATGTCTTTAGTTTCTTGTTCTTCTGAAGCCGCTTGTCCGAAGTCTAACATGTCAGCGGCGGCAGCACGCATTTTACTTTGAATTTCGGGTTCTGAAATAAAATAAATATGTTTGTCTCCTTAGTCAAGTGGCCACAAATGCTACAAATGAGTATGATACATATACATATTTTCGAATTTGGAACCGTTTTTGGAGTAATATAACAATGGACAACCACACAGCTGAAAATCTTGAGTGTAAGAAGATGGAATGGTACGAATATTCCTTGGAGAATATAATGGAATAGGTGTTCCGCGGATTATGTCTGCCGGTCGGTAGTGTTAAGGTTTTCAAACTGACTGCACGGTTGGCGCGGTGGCTGGGCAACCGGCTACTGCGCAACGTGTCGCGGGTTCGATTCCCGCACGTAACAAGTCTTTGTGAGATCCACAAATTATTGTTTTGAGTCAGGGTGTCATGTGTGTGTGAAATAGTGTTGGTAAACGCATTCACGGCACATGAAAAGATTCTAGTGTGAGACAACGTTTAAAAAAAGAAAAATCTGTTTCTTCGAACTGACCTTGTCCAGGGTATGTATTAATCATTGCTTCTAGCAATCTCTCGACGAGTTTCACTCGTTTCCCGTGACCAAAGACAACGAGTTGCGACCATGTTTGAGCCAGACGGTCGCCCGCGCCACCTACTTCCAGTGTCTTTATAATCTGAAAAAAAATAAAAGATGATTGTAATTTAAACAAATAATAATAATTTTGTTGACGTCAGTGAAAATGAGAACTGTTTACACATAATGTGTAAATCTTTATTATTCAATAATTTTGTCTATTTTGTAAAAAAAAATAATTAACAAATGATGACGTTATTGTTTCCAAACCATTGAAAACTATGTTTAATTAAATATCCTAATCACGCACGATTACAATTATTACCATTAGTGTAAAAGTTATACCAACGCATAATATCACAATAGCATGTGTATCATTAATTAATTATCAAAATTACGAATACAATAGCCATTTCGTCATCTAAAGTATTTATAAAAACATTCAAGTTAAAAATAGTACATCAGATAGTGGCCTATAATTTCAATACACCCGTCAGATGTCAGGATGGCCGAGCGGTCTAAGGCGCCAGACTCAAGGTTCCCTTGTTCACTGAACGTGAATGCGAGTTGTTCTGGTCCTCTCTGAGGGCGTGGGTTCGAATCCCACTTCTGACAAAACTGTTTTGGTAACTTTTTCGATAATTTTTATCGAGAATTTTCTTACCACAATTGCTGTAATTATACGAGCTTTCGATTTTAATACCAGTAAAATAAATTTAACGATTTTTTAAACGAAAATTTATTATTATTTTTTTCTTATAGTAGGTACTTACCTCTTCCATAACTGATGGTTCAGGAACATAGATATTAGGTATCAAAGTGTCAAGTAGTTCCAAAGTTTTCTCGAAAGGTGCATGCCTAGAAAACAGTAAAGAGGTTTTAAATCACAAAAAATCCAAACGAAACCGAAATTAAAAAAAACAACTGCGTCAAAAAGAAGTACATACCGGCAAGCAACAGTGACATAATGCCTGTAGTAAATGCTTTCTTTGTATGCATCCCCAACCAATTTGTAGTTGTCGCCTTTCATTAAAATTGCATGTAATCTTTCCGCCATATTTATATCCTGGAAAAAATAATTGTATAATCTTTAGGACTTCAATGTCAGCCAAAAAACTGCTTCACTTAACCGCTGCTGGGCTTCTATTAGTCGTAGCGAGATGTTTTATAGCCTTTAGACTTATTAAATAAAAATATTTTTTTAACTTTAACAAAGTAGTTTCTTTCGAACATTTCTTCAGCTTTATAAATGTTATTAGTGAATTGATGCTAATGTTTTTAAAGATGTTTGTAAGTTTATCAGTTGCTCTAACACACAAAACTACTGAATATTATTGAATGGAATTTAGTCGGGATATAGCTTATAGCCTGGAAAATTAATCTAGCATATTTTTACCACTATACCTGCAAGTGATCGCTACAAACTCCCATAGCTGTTATGAAGAAATTGGTATCAGCTGGTTCCTTGGCATCGAGGCTTTCTTTCTTCTCAAGTTCCGTAATAATTGTTGATAGAATGTCAAAACGAGGTCCTCCTGTAATATATTTTGATAAGAACTTTATATTCAATAAATTGATTTTTATTTATTAACTTAAAAATATTATTAAACATGTTTCCATGTATTTTTAATAGGATACATAACTTGCTAGGTTTTATTACTTACGTTCCTTGCAAAATAAGCAGAGTAAATAATAGTAAGCGGCTAAGCCAGGCTGTATGCCTAATTGTCTGAACTCTGCGAGTGTTTGCAGGGCCATCTGTTGTAGTACTTTGCCGCCACCCCACGCAGACAACGAGCGCAGACAGGCTGACAGTGTCTCGTCATTTGGCGATATGCCCTGGAAAATGTGATGAAGATGTTTTGAGATTGTGAGTCGCCTTGTTATTTTTAAATTGCCTAAATTATTTTTCTTTCTTTCTTTCTTTCCTTGTATGAAGCATCAGTTTGAATCTTGGAAATTTTCATCCTTCTCTTATATGGAAGCTAGTTTACGCCCGCGTGGTATTTTAATAAAAAGTAGCCTAGGTAGAAAGTAGTATGCCCCAAGTATTCCGGAGTGTATCCTATGCCTGTGCCAAATTTAATCCAGATCCGTCGAGCCGTTTTGGCGTAATTAAGTTACAAACATCCAAACGTAGTAACTTTCGCATTTATAATATTAGTAAGAAAGTAAGAAGTCAGATTAAACTTATATCATGTAAAGCAACAAGTTCTTAGTTTGTCTTTGGGACAAAGAAATTCGTTAGACAACTAATCAATAACTTACCTGATCATTCATTTGGCCTAATATATTTTTAAGAGCTTCAATACGTAGGGCGGTACCTTCCTTAAGGAAACCGATACAACCTATGAGCGCATTGTACACACTGGTGGACAAAGGAATGCCTTTCGATATCGCTTCTTGGGCCATGTTGTGTGCTCTTTCAGCCTGCAACGAAATTAATGCATTTTTATTTGATATATTGAAATTACATGAACATTATGAAAATATATACAAGGTAATATACATTGTATATGTTTAAGGCTATAAATTAATATTGACGATTTGTGATTTTAAACCTGATTGCATGTTATTAATTTACCTGATAATATTTAGCCATGCCTTGAATCATGGCACAGTATGCTTCTGGTGTCTTTGGATCCATTGATTCGAAGATCTGATCAGCTAGTCCACCAAGCCTGAAAATTGTTACAGACAAAAGTTACAGACGCTGCTTGATTTATATACATTAGTATTATTATAGTGTTAAGTATTGAGAAGAGAACACATTATTTTATTCTATTATATAGATATGTCATGGTGGCGCTGCCTTGTCTTGGGGTTTGAACCTAGTAAGTATTAATATGTTTTTTTCTGAGTAAAGTATATGTACTTTTTAGGCTTAGGTAAAAACATCATGAAGAGTTTTTGAAGATCTTCAAATTATAAGTTAAGAATCACTGGTTTGAGCAAGCAAGGTGTTTAATGCTCATACCTTTTCAGTGTGAGAAGCGACTTTAATCAGCAGTGGGCACTTATAGCAGGCTGATGATTATGATTATAAGTATAGAGACCGCACAATACAGAAAGTTGTTTACTAAGTGTGGGTTAAACCAACACAATACATGTACACAGCTATTTGCTCCAAGTTTGACTTTTTAAACTTGGATATCAGTCAGCATAAAAACATTCTTTTAAAATATTTAATCACCTACATAAGGAATTGAATAATGTGTTTCATTAAAATTACTATTCTACTTTGAAATAGTAATAGTTACCTCCAAGTAGCAGCTTGTCTGTCTCGCATATTGGCAGAGAACCACCTCTCTTCAAGCCACTCCATAGAGTCAGGTTCCCTCTCATTGTAAAAGCACAATAACTGGAGAAACTGTAGCTTTAATTCTTCATTTACTCCACTCACACCACCAAGAAGTTTGAATACTGTCATTGAGTCTTCTATCAAGGCATTCTGTATTGTGTATTTCAAATCATCTTCTGTAACCTGTTCAAAATAAAAATGATATATAGGTGAAAAGTAAGTAATTGCAATAGTACTTTTATACATATTTTTTTTTTTAATCTAGACAATTTTGTTTTTGTTTTTAAACCGGTAAAAATAGTATGTAAAGATAGTCTCACGGACATCTTTACATATAACATAGTTATGTAAGTTAAGAAGAAAAGAATAGTATTGGGCTAATAAGAAAGATGTCTGGGTAATTGTTTTTATAAAATAAACGATCAATGGTACCAGGACAGTACAGGTAAAATATGTAAAATCTGTTACCTTTTATTCAAAAACTACTGAATGGTTTTTGATGAAAATTGGCAGAGAGATACATTATAGTCTGGGATAATAAGCAATTTAAAAATAATAATAATTGAAAAATGACACTGGGTTTTTAATTTGTTACCTTGCTTTCATCATTGTATATGGGTTTTGGGGCAAATGCTTCGATTTTTGGATCCGCATTAAAGTATGGAGTTTTGATTTTTGTTGGTGGATCCCACACCCTAGTGGTGAATAGCTCAGCATGCTCATCTCGGATCCAAGCAGCAGCTTTGCGACCAGCCTCAGCTGATAGTGCATAGGCTCTCTTACGGAAATTGGATAGTGGTATTAAAAATGGATCGTCGTGATATCTGTAAAATTTAATATTGAAGTTTTATTTCATATAGAGAGTTTAGAGAAATATAAACAAACAGATTTAATCATTATAGGTTTTGAGGTCATGTTTTGTTTTTCAAGTTATCATTCTAGTAAGTAGATATTACTTGTAGTGTGCCGCTGTTGGGTCATTTCCGACGGTAGCTGCTAGAGCTTGGAGAATGTCGGTAGGTCCTCTAGGAATGCGGGGAGGAGGTGAAATTCCATCGCTGGATTTAGAAGTTTGAGGGAGTTTTTGACCTTCTATAGTTGTCAATGACCGGCAAAGACACGCAAGCCTTGTCCATTGTCTGTAAATAAATATGTTTCATTGCATAAACTACAAATTACTGACGATTTATAACCTCAAAGATTGAAGATTTACCTCGGAACAACGACGTTCGAATACATTGGTTTAATACAAAACTATAATTATTTACTACAAGATACTCGTTATAGTTTTGTGTTGATGCTATTTTTAATTTATTTATGAAGATTTTTTGGTATTTTAGTGTACATAACCTTAATATTTTAACTGTCAATGTCACAAGCTCCCTGACAGCATTTTGTTATGACATTTGTTTAGGACTTGCCATAAAACAAAACTTATCATGTTATCATATAAAAAATCATAAACTACGAAATACTTAACTATATAGATTTTATTTTTGTTGCATATTTCACAAAGATATATAGAGTTTAAGATCAGTTTTAAGTTTCGGTAGGAAAGGGTCAGCTCGACCGGAGTAATGTGTTTCACCTCTTGAGTGAGCTGAGTGGAGGCCGAATCTTTCCCCTTTCCAATCCCTAAATCTCCGGAATCTCCATCTCAAAAAGGTCGGTAACGCATTCGTAACTCCTCTGGTGTCCATAGGCGGCACCAATTGCTTGCCATCAGGTAATTCTTCTTCCCGCTTTTTTTTTGTCAGCGGAAAATCAAATCAAATGACTTTTCCCGCCTAGGGTAAGCCGCCGCGAGAGAGAGTGTCAGATTCTTACTGACTAAAAACCCCACGTTCCTTCTTCTGCTCTTGGCCGAGGCCGCGGTGACCATCGGTCATTGCGCTTGACCCGCAACCCCGGCTGAACATCAGCCCTATAAGGCCCTGTCTGTTGTGTTCTATTGGCTCTTTGAGGCGCGCGCGGAACGCTATGCGGCATACGCTCGGGTCTGGTTGGTCGGGCGGCGAGCTACCCTTACTCGCCGTCCGTAGACCCGCGCTTACGGTGGCCGGAGATCATCTCTCGATCCCCGACGCCCAAATTGTCGCCTACTGCGGCGGCTGGGGCGCAAGGAGGTTAGTTCCCTCACGCGCTCCGCCTCCTCCTTTGCGAGCATCACTGCTTCGCAGAAAGAGGAGACGGCTTCCCAGTTCCTCTTGCTACGAAACATGGCATCGACTAAGTCCGGGCGCGAGAGGTCGCCGATCACCCATGGTTTAGCCCAGGCAGGGCACACCGCCACCGTATCCTCTACCCTGTCTGCTCGCTTACCGACGTATCACACAAAAAATCGACACCCTCGATAAATATTTGCGGATTATTTTATTATGATGATAGATTCCGATCTTATCCGAATGAGCCGAGAGGGATCGTCAGATACTTACTAACTTAAAAAAGCCCGTTACTTCTCTGCTAGTAAGTAGCAACCCCAGCTTCTATCTACCTCTTCGGGTACCTATTAGGTGTAACCTTGTTGATATGATGATATGCATTTTATTAGAAAAGAAACACCATTTCTTTATACTATTTATTAAAAAATTACAACTTATTACGAAATCGAGCTTTAAGCTAAATACAGTCTAAATTAAGAATATCCATTTTCATTATTTGTAATAAACGGGTAACAACAAAAGCACCGAACATAGGAAGTGAGGACTTATTTTGGCAGCACTGTTAGTTTTGTCGTGTAGTTCTAAAACATCCAGTTGAACTTTAGGTGTGCATGAAAATTCAGTGCTATTTTGGCAAGCACCAGCAGTTGCATTAAAAAGAGTATCTGGTGGGCATGAGACCTTCCTGGCCGTATTTATTCCTGTCAGGCCTACAGGGCAAGCTACGAATGCTGAGCAATCTGTGCTGCCAGGAACAGCGAAGTTTCCAACAGAAGTGCAGTTGAAGGTCGGGTAACATTGGTAATTCGTGGCATTCGTACACTGATATTCTAAGTGGCTGTAAACAAAGCCATCTGGGCAATTGAGCTTATATTGTGTGAAATTCGTGAGGCCTCCCATTAAACAAATGGTGTAGCCTCGACAGTCACCTGCTCCGTCGTTTGGGAATCTTCCACGAGCAGTACAATCAGAGGCTTCGCTCACCCCGTGACATAATCCCTGCAATAAGAGATATTGTTTCTTATCAGTAAAGGTGAGCGTTATCTAGTCTAATACCTTAACACATTTTCTGGAAAGATAATGAGTATAATGAAAACATGAGAAGGTATGTTGTCTGAAGTACGTAGGTTGGAACAGTAGGTACATACATATGATCTTAAATTATTTCGATTTCTGCTTTAATTGTTGTACTTATTGGTTAAGAGACAATTGATTTTTTCTAAGTATTTTTGAGTTACAGGTAGGTTACACTTTCCTAATTACCACAGTAAAGGTCTTTAACAACGTTTGTCTACCTTGATTAAGGAAATTGTTTGAAACTTGCCCTATGTAATTTCATAGACAAGGAGAAAATTATGATTCTGATGAATAAGAAAAACAAAAAAAAAACACCGTTTCCCAAGAATTAAAATAAGTACTTACAAAGAATATAAAAACAACACATAAACATTTGTTAGTATCCATTGTCTTGACTTCACACAAAACAGAACCTAGGGGTCAATAACACTTATATATTTCAGTTTAAAAATTCTAACTTGGATACAATTAGTTTTGTAACTAAGTAGGTAGATAAGTATAATTCACGACTGTTCAGTAGTCTGGTGTACTCAGTTTTATGGGCGTAGTTCTCTGTTAAATAGTTAGTAGTAGTTTCCTTCTGTGACCATAATAGGTTGTAGAGGTGTGAACATAATGTCGATAATTATTAAAATTATCTTTGTAGTACCTTCGACAATGATTTTCAGGCTTTAGCGTTTCTGATACTTCGACTCATTCAATAGTTAGGTACCTACCTAATCTGGTCCTTAGCAATTGACGGGATGCGGATATCGTAAGCGCGGGTCAGCGGCCGGCGAGCAAGGGATCAGAAACAGACTCAACAGCGTACGGCGTGTAGCTCTCGCGCCTAAAGAAAACAGACCATGACAGATGGGATCCACTAGGATCCTGTGACCTATGTGCAGCCGGTGTTACGGGTGCAAGTGCAATATATATATATAATCCGGAGACCATTTGGTTTGTAGTTGGATATGTGCTTACAAAACTAACAATAAACTAAGGAATACATAAAAGTTAGATCTAATTTGTAAGAAGCTATAAAACTTTTGATTTCTTAGTTTAATAGATGCAACATAAAACTTTTTTGTAACATAGTTTGTCTGCATTCCAATGGTTTATTGCTAGCGATGTCTGGAATGTATCTCTGTAGCTACTTCTTTTACGCAGTCATACTATAAGGTTTTACAATACCCAAGAATATACAAAACAAAATATTAGGAAACTAATAACTTTTACTGATACTTACTCCGTACTTATTTTAAAGCTTTAATAAAAACATTTGAGGACGCTCTTATAAAAACTTAAAAACAATAAGTTTTGCGATAGTTAAATGAGTTTTATCGACCTCGATACATAACAGAAAAGTGTATAGGTGCCACCTCTATTCCTTTGAGATAAACACGATAGTACTGTTTGATTTCAGCACTGGTTTATCAAAATGCTTTGCTCATGATGTTATGAACATGTCCTCTCATAATGGCAGACTTGTTTGGTTACGGCTCTGAAGAAAGCAATGATAACAAATAAATCAGAAACTCTGACGTAGTGCCATCCATGTCGTTTCTGCAAACAACTTGAAGACTGACCTGACCTACTAATTTAAGATAAAATTATTTTTTTATACGGTATACCTATCTATCCACCGATTACCCATAAATACATTAAAGATTAGCCTATAGAGACAACTTGTTTAAAGACCTTGTGGTATCTTCTATTTTACTTGGCAATTCATTCTTATTATCTTTTTCTTCTAAAACAAAATTTAGTTTTCACAAAGAATTAATCAGGGCAGAATTTCTGAAAAATCATTAGCAGATTTGAAAATTTTGCAAAATAGCTAAATAATTTGGGAGCAATGCTGACCTGAATAGGCACGTACCTGGCCCTGGGCGGTGTTGATTGAGATTGTAATCGTTTTTGCTATACCTATTACTGGAAACAACTATAGCAGGCTCACACATAGGTAAGGACAATAATAGTACAACATTTTCCGTGGTGTTTGGTGACTGGGTTTCTCCCAGTTGTACAGTCTCTTCTGTGCCTTTAAGGCCTAAGTCATTCTGTCTCCTGTAATAAATTTACCGAGGGAAGTGGAAACTATTTAGTTTTTTCTTCTCCTCAAATAATATCTTCTGATTTATTTAGTTGCGGGATCCAAGATGGTCATTCACGTCCCTGGGACGCACCGGACTTCAGTATTCCGGTGTTTTCATGGTTGTATCACAAAAAAAGTAATTATTACTTAATTAATTAGACGTATAGGTGCGTTGCCGTTTAAAAAGATACAATGGTCATTTCGGAAAGATATTTTGTAAAATCTTCCGAAATGATTTTATTAGGTTCATTATCATGATAACACTAATCATCATTAAGCTTATGAGTTGAGATCAAGTTTTATTAAACTCGGACCTTGGGAGCCATTTTTGATGCGCACAGTCAATAAAAGTGTTGTAAAATATTGGTTCAATGGCAATAAAGTACGGCAATTGTCCTGCAAAAGTGAATTATCTGTTATCATCACAATTAATATTAATCTCATTGAGCGTCATTCAGTTTAATTTTTTGGTATAAAACATGAAATTTATGTGACATCGCATCAAATACTCCATCACAATGATGAAGACTACAATCGGCGTTGTCGCGATCCTTGTAAGTCGTTTTTGATCTTTTGTAAATTAATTAGTACTATAATTATGTTTTATTCTATGACTTTTATTATTAATTATTTTATTATTTAGACACGACTGACATACGGTGAAGGAAAACATCGTGAGGAAACCTGGACTTATAATTTTCTAATTATAAGTTTGTAATCGCCAATCGGCATTGAACAAGCGTGGTTACTAATGCTCAAACCTTCACTGGATGAGAAGAGGCATTTGATCAGCAGTAGGCTCTTATAGGCTGGTAATTTGAATACAGTAAAGGTTTTTATAAATTTTATAAGTTTGAGTAATTGTCTCAACGAATAAGGTGTCAGCTTAGAGCAGGAGAAGGCACGGAGTGGTTTTTCAGTGAGTAACTGTTTGACACTCCCGTTCGCTCTACCTTGGGCAAGAGTACCTAGACATTGGATGACACCAACCGTTAAAAAAATTAAAGTAATAAGGTGCCTCTTTTAGTGTTTTATTATTAAATTCCCATAAATAAGAACTACGGCGGGGCTGATATGATTACTCTCAAGACCACTAGCCCCTAAGGATAAAGAACTTAGGTTTAGCAAATTAGTCTTAAACTATTCAAAGATATTGGAAGAGTGTGTGACGATAGTGATAGTGTTAGGTCGTTTTCACATTGTCTTCAATATTCAAGTTTTAATGATGTCGTAGTAGATATTTAATTATGACCGTGTTAAAATTACATGACGTATATTGAACGATGTTTTTGAAAACGCACGAACCTTATTATTATGATCAGCCAGTATTTAAAAGGAAATCGGTTTAATTGCTCATCAGTAAACTTTTTCAACAAATATTTTTGTTCCAGGCATTTTGCTTCGTGTGGCATGCGTACGCGACGGCAAACTGCACAGCCACAGGACCGGGGCGATACGTTGAGCCAAATGACAACACGTGCAAGAACTACACACTCTGTGTTTACATTACTGCGAATAACACTTACTTGGCGTATAACTACGTATGTCCGACCACTTCGTTGTTCAATCCTAATTTAGCTCGTTGTACCAGCAATTACACGTGTACTACTAATGCTGGGTAATTAGTCAATAAGAAAAAAGGTATATAATTTGTATAATAAAGATAACAGGTAGCTAAAATGGTCACTATTTTTAAACTTATTTGTCATTCTGAAGGTTTGTGAGGCTTTAAAATTCCTTATATTGTAAGCATAATATTGTTAATTAATTATTATCAATATTTTTATTCTTGTTTATAGAGCATATACGATATAACAATGTTCTTCTTTTTGTCTGTTTCTGTTGTTTTACTGTATTGTACCTATTGTTGTTAAGGCTGTGTTCAATGTGTGTGTAGAGCTGTAGTCAAATATGTTTTTCTTTAGAACAAGTTAAACATTTGCTTACTTATATTCTTAACGGGAGGAAAATGTCTGTTCGTTCTCTGACTTTGTCAAGAAGTAAAAAAAGAGTAGTTTTAAGAGTAAGTTTCGATACGTTACTATTAATGTATATTATCTAGAATTTACTTTTCTGAATTACTTTTTTTGTTTTCTTATGCTTGCGTTAACTTCGGTTTCTGTAGATAGGATAAAATGTAATGTTTAGTTTTATAAATAAAAATAAAATATATCAAAATGTTTTTTTCAGTTCTTTCAACCCTGATAAGTCAACATTAAGAGTAGAGTTTTGACTTTTTTCCTAGGTCAAAAATAAATTAATTCGACGTTTCAATACAATAAAATATTGAAAAATAACTATACCTACTTTTATGTATCGATCGATACACTAAGTTTTATATTTTTTAGCTAATTATTAAGAAATAAGTAAGCTAAGCAGATTCCACCCCTTCATTGGGTGATAAACAAATTGTTTTTTTGGATTTGGATGCTATGCCAGTATAAAAATATGTAAACGAAAGTACAAGACAGAAGCATATTAAAGATGGGGGCAACGTTTTAATCGCTACACAGTCCTTTGACAAAAGAGTATGGATGTTTTTGTATTTTTTCAAGCAACCGACCGTTGGACCTATTTTTTTTCAAAGGTACGAAGATAGATAATACCCTGAATTAACACATAGGCTGTACCAATTTACTACGCGTATCCACTGACGGAAGGTAGGTGGTATAAAATAAAATCGCTTTCTCTATCCCTATAACCCTTAATCATTATGTACGCTTAAATATTTAAAACTATGTAAATGATTTTTGTGCGATTTATTACAATAGATACAATGATAGTAGAGGAAGAAATGGAGTGATTTAATATTAATTATTAATGAAACATCCATTAAATAGTTAAGAAATTTGGTATCAGTCTTGCACCTATGCAAACTTGGGGCGGGTTGCTAGTTAAGAATATAAGTCGAAACCAATTTATTGTATGGAACGTCGAAACTACTGCAAGTATGGTTAGGTATGCTATGCATGTGGTGTTATGAATGTGTGTATTCTATTTATTTAATTATTATTTATATACAGAAAATAATAAAGATTCTGAAACAAGATATGTACAAGGTACTGCATATTCCTAAAGGAATTTCTTCCTGCAGACCTGCGACAGGAAAATTAGTTAAAACACAAGACACGGTGTGCAATGTGCAATTATAAATATAAATACACAGAAAGCTTAATGGTATGTAGTTTTGAGTAAGTAAAACGTTGTTTATCAATGTAGAATTAAGATTTCGAATTCTGGTGTGTTGTGACGTTGCTGAAATCTACATACAATCGGCAAAAAAAGTTATCCGTAGTATTTAAAGATCGATGCTATTATTTTTCCTGTAACAAATCCGCAAAATAATGTTTTTTAGCACTTTGTGCGATCTACAAAAGCATTGAATTGTTGGACATGTGCTTACAAAACTAACAATAAACTAAGGAATACATAAAAGTTAGATCTAATTTGTAAGAAGCTATAAAACTTTTGATTTCTTAGTTTAATAGATGCAACATAAAACTTTTTTGTAACATAGTTTGTCTGCATTCCAATGGTTTATTGCTAGCGATGTCTGGAATGTATCTCTGTAGCTACTTCTTTTACGCAGTCATACTATAAGGTTTTACAATACCCAAGAATATACAAAACAAAATATTAGGAAACTAATAACTTTTACTGATACTTACTCCGTACTTATTTTAAAGCTTTAATAAAAACATTTGAGGACGCTCTTATAAAAACTTAAAAACAATAAGTTTTGCGATAGTTAAATGAGTTTTATCGACCTCGATACATAACAGAAAAGTGTATAGGTGCCACCTCTATTCCTTTGAGATAAACACGATAGTACTGTTTGATTTCAGCACTGGTTTATCAAAATGCTTTGCTCATGATGTTATGAACATGTCCTCTCATAATGGCAGACTTGTTTGGTTACGGCTCTGAAGAAAGCAATGATAACAAATAAATCAGAAACTCTGACGTAGTGCCATCCATGTCGTTTCTGCAAACAACTTGAAGACTGACCTGACCTACTAATTTAAGATAAAATTATTTTTTTATACGGTATACCTATCTATCCACCGATTACCCATAAATACATTAAAGATTAGCCTATAGAGACAACTTGTTTAAAGACCTTGTGGTATCTTCTATTTTACTTGGCAATTCATTCTTATTATCTTTTTCTTCTAAAACAAAATTTAGTTTTCACAAAGAATTAATCAGGGCAGAATTTCTGAAAAATCATTAGCAGATTTGAAAATTTTGCAAAATAGCTAAATAATTTGGGAGCAATGCTGACCTGAATAGGCACGTACCTGGCCCTGGGCGGTGTTGATTGAGATTGTAATCGTTTTTGCTATACCTATTACTGGAAACAACTATAGCAGGCTCACACATAGGTAAGGACAATAATAGTACAACATTTTCCGTGGTGTTTGGTGACTGGGTTTCTCCCAGTTGTACAGTCTCTTCTGTGCCTTTAAGGCCTAAGTCATTCTGTCTCCTGTAATAAATTTACCGAGGGAAGTGGAAACTATTTAGTTTTTTCTTCTCCTCAAATAATATCTTCTGATTTATTTAGTTGCGGGATCCAAGATGGTCATTCACGTCCCTGGGACGCACCGGACTTCAGTATTCCGGTGTTTTCATGGTTGTATCACAAAAAAAGTAATTATTACTTAATTAATTAGACGTATAGGTGCGTTGCCGTTTAAAAAGATACAATGGTCATTTCGGAAAGATATTTTGTAAAATCTTCCGAAATGATTTTATTAGGTTCATTATCATGATAACACTAATCATCATTAAGCTTATGAGTTGAGATCAAGTTTTATTAAACTCGGACCTTGGGAGCCATTTTTGATGCGCACAGTCAATAAAAGTGTTGTAAAATATTGGTTCAATGGCAATAAAGTACGGCAATTGTCCTGCAAAAGTGAATTATCTGTTATCATCACAATTAATATTAATCTCATTGAGCGTCATTCAGTTTAATTTTTTGGTATAAAACATGAAATTTATGTGACATCGCATCAAATACTCCATCACAATGATGAAGACTACAATCGGCGTTGTCGCGATCCTTGTAAGTCGTTTTTGATCTTTTGTAAATTAATTAGTACTATAATTATGTTTTATTCTATGACTTTTATTATTAATTATTTTATTATTTAGACACGACTGACATACGGTGAAGGAAAACATCGTGAGGAAACCTGGACTTATAATTTTCTAATTATAAGTTTGTAATCGCCAATCGGCATTGAACAAGCGTGGTTACTAATGCTCAAACCTTCACTGGATGAGAAGAGGCATTTGATCAGCAGTAGGCTCTTATAGGCTGGTAATTTGAATACAGTAAAGGTTTTTATAAATTTTATAAGTTTGAGTAATTGTCTCAACGAATAAGGTGTCAGCTTAGAGCAGGAGAAGGCACGGAGTGGTTTTTCAGTGAGTAACTGTTTGACACTCCCGTTCGCTCTACCTTGGGCAAGAGTACCTAGACATTGGATGACACCAACCGTTAAAAAAATTAAAGTAATAAGGTGCCTCTTTTAGTGTTTTATTATTAAATTCCCATAAATAAGAACTACGGCGGGGCTGATATGATTACTCTCAAGACCACTAGCCCCTAAGGATAAAGAACTTAGGTTTAGCAAATTAGTCTTAAACTATTCAAAGATATTGGAAGAGTGTGTGACGATAGTGATAGTGTTAGGTCGTTTTCACATTGTCTTCAATATTCAAGTTTTAATGATGTCGTAGTAGATATTTAATTATGACCGTGTTAAAATTACATGACGTATATTGAACGATGTTTTTGAAAACGCACGAACCTTATTATTATGATCAGCCAGTATTTAAAAGGAAATCGGTTTAATTGCTCATCAGTAAACTTTTTCAACAAATATTTTTGTTCCAGGCATTTTGCTTCGTGTGGCATGCGTACGCGACGGCAAACTGCACAGCCACAGGACCGGGGCGATACGTTGAGCCAAATGACAACACGTGCAAGAACTACACACTCTGTGTTTACATTACTGCGAATAACACTTACTTGGCGTATAACTACGTATGTCCGACCACTTCGTTGTTCAATCCTAATTTAGCTCGTTGTACCAGCAATTACACGTGTACTACTAATGCTGGGTAATTAGTCAATAAGAAAAAAGGTATATAATTTGTATAATAAAGATAACAGGTAGCTAAAATGGTCACTATTTTTAAACTTATTTGTCATTCTGAAGGTTTGTGAGGCTTTAAAATTCCTTATATTGTAAGCATAATATTGTTAATTAATTATTATCAATATTTTTATTCTTGTTTATAGAGCATATACGATATAACAATGTTCTTCTTTTTGTCTGTTTCTGTTGTTTTACTGTATTGTACCTATTGTTGTTAAGGCTGTGTTCAATGTGTGTGTAGAGCTGTAGTCAAATATGTTTTTCTTTAGAACAAGTTAAACATTTGCTTACTTATATTCTTAACGGGAGGAAAATGTCTGTTCGTTCTCTGACTTTGTCAAGAAGTAAAAAAAGAGTAGTTTTAAGAGTAAGTTTCGATACGTTACTATTAATGTATATTATCTAGAATTTACTTTTCTGAATTACTTTTTTTGTTTTCTTATGCTTGCGTTAACTTCGGTTTCTGTAGATAGGATAAAATGTAATGTTTAGTTTTATAAATAAAAATAAAATATATCAAAATGTTTTTTTCAGTTCTTTCAACCCTGATAAGTCAACATTAAGAGTAGAGTTTTGACTTTTTTCCTAGGTCAAAAATAAATTAATTCGACGTTTCAATACAATAAAATATTGAAAAATAACTATACCTACTTTTATGTATCGATCGATACACTAAGTTTTATATTTTTTAGCTAATTATTAAGAAATAAGTAAGCTAAGCAGATTCCACCCCTTCATTGGGTGATAAACAAATTGTTTTTTTGGATTTGGATGCTATGCCAGTATAAAAATATGTAAACGAAAGTACAAGACAGAAGCATATTAAAGATGGGGGCAACGTTTTAATCGCTACACAGTCCTTTGACAAAAGAGTATGGATGTTTTTGTATTTTTTCAAGCAACCGACCGTTGGACCTATTTTTTTTCAAAGGTACGAAGATAGATAATACCCTGAATTAACACATAGGCTGTACCAATTTACTACGCGTATCCACTGACGGAAGGTAGGTGGTATAAAATAAAATCGCTTTCTCTATCCCTATAACCCTTAATCATTATGTACGCTTAAATATTTAAAACTATGTAAATGATTTTTGTGCGATTTATTACAATAGATACAATGATAGTAGAGGAAGAAATGGAGTGATTTAATATTAATTATTAATGAAACATCCATTAAATAGTTAAGAAATTTGGTATCAGTCTTGCACCTATGCAAACTTGGGGCGGGTTGCTAGTTAAGAATATAAGTCGAAACCAATTTATTGTATGGAACGTCGAAACTACTGCAAGTATGGTTAGGTATGCTATGCATGTGGTGTTATGAATGTGTGTATTCTATTTATTTAATTATTATTTATATACAGAAAATAATAAAGATTCTGAAACAAGATATGTACAAGGTACTGCATATTCCTAAAGGAATTTCTTCCTGCAGACCTGCGACAGGAAAATTAGTTAAAACACAAGACACGGTGTGCAATGTGCAATTATAAATATAAATACACAGAAAGCTTAATGGTATGTAGTTTTGAGTAAGTAAAACGTTGTTTATCAATGTAGAATTAAGATTTCGAATTCTGGTGTGTTGTGACGTTGCTGAAATCTACATACAATCGGCAAAAAAAGTTATCCGTAGTATTTAAAGATCGATGCTATTATTTTTCCTGTAACAAATCCGCAAAATAATGTTTTTTAGCACTTTGTGCGATCTACAAAAGCATTGAATTGGCTTTGTTACCTATTGGCAGTCGATCTTGCGATTCGAATTATCATAAAATTATAATGTAGTCTAGGAGACTAGAGAGGTCATGCTATTGTATTGTCACTTGGGCATGTATTGGCATGGACTCGCCAATATTTATACGCTTTTTACAAGCAAATAACAAATTGGCAGACTTATAACCTGGAGATAAGCAATCAGTGCCGCCTATGGACATCCGCTACACCAAAAGAGTTACGAGTGCGTTGCCGGCCTTTTAGGGATAAGGGCATCGGATATTTAAGGACTGGGAGGGGATGGGGGAAGTGTAGGGTTTTGGCCTCCGGTAACCTAACTCACACGGCAAAACACAATGCTTTGGGTGTTTCACGACAGATTTCTGTGAGGCCGTGGTATCACACCGGTCGGGCCAACCCCTTCGTGCCGCAGCTCTCCCAAACTTAACCGGTTATCACCTAAAAAATAAAAAAAATATCAGAAGTACTAGTAACACAGTACCTACCTAGAAATGTATGCGCAATGTTGTAATGGGGTGTGTTCCATCTTATGGCCACAGTACTATTTCGTTGGACGCATCATATTTTAAGAGGGTTTCACATGGTACATATCATAGGTATATGTTCTGTATAAACATACACTTCATACTTATCCGTTCAGGGATGCTAGACGTTATGGTGTATTAAAAAAATCTTCTGTTAAATTGGTCTACTACCTATTTAGTAATTGATATACTTTACTTACTTGTACGGGTTTTCCATTACGGTGAATGTTGGTATTTCCCTAGATGTGTAAATGTCGGCCCCTATGTACTGTAAGTAAATGATCTAACCAGTTATAAATCTTATCTTAAATAGTGTTTGTAAATAATTGATGTAACTGCTAATGATTCACTCCATCAATAGCGATTTCGTCAATGTTTTTAGTTTTTAGATAAATAGCCTGGTTTAATTAAACTATCTTGTTATAATTGTAGAATATTTAAAATTAAGAGTACATACGGGTTCCGCGGTACTTTATTGCACTGATGCCTTTTTAGGCCTCATCTGTCGGTTCTGTTGGCTCTTTTAGGGGCACTTGGAACGCTATGCGCGTTTCAATCGGATTTGGTTCTAGTCAGATGGCGAGCTAGCCGTGCTCCGAACTTTTCTCACGATATGTCAGTGCTCATCTCAAGCAGGATACACGGGGTAATCGTTACAATGATGATACCCGGTGTTTTATGCCACTGGATCCAAACCGAAATAAATAAATAAAAAAAGTTTAATTCAATTACAGTAGCCATTTTACACATAATTGTTGGAGACCTTCATTTAAGCAAACATTTGCTTGTGTTAGGAGTAAAGGAGAAATAGTCATAAAAATCAGTTGGCGTAGACGTGCCGTCGAGTGTAATGGCCACGTAATGGTTGCGTAGTATCTTCATAGACGCAATGTTTTATACTGTGTAGCGTAGACGCTGCGTAGTATGTTTGTAGTCACAGCGTAGTGTCTTCGTAGTCGCAGCGTAGTACCTTCGAAGTCCTTGCGTAGCATATGAGTGAATACACAGGAAATGTTACGGTAGGTGCATCATATATTAAGGAAAAAGTTTGACTTGTCGTCACAGTGATAAAATACTCTAGTGATCTTTACTGTATTATTACATGTAAACTGGTAATGATGGAGATTATCCCACAATGTGGAAACAAATGGATTAACTTAATTTTACAGTTCTCTATATCTGTTTTTACAATCGTTGATGGTATATAAGCTGAAATTCAGTGCAATTTTATTCACTGAGCAAAAATGGGGAAGCATATCATCATCGTTGTAGTTTTTGTAAGTATTAATTTAATAATGTTATTTTTTCTATTTGTTAATAACATGTCTTAAAATTTTATAATTCTAGTGGGGCTTGCACGCTATATGCACTCTGAACCGGAGCAGGAGACGAAACAGGGTGGCCTGTTTCGTCTCCTGCTCCGGTTCAGAGTATCTTAGTCAGTAGATGTTTGAAACTAGGAACAGTAACAGGAATAGTTCCCAATCACAAAAAAAAAAAAAAAACAGAAGACTACTTCATTTTTAGCATGAATAAAAAGAGTGTCAATTTTTAGAAATTGACGGAATAATTACTCTTTCCTTAGTGACAATAAGCTATCTAAGCTTCTTTTGAAGGTCTTTTATTCTATGTCGTGTATTAATAACATATTCTTTCTAGATGTTAACCGCGTGCGCGTGGCAGGCGCATGCTGCTGTCAACTGCACAGCTACCGGTGCTGGTCGGCAAGCTGACCCGGCCGACGCAACCTGCAAGAACTACACGCTCTGTGTCTACGTTAGCTCCAACAACAGCTATGTCTCCTACAACTACGTCTGCCCCACTACATCCCTCTTCAATCCTACTCTCGCCCAATGCACGTCCACTTACACCTGCCCAGCAACCACCACCAACACCACAAATACAACTACATCAGTGTGCACCGCCGACGGCTTTATCGCTGACCCCAACTCTTCAAACTGCAGCTCCTATATCGAATGCGTCAACGTCAATGGAACCTTCATAGAAACGACGTACATTTGTCCAGCCACAACATTTTACAATCCAAATACGACTCTTTGCGATGCTTCGTACAATTGCACTACAACAACTCCTTTCTCGTGTACAACAGCTGGAAGATTTGCTAATACCGCCGATACAACATGCCAAACTTATTTCTACTGTGTGCTCTTGAGTGATGGAACATTTACACAGTACAATTACACTTGTCCTTCCACTTCGTTGTTTAATCCTAATTCGAGGTTATGCACTGCATCTTATACATGCACTAATTGACACTATTCTTTAGAGATGTCTTTTGAAAGAAAATGACCCAGAGTCCCTGTTCTGCTATCATTATGAAGCAATTTTTAAATCATTTTCTTAATAATTTTGAGCTTTGAAAATTTTATGGCCCTGTTCAGTTGTTGTTAGCACTCTAATCTAGTTGATTGATGTGCAATTATTTGTTTTATTTTGGTTTAAGGATTTGATAATATTATATTAATAACCTGAAATTTAATTTTGTGTTTTACTATGACACGGATAAAAATGCAGTTTAAAGTAAACTTACGAATAATTTTAATATCAAAATTTTAAGCAATTTAATTATTTTTCACATATTCACTGTCTACTTTCTAGTTATTAGTCTAAACACAAGTTTACTCTCGTTGAACACATATTTTGACAACCGGTGGTGACGGTATAGCTTTCTTGAATATGAATTACCTTCAGAAAATAATGACGATCTATCAATAGTCCAAATTGCATTGTTTTAATACAATTGATAATGGCCTTTTGTTTTTTCTAACAAATCTGAAGTTATAAGGGAAAGTAAATGTACGTACGTACTAGTTTAGTCCTTAGAATTATGTGACGATGATGTCTTATTTGTATACTCTATTTGTGGTGAGTATTCTTTACTAATATTTTTTCATAGATGTTTGTAGTGAATTCATAAAATCAGTTTTAAGAAATTGTCATCGTTTATGATACAGTATGTAATTAAGTGTTGTGTTTCCAGGTCCTTTGTGGAGTTAGTTTTGCTCATGCTGCCGTAGACTGCAGAGTAACTGGAGCTGGTCGTTTTGCTGACTTGGCCGACGAGAAATGCAAGAACTACACACTGTGCATCTACGTAAAGGCTACAGACAGTTACCTTGCATATAACACAGTCTGTCCTAGCATATCAGTGTTCAACCCGTTGATATCTAAGTGTACATCTCCAACGAATTACGCGTGCAACTTCACCGTCAATATACCGAGACCTTCACCTTCTACTATTTGTATCTCAGACGGTTACATGCCAGATCCCGAACCTACGAATTGTGCTACTTACATACAATGTGTGAAGATCAAAGGTGTCTTTACTCAGTTGAGGCATCGATGTCCAGAATTCACGTATTACAATCCCAACACTACGCTGTGTGAGTCTAATTACACCTGTACCGACTTCAGTTGCGTGGCGCCCGGCAGAATCGCGGATAAGGCGGACTTCACATGCCGCAAATATTACTACTGTGTGCAGTTATTTAATGGGACTTTTGCTCAGTTCAAGTACACGTGCCCCGCAGATTCAGTGTTTAATCCCATCACTAAACTTTGTACAACACACTATTCGTGCAGTTAAGGTGTTTTTGTAATATGTTGTTTATATATAAATCTTCTTTTAAATTTACAAATTTCTAAATTAAAAAACAAAAAAATACTGTTCTTGTTTAAACTATATTGTTATTTGAAACTGTTGCGACAATTATAGGTGTCAATTATTAAATATAAAAGTGACATAATCTTTTTGTTTTTTTTTTATCCTTATAATCCTTTCTGAAATATAAGTTTTTGAAGTTTTCCGTCTCTTTTTGGTTTAGTAAGCTGTAGCTGTGTGTGCTAGTGGGTAATAACATTGTTACCTAAACTCGATGTATGTGTGCTAATCGTTTGAAAATAAATCAATCTATCTTCCTCGACAACATAAATCATCGCCTGTAAACACAGCGACTTTAAAATCATTTGAGGTAAAATAATTGTATTTTACATCAATCATTTAATTGATCGCCAACAAAGCAAATATTTAATAGAATATCCATATTACATGAGTCGTGGTTTTCAACTTAAATAATGTATCTATAAACTTTTTAAGTTTATTAAGACACTACTGACCTACGATCAAGTAAAACATCGTGAGGAACCCTGGACTAAGAATTTGTTATTTTCAGTTTGAAATAGCTTTGAATCGGTAATTCGCTTTGGGTAAGTGTGGTAATTACAATAATGTACCGTGGCACCGACTTAGAGTACGAGAAAAATCGGGGTGGATTTTAATTAGTAAGGGTCTGACAATCTCTCTCGTCCGACTCTGGGCAAGATAAGTCCATAGACGATTTTTTCCCTTCAAAAAAAAAAAAAAAGATACAACTCAATATTGTGTCATTCACACATAAAACAAATAAGTGTTTTAATAATAACATTGCACATTAAGGTATATTTTTTTATTTTACATCCAAATTACCGCTTATATATTTGACTATGCACAAACAAGAAAGCAATGTGCCATAAGTCATTTATCACTGAGTAGGTGGAATGTCAATATTGAATACATAATTACGTCTAAGGCACCAGATTTTGATAACGTTTGTGATAATGTGGAATTATTTCCTTTGCAGTTATTTTACATTGTTTGGTTGTGTAGATATGGAAAGGTTAATTCTACGACCTCTGATTGAAATCAGATGCTAGCATTTATCTGTTTAATGATGTGCCAATAATCGTTGCTTTTAGTCTGTATTTCAAAATATCCTTATTATTACAAATTTTTCTTGTGTGTTAACAAGGCGATTTATTAGTTCCGCTATAGGTATGTTAGTAGTAGTTAGACGCAACTACCTTTTATCAACAGTAACGACTATCAATAAAACGTATAAAGCAATCGAGCTATGCTTCGGCACGAATGGGTCGGCTCGATCAGAATGATACCACGGCCTCACAGAAACAACCACACCGTCGTGAAACAACCACAGCGTTGTGTTTCGTCTTGTGAGTCAGGTTACCAGAGGCCCAATCCCTTCCGAATCCTTAATTATCCGAAACCCTTACCCCCAAAAGGCCGGCAACGCACTCGTAGCTTCTTTGGTGTTGCGGGTGTCCATGGGCGGCACCGATTGCTCACCATCAGGTAATTAGTCTGCTCGTTTGGCGACCTATCCCATTAAAAGAGCTGGGTGCACGGCTCACTCAGAGTCAACTGTTATTCAAAAATGATTTAAATATAAAATATGATGTATAATATTTAGCGTCATATGAGTACGGACAATCTTTTTATTATTGCTGTTAACATAATATTACGAGATAACCGCATTATCTCTTGATCTTACTATAAAATCTTCAGTGCTTGAGGAAATAATTTAGAAATTCACGATGCAAAGAAAGTTCACGGTTGCTGTGTTTCTCGTGAGTATTTTTTTTTATTGTTTTTGTTAAGTAGCCCTTACTTGTGTTATTGTTTATATTTATGTGAGATCGCTTTGTAAAGATGTTTATAATTACCTGAATGTACATAACAACTTAGGGACGAAAATTCTAATTAAATGAAGCATTTTTCTATTTTGATATATCAAAAAGTGATTACTTATGATATGTTTTGGACAATAGTGGTAGGTTTTGGGATTAAAAGGTGTTAAGCTGGTTCTTTCGTCTCAAAAACCTTTTCGACAATTATATTCGTGTTTGTTTGTGCCTAAAAGAACCATAAAATGTATGAGCTATAGGTACCTACCAGCTTAATTAGATAGTAAAACTGTGTTAGAGGTAAACACAAGTAAATTATCTTTAATTACTGTCATAATATGTTATTTCCTGTCATATACGCTTTTAAATCCTTTAATAAGAAAACAGTGGTGTTGGTGCATACCTAACAAAGTTAATATCGGGCCTGAGACATAGGTAAAAGCGGACGACCTTTTACCCCTATTTTACTACTAATACCTTTCTGGTACCCAGTGGCAACTCATTATTTGGAAAATAACCAAAAAGTAATAATGCATTGACACCTGACTCCAGAGCCTACCCTTTACTTAGTGGTACCGTTTGCGATCATTCGGACAATATTCTCCTTGTCCGGGTTGTCATAACCCTTTGAAAAAGTAATTTGAATGCATCGTCTACTCCCACTGCAATGATAGTTTCTTCATTCTTCATCATTATCTATTAAACATGTTTCAGGTCTCTCTAGCGATATGGAATGCCAACGCTGCATCCATCCAGACTTCTTCTACCAGTAGTTCTCAATCATCTTCAGATAAATCAAGTGTATCAAATACAACTGGATATTTAATAAACGAGAATTCAGTAACCTCAACAAATTCAGAGCAAAGTACAAATACAACTGATGAATCAAATACGAACGATGCATCTACAACTTATTCGGCCAATTTAACAGATGTGACATTTACTGTAAATAGAGCTGATACAGTAAATACTTCCAATACTGATATTACCTCAGAAGCTAATACAACAACGGCACTATTAACTGCATCTACTTCAGATACTGGAAATGCAACAAAAACTGAAGATACTTTATCTACACTTGTGTCTAGTTCTGCCAACTCTACAAATTCTTCTTCAGGCTTAGAAGTTTCAAACTCATTAAACACCACTGATAAATCGTATCAAAATGTTTTGAGGCAAACAGATAACAGTATTGAAAATTCTACATTGGATTCTATAACATCATCTAATATAACAACTGGGTTTAATGCTTCAAGGTTTTTTAACGAAACTGAAACATTAGATACATCAATTTGGAATACTTTTAATTTTACAAATACCACAAATGTGAGCGCTATTTCTAATTCGACATTATTCACAGACAATTTGGTTTCGCAGACTACTAATATCACTGTTGCATCCAACTCGTCATATGATACTGATTCAAAGAATTATCAAAGTGCATTACTTTCAACAGATTCCGAGACTTCAGAGACTTTAAATTCCACAACTTCAACAAATATTTCGGACGCAGCAACTTATAATGCATCCAATATTAATGAACAATTTATTAATGTTACAACATCTGGTGATGCCACGGATACATCTATATCAGATGCTTCAAATGTTATGAAATCAACAAACGAATTAAATACAGTTAATTCAAAAAATTCGACTCAAAGTGCAAACACAACCTATTTTCAAAGTTTGGATGGCACAAATTCTACTAACCTTTTGGGAATTAACAATGCATCAACAACGACAGACGTTGTAATTTCTTCGTCATTAAACTCTACGACAGCAACAAATTCTTCGTTTGATGGCGATATTACAAGTTCAATAAACTCATTAAGTACAAAATATAATTCAACATCAGACAGTGCGAATAAAACTAGTTCAACAGACTTTACAGGGTATTTAAATACTCAAAGTAGTCAATCAGTGTCAGATACCTTCGAGAATACAAACACAAACGATTCTTCGGAAAATTCTAGTTTAAAATCAGAATATTCTTCAAACTCCTCATCAAGTTCAAATATTGAAAATTCAGCAAATTCTACAGTGAATTTAAACTCATCCTTATCAGAAACCTTTAGCCACTCAAATTCATCGATTATATTGGATTCAACAAATTCATCCACTGCAATTAATGTTCAAACTTCTTCTGAATCCAATTCTACTACATCAACAATTACGACTGATGACATAAAAAATTCAAATCTACAAAACACAGTAAAAACAACAAGTAATTCTTTGTCAGATATTGCAAATATAACAAGTTCTACTGATAATAGTAGCAATATGAACTTACAAGCAATAAGTCAATCTTTAGACTCTTCGAAAAGCACAAATTCAAGTGATTCTATTGACATTGCTACCAACAAAACTGAATATATATCCAATTCCACATCTGAAACAGAAACTATGAATTCCGTAAATGAAACAGAAACTTCAGATTCAACAGTATTTGAAAACAAAAATTCAACAAATTTCTTAAATACTGAAAACACCTCAAACTCTTCTCATTCCTCCGATGCATTGATATCGTCTACAGTAAATTCTACAATTTCTGAAGACTTTACATCGGACTCAGTTTTTGCAAACTTATCAAATTCATCAACTATAAAGGAAACAACTTTATCCGAAACTAGAAATTCCTCAATTTCAACTGATAATTCACATTATGATGGTCATTCCAACCAGACAGTCTCTAAATCTAACACTAATAACACAGAATCAAATGATTCAACAGAATTGTTGCAATCAGAATCATTTTATTCTTTAGATTCATCGTCTGCAGAAGATATGACAAATTCAATAAATTCAACAAATACATCCGGCACATCTACACTAAATATAATAAAATCATCAAGTTCAAATGAGACTAAGAATGTCAAGAATTCTACCAGTGAAATTGGTGCTTTAGTATCCGTTACATCAAATAGCTCTAATTCAAAACAATCAACAGAAACAAGAAACATAACGGACTTGTTTAATACAGGAAATGTAACTGATGTTTTTTCTACAGATAACACTACTTCATTAAATTCAACAGTAACATCAAGTTCCTACAACGCTGATTATTCATCTATAAGTGAAGACTCCACAAGTTCTATTAGTGATAATTCAAGTATCACCAACTCAATTGATAAACTATCCAACTCAAGCTCAACTCAGAATAGTAGCACTTCATCAAGTACATCAGTGCCCAGCAGTTCAGTTTCAAGCAGTCCAGTAGCTGATTCTGATTCAAACTCCAATAGCAGTTCTATTAACTCATATGCAACAACAAATACTACCATTTCAACGAAGACTGATGATATAGAAACGACGTATTCCACTGATGACATCGCTTTTAGGAACGTAACAGAAGTCATTGATGAGGAAACTTCCATAATCACAAATAATCATACTGATACGTCAAGTAGAGTTGTTACCACAGATAACTCTAATAACGAGACAATAATCACTATCGTGACAAAAAATATGACTGTTACAGTAAACGATGATATCACAAATATAACTGAAATTATGGTTGTAACAAACATAACCAGTAGTACTAATACTACCGAAGATATTATTAAAAGTGATATAACCGATACAATTACTACTGTTATTTTTACTAATACTACAATCATAACTATGATTACTGAGGGTAACGATACCATGGTTACTACAACGTCATTTAATAGTACAGATTATGTCGAAACAACAGCTGTTGATGATACAATACACGACATAATAACTTCTATATTTAGAAATAGTTCAGATATTACGACTTCACAAAGGTCATCGGATGTTTCAAATAGAACTATTACGAGTGAATCAACAAATTCAACTAATTTATTGAGAGTAACCGGAGATGGATCAGACTCTAACAGCTCATCCGAAACAAATACAACTTCCATTTGTACGTCGCAAGGATTCTTAGCAGATCCAGATTCTGAAAATTGCACGAGATACTATGAATGCATTCAAAATAGTGATGGTGACTATACTGAGTCATTGAATACTTGTCCTGATGGCTCTTACTATAATCCCGATACGACGTTATGTGACTTTGATTACGTATGCCCAACAAACTCGACGGATAACAACAACTCGACCAATACAGGTAATACCAGTGGCGAATCAAATTCAACTGACATTTCCAACTCCACGTCTATATGCACAAGTCAAGGATATATTGCGGATCCAGACTCTAAAGACTGCACGAGATACTATGAATGCATTCAAAATAGTGATGGTGACTATACTGAGTCATTGAATACTTGTCCTGATAGCTCGTACTACAATCCTGATACGACTTTGTGTGATTTTGATTACGTATGTCCAACAAACTCGACAATTAACAACAACTCGACCGATACAGGTAATACCAGTGGCGAATCAAATTCAACTGACATTTCCAACTCCACGTCCATATGCACAAGTCAAGGATATATTGCGGATCCAGATTCTAAAGACTGCACGACATACTATGAATGCATTCAAAATAGTAATGGCGACTATACTGAGTCATTGAATACTTGTCCTGATAGCTCGTACTACAATCCTGATACGACTTTGTGTGATTTTGATTACGTATGCCCAACAAACTCGACGGATAACAACAACTCGACCAATACAGGTAATACCAGTGGCGAATCAAATTCAACTGACATTTCCAACTCCACGTCTATATGCACAAGTCAAGGATATATTGCGGATCCAGACTCTAAAGACTGCACGAGATACTATGAATGCATTCAAAATAGTAATGGCGACTATACTGAGTCATTGAATACTTGTCCTGATAGCTCGTACTACAATCCTGATACGACGTTATGTGATTTTGATTACGTATGCCCAACAAACTCGACGAATAACAACAACTCGACCGATACTTCCAACTCCACTTCCACATGTACGAGTCAAGGATATCTTGCGGATCCAGACTCTAAAAATTGTACGAGTTACATTGAATGTGTTGGAAATGAGGATGGCAGTTACACGGAGACAGTGTACACGTGTCCAGATAATTCTTACTACAATCCCAATACGACTATTTGCGATTTTGACTACAAGTGTACGACAGATTCGTCGAATTCTTCATCGGGTTCATCCGATAACTTTACATGTACATCAGCTGGTCGGTTCCCAAACAGCGGTGACAGTACTTGTCAATCGTATTTTAGCTGTGTGTTATTGGCCAATGGAACCTTTGTTTTAAATGAGTATAACTGTCCAATATCTTCATGGTTCGACCCGAATAAACTATATTGTACGACGTCATACACGTGCGGCTCCTAGACACTCAAATAACAAATTATTAAATTTAAGAATTGCTATGTTATTGAAACAACTTAATAAATTAATACAATTGATGTAATTTTATTTACCACACAAATACTACCTACTACAATAAAACTTGATATTATTATATATTTAAATGGATTTCATATTATTAAGAAGTTCAAAAAGTATAATATTCTGCAACCCGTTTTCAGAAAATTGAAAAAAATACTTTCAATTATGAAACCTTTAACTAAGATCTAAATAGGTAAGTTCAATTTCATTATTTTCAATTCTAAGCACTTAAAATAACTACGCGTTGCTTAGATCCTCAGTAGATCACAGCAATCCAACAATTTATAAATTTCTTATTAATTATTAGCCCGAGGAAGAAGATGTTGTCATGATGCATGCACCATCAAGAAGACTCGGTAAATTTTGCTGAGAAGTATATTATATGTCGTTATATGCATTATATTTTGTCACATGGTGCAAAAAGCGTGGTTTTTCTATGTTTAAAATGTTTCCAAGACAAATCTCTTACGAAACTATGGAATTTATGTTTTTTATTTGTCATATTTCTCCTTTTTCTTTTAACTTCATCTAATAATGTATCCTTTATCTTTACGTCCTGAAACTGTGCTTCGTTAATTAATATCATGGCGAGTTTCCTTGCTGTCATAAGGTTTTGTTTAAACTTGTCAGTTTGGCCAAAAATTTCACTATTGTTTACTACCGCCAAGTTTATATAAAGATTTGACTTGTCTGGAACTAAACTATGACTTGTGTTAGATTTTTTTATATGTGCGAAGTATTTTCGGAAGTAATTTTCTCTCGCCTTTTTAATATACTCAGCAGTGATGGGTTTGTGTTTGTATTTAGCCCTTCTGTCTCCTACAGTGACAGTACTCAAGGTGGTGTCTTCATCTTCCGTAGATTTCTTATCACCATTTGGAGTGACCACCTTGAAGGGCGTTATATTCTCGCTGTAACGTTTGTGGTTCTCACTTTCGAGTTCCGGAAAACTTGTAACCAAATATGTGGATTCATTAATTCGTCGCACTTGGTACGTTTTTACACTAATAGAATATGTCGTGAAACTATTGAATATTAATTGTAAAAATAAGATATATCTTGTAATCAAAGAAATCATTAAAAACTATTTCACATTGAGACTTACGCGTCATTTTGACAAACTTAGTCGACAATGTCAACTTATTCTGTACATCCTATGACAATGGCATCATAAACAATTAAAAAGTATACAACGTGACCTTATTTTAAAAGTATGTGGTCTAAGGTTGAATTAGTTCTTCGTTAGTCTATTTATGGTTAGGTTTTAGAAATGGTGCAGACATTCGCAAATTACAAACTTTTCTATATCTAAAGTGTATAACTGTGTAAGTACCAACCACTTAACGCCAAGACGCGTGATACCGTCGCGTGTAAGTCGGTAAAAAGTGAATGAAAATCACACAATGGACGTCGAGAGTCAGCTCCCATACCACGGAATCAAGGTCAAATTTGTCTGGCAAATCATCCAAATACACTTTGCATCTCAACACAACTTTACAAAGTAAAATAAACTTTATTCAGTTGAGTATTAAGACTGAAATCGTTTTAATTGGATTGTACTTAGATCGATCTGAAGAAAGAGTCTGAGATAGTTCCCGATGGTGTTATTGTTTTCATTGCCACCGAGCACACGCTTCTTAATTGCCATTTCCGTAAATGAACAAGAAAGCAATGGAATCGTGAAGGTTTAAAAAAGTGTTGTAGATATACGGACATTTTTTTCTTAACGTTTAGAATTTTAAAGAAATGAATTGTTTGCCATGAGATAAAAACGAAGAGGAGGAAATTAAGAATTTTTATTTAGATTTTCTCTTTGATATCGATATCGATTCTAATGCCTTTGTGCTGAAAAAAAGATCCCATTGATCTATAATCTATGCAATATGTACTGGCTGTGAGATTTAATAGAAAACGTATATAAAATATTTGGAAAAGCAAGATTTCTTAAAAGTTTAGTCCATTTTATTTATTTTATAAAATTAAAGACCAGGAATCTCTGATCACGATCACAATCTTCCAAAGGTGTAACTAAACATTTTTTTATTGCTATTTGTGTGTTTTCTTTTATGGTATTCAATAAATAGTCTGCATTTCAAAATGTTATAAAAAATAATATCTGAAAGTACAAATAGCCACTCCACTGCATGTCTGTTTACTTAGAAGCAATATTGTGATATTGGCTTTCACTCGCATGACTTCTTCAATAAAAATCGATCGAAATGTTTTAAATATCTTTAGTTTTATTTCTTAATATAAACACAGATTTATAGAAATTTTATAGGACATAATGACACATTATTATTAAGAACTAGTCTGGTTATTTCTTTAAAGTGTTAGCCTAAATCTAGATAGGCAGGTATTAAATAGACATAATTCTCAACAAGCACCTACCTCCTACAAAAACAAACATATGAATATTATGAGTAATGTAATTATGACGAAGCCTTAGGTTTTCAAATCAAATAGTCTTAACAATTACTATAAAAGAGGTGCTCTAAGTCGACTTTAAAATATAATATACGTATTGGTACTTACTATTGGAAGATTAAAATTGTATAAAACTTTTCGGTCCTCCAGTGAAGCTCAGTGTTGCTCATTCTAAAGTGTAGGTTCTTATGTTTTTGTTTGCTGTCAAGCCAATGAGTAGAAAACGAATAACATATTATGGTAACTTCAGTACTATTCATATTTACATATACTCCCAATAAATCGACTGTTCTCTATTTTATTACCCGGTAGCGTAGTTTGAATAGATTGATACTTTCGAGAGGTCGATCACGTCACCGTGACGCCGTCATCGGTCATTCAGTTTAAACACGCACCGTGCAAACCTAAACAATTGAAATAGAAACATCATGAGATTGCGTGACATGTTTTCTAAGCGTGGGTAATCAGATACGGTCAAAATGTACTAAGTTTAAATTCGCGTGGATTTGTTCAAGACTATTTGTTTGATTAAAAGTTACGTTTGCGTTGATAAGTAATGGTGCAGTAAGACCTTTTATTGAGACGGAAAATGGTTATATTACTTGTCACGCCCTTGGCGCGATTGCTGGGCAACTGGCTGCCACGCAACGTATCGCGGGTTCGATTCCCGCACGGAACAACTCTTTGTGTGATCCACAAATTGTTGTTCCGGGTCTGGGTGTGATGCATATGTGGAATTGTATGTTTGTAAACGCACCCACGACACAGGAGAAAATCCTAGTGTGGGGCAACGTTTTTTTTAAAAAAAAAACCAATTACTATGGTAGTACTACATCTGCTCTTACTGCTTAAAAACTATCCCGTTCTTCGCATGGGCATATTGGGCTTGAGCAACACTCCAGCTGTTGGAGCAGCAGGGTTGAGTTGACCTCATCATCAGCATGTTTTTGCTTTATTTGTTTTTGTATTTCAAACATACTAGTACAAATGAACTAGTAGAGAGAGCATCTTGTTACACGGACAAGGAAAGGGTATTAGTAATCACGTTTGTTTAAAGCGGATGGGATATTTAATATTTAGAATCAGAAATAATAAGACGCGATGACGCGTCGCTGCTACGAGCACCCTGTTCATGGGTATGAGTCCCGCTCTGAACTTAATTACTTAGTAGAGTTTTTTTCAATTAATTCACGTTTGTAAGACGTTATTTTCACGATTTTCTTTACCATCTTTTTGTAATGTCATTAATTATAGTAAATTCATATAACTGCACGGTTGGCGCGGTGGCTGGACCACTAGCTGCCGTGCAACGTGTCACGGGTTCCACAAATTGTTGTTCTGGGTCTGGGTGTCATGTGCATGTGAAATTGTATGTTTGTAACCGCACCTACGACACAGGAGAACATCCTAGTCTGGGGCAACGGTTCTTTTTAAAAAAAAAAGAAACTCGGAAGTAATCAAAACGAGTAAGTATCTGCCGAGCTTTGAATGTTGAACCATACTTGAGAAGCCTTAATCTCCAGTAAAGTTATTATGATATAACCAAAATTCTAACAAACAGCCGAGATCCGGGTGTTTTTCCAACGTCAGTAGATAGCTTCTTAAGTAACAGAATTCGCTTTATCCGTGTATATTGTCGCGCCAGTATTTCTTGTGCCCATACGCCTTCCTGATTACTAACGATGTCACGCACTACAAGATTGCAGCGTGATTTACGTAATACAGGTATAAAGTTGCATCGTCTACTCAGAATCTAACGCTTTATTGCCTCATAGTCATATCGTATGGAGCTTTGTTCCATTTACAAATTAGTTTTAAATTTGGAAATTCCAGTGCGTTTAGAAATTTTTGACTTAAAAAAATGTCTATAGAATTTTGTTTAGAAGTTTTAGAAAATATTCTTTGACGTGATCCATTTCCAGTTATTAATTTTCTTTCTGCGTTATGCTGTTTGAAAACTTTTTCTGAAAAATTCCTTTGTGAATAAAATAATGTAACATTTTACACAATATTACGTACTCTGAATGAAGAAAAAGAACCTGGCCATGAATATACATTATGTGGTGCATTGCACAAAATCAAAGAATGCAGAAACATATTGGTATCCAAGTAAAAGTTCGCTCATATTCCACTCATGCGCCGTCTCGGCCGTTATTTGCGAAAGCCGTCCGCTTTGTAAATAAAGCGCGTAGTTGCTCTTCGAAATTTAACAATTTCACTGAATAACATCGAGTATCTTAGAATACTAAGTGATTAAATGTTTCGTAACTTTTCAACTTTTTAAACTGTTTGTTAGTTTTTGATAAATATTTTATTGCGAAAAAACTAATCATTTCGATGATGTATATTTATCATATTATTTATTCCGGTGGCCCGAAGTGCCCTCTTCTCATACATGAGGGTTCTTGTTCGAAATCAGGTAAGTACTAATGTGACTGTTTCTAAGTTAAAGGTACTTTCTATGATTATTTAGATATGACTGACATACGGTGAAGGAAAACAACATGAGGAAACCTGGACCTATAATGGTCCCCAATTCGTCTTGAGCAGGCGTGGTGCTCAAATCTTCTCCGTGTGAGAAGAGGCCTCCGTATAAGGCTATATCACTTCGTATACGTTGTTTTTCTTAAACCTATAAACACATTGTAACGAACGTTTTAAAACTGTCATACATAGAAATTCTTCTGATCGTTTGTCAATAACACACTTAAACTAAGTTTAAAGTGTCCTTAAATGAAAGCATTAAGTGGTTAAGAATGCACTTAAAACAGGTTCATTGTCATCCAGAGTGCTCCCAAATGGTGGCTTACAAATCATTATCAAAACTTCTTGTCTGCTGTTAATGTGTACTTTTTAAAGAGCAATCTTCTTTCAAGGGTTGGTAGTGGTGCAAGTATTGCGGATACATTTTAATAAGTTTATTTATATCTTACGACTAATTATTTGTACTAATTTATATATCCATAGAGATTATATAGAATCATTTGTTAGCCAGTACGCATATGTGAGCGCCATGTTCGAGACGACAAAGGATTAAAATTTAATGATAGATCCCATCATTTATTCTTTTTTACAACTTGTATCTGCATTGTTCTCATAAGTATACTAAGTAAATGTATTTTAGTGAAAAGTATTATTTTTTAAAAAGAGTAACGTGATGTTTCTTGCTCGTTCTTCTCCATTCGAATCTACAAAATTATTTGTACCTACCACGCACCTAGCTTCACTGGCGAACAGACTGACAGTCTTCTATTTTGAAGTTTTAAAAGTACCTATTTATGGTTTAGTTGGAATAAATGATTTTGACTATGACTTATATAGTTCCATTGTAATTTAATTGTGGGAGAGTCATGGTTCGGTACCTATGAGTCGTCTAAACCGGAGTGACACCACGGCTTCGTAAAAATCCTGCGTGAACCAACCACGGGCATTGTGTTTCGCCGTGTGAGTGAGTTTACTGTAGGACCAATACTTCTCTTCCTCCATCCCTACACAAAATCCTTGAATCTCCAAAATCTTTAACTCCAAAAGGCTGAAATGTACTCGATCGGTACTGCTCTGGCGTCGCACATGTCCATGTATACGTATCAGTTTATTCATTGGTGCATAATTATGAACTCTTCGCCTCTAACAACGAAAGAAAAACTTACTCTAATTTACGAGTTTTAATGAATTGATTTATATTCTATTGTTTCATTCATAAATAAGTTCTAAAAAGCGTGTTATCAGTGTTAGCGACATTTATGTATGAGCGTGTGCAATATGTCAGTTGGCTTCCGCAAAGCGGTACGGAAAGCCGTCTCATAAATAATGATTTATTAATTTACCCGTAATTTGCACGATCGAGTTTTTCCATGTAATGTTGAACTACTTTTTTATGTAGATGAATGATACCGTGTTCGTACATTACGTCAATGTTTTACAAATTCATTTATGACAACATAATACTTAGTGTTGCTTGTAAAATTATTTTATTCGTCAGCGATTACTTAATTCGTCTTAACTTAATAATACTCCAAAATAATACATCAATGTACAATATTTTATGATTTCATAGCATGCGTGATAGATGAAGTAACACTGGTTTTATGATACCTTTTTCATGATTTAGGTATTTGAGTGCCTTTGACCTCTATCACGCCTGATAGGGGCAATAATGGGGTCTATAGTGGAACACGCAAACTCAAAAAATGCCTATTGACTCTTTCCTTGAAAATTACTGAATCTTATTATACCTATTTATTTACATTTTTTGATGAGAAAGAAATAAAACATACGTTTTATTGAGAATCAAAGAAGAAATTTATCGATCGTGTTTTAATCGTAACAGTTTTAAAGCAAGTATTTTGACCTGATACAGATTCAGTTTGGTTTGCGATGTGTTAAAATTTTTATTTATATTACTTGTAATAAGTAAACATTGTAAACAAAACTGCAGTTACCAGGAACAAGATAAATACATAACCGTATATGCTAGGCATTCCTTATACTGAAACGAATACTTTATATTTTAAGAATGTCTATGTATGAATACTTGTAATTAA